ACAACAGTTTAACACCTAGTGGATGGTAAAAAATATCCTTAAATCCAGTTTAAGGCTTTTTCTCAATACTTGCATCAAGCAAGTAATTATATTACTAATATTTTAGGAAATGATTGGCAATTCCTTAATAAAAACCAGAATCTTAATGCATGTCTATGTGGAAAGGCCGCTAGCAGCGTCAAATGCCATATTGACATGTCTTGTCGTAAGAATGGCTTTGCCTCTGGAGCGACTTTTTTCTCGAGTCCTGTTGTCTGATGCGGTAAAAGATTAGGATCACAATTCAAGATAATTGTGGAGAAATCCATTGGTAAGGGTAGAAGTAGCAAGCCCCTGCATTCGTTTTGAACTCGATGATATTTGGTTAGTAGGTATAATTCATCGAATAAAATATGCTATTGCCGATGCTGGGAGTAGGTCACCTTTTATTAAATAAGGTATCAGTATACTGCAGTGTTAAACAACACTTTGCCTCACAGCGACTGTACAAGTCCATCGTTTCTTTAGATGGAGCAAGAACCCAATAACGTTTAAATTTTAACACTGGAATCTTAAACTCTGACTATGTGTTTAACACTTCATTTTGGTTTCGCTGACACTTGAGGCTCCGCTACTGTACCTACGCTGGGTGGGCTGGCCTCTGGGCTATGCCAGTGGCCCTAAGTCCTACTGAATGCCGAATATATATGTATTCCGCACGAGTGTTATAATTTCTTTCGTCTCTAAGAAAGACTCGAGGCAACCACTATCCTAAAGGACAATCACTCTGATCTCTATTGCTGAATAATAAATCTTAAGGCGACGGAAGAAGGGCTTATACTGCTGATGGAAAAATATGTTACGATCTGAAATAGAAGGGTTGGAAATGAAATAGTGCCACTAGTCGTGAACCACTGGAGAAGTCCGGTATGGAACTGTCTGCTGTACCTGTGTGAAGGCGTCAATTAAGTTTAAACGCGATACCTCCTTCACTTCTCCACTAGCTAAATAGAATCCAGGTAGATATGGCTGGACAGCACTCAAGTGAGATCAAGATGGCAAGAAGGAATACGTGAGCAACTTTATATCCAAGACACTTTCAAAACACATCCTATATTAAATAACCGCGCTTTGGGGGCAGTGTTTTTATGACTAGAAGTGGACATACGGTATGGCCTAAACATTCCTTAGTCCCCCAACACAGTTCTCAAACAAAATAAATCTCCAGATCCAGCAGAAATGCCAAGAGGGATCAATGACACTGCAGTCAAATAACTTTTCAGTTGTCCGAATTCGTCGACTGCCGCGCGTTTTTCTTACACCATTGACTACATTGCAATAATCGAAAGGGGAGGCCCAGGGACGACGCCCAAAAGGTGGGAAGGGGGCGGTTAGGAGCTGCTTTAATTATTTGTTTAATTCTTCTTTTTGTTTTCGCGGTCACTGAATGGTTCGCCTTTATAATTTCGCTGGACGGTATGGCCTCGGAGCCATACCTGCTGTCCCCAGCTCTTCTTACGTAGACGAATCACTTTTTACCCTAGTGTAAAAACTTCTTTCATCTTCTGGAAAGACTCGAGGAGGTGAAAGAATGACTACCCTCTAAAACAATGTATGAGTGTTGTGTTTCATCACTTTTTCACTCATTCACGAGCGTCATGTCCTTATTAGCTCTAACATTGCTACAAATGACTGATTTTGGGTACAGATATTGTTTATCAAACTCAATTTTACTCAAAACCATGATTGTTTTAAACTCTGCAGCAAAGAAATTGAAATCAAAACTGGCCGGTATGCAGCGTACCTTGGACTAAGGTAAAAGATTTGAGTAATGCATGTCATTGTCGCATCTGTCTGCACACATCTAGTTGCTATTTGCTTTAATAGGCAGTTAACCATGTGGGAACTTCAGTCTCCGTAGGCTGTTCTTTTACTCGTTCGCAGTACCTCACTCTGGTAATAATGATTCTTTCATCTATGCTGATGTGCCTTACTACACATTTTGTAGACTACATATTTGAAATAAAAGGTTGAATTTGTGACAGGCTGGAGATAACTACCCAGACATAGCCCGACTGGTATTTAATCCTGATATTTTACCACTTTACTTTATTATTTCACCTAAAGTTGACTACTTTCGTCAAGAACCCTACATCTTTCATGACTTGAGTGGCGAATCTGCCTGCGATCCCAGATAAATAATACTGTTGGCTGTCCCAGAACTTCCATTTGGGTGCCAATCTTTAAACACTTTAGAAAGTAGTGCTTCTGCTGAAACCCTCCTGACTAGTCCATCATCACACACAGAGTTGCACTCTGTGTGTGATGATAATCACTCGATGGCCAAAGTTAACTAGCTACTACAGTTACGGGTAACTGAGATAGCTGGGGTAGCTGTCCGGTCCTCAAGCTTCTACAAGGTCCCTGTGCATCTATTCCTTCCCCTCCTTCCCGCACATCGGTTAAACGGCATTTACTATGGTCCCGTCCATCGATCAGCCAGTTGGAAGCCTGATAGGTCCCAGGCCAAGCTGATATATAGATTTTAGTGTATACACTGCAGGCGGCTAGCAGAAGCATGGCAGCTATCGACCTGGTTTATAGCATAGGGTGTTTGATAATTCAGGTCGTTTAACAATAAGCGATACCCGGTATGATTAATGTATAGTACATTTATTGATTGTTTAACTCTCGGTTTCCGGAAAGGACCACTTTTAGCGGCTGAGCCGCAGATTCTCGCCAGATGAGCCGGCCTCTGGACCATACCAGTGGTCCCAGACCCTTCTGTATGTTGAATATATATGTGTAGGGCGAGACTCGTAGATCTCCTCTTCTCTGGTCCTTGTACTCTTAGAACAACCGGGATGGTTCGACTTCGACATGTTTATTCGGATAAGTAGATGGGGAAACCAAAATGGGTTTAGATGGGTGTGAACGCGAAGGTCCTCTCCAAGTTGCTCGACGTTGACACCTCAGTCACTAGGCTCGGCTCGTATGCCTGCCTTCTCTGTGAGTGGATCATTAAAACAACATCAGTGTTACATATATATTCTGCCCACGTATTATGCCTTTTTTTGTCTTCAGGTAAGTCTTGGGGGGTACAGCTTAGATGTACAAATAGAATCATTCTTTGGAACCCTTTCAAAATAAAAAAACGAAAGTAGGGATATTGATTCAGATAGAGATTAGCCGCGTTAGATGATAGGGTTACTTCAAGTCGTTGGAGTGGCCTTGTGTCGTATTGACCTTAACCTATATGCCTATTCAAATGCGCCTTTGCGATTGTCTTGCATTCCTCAGGCGTCGTTTTCTTACCATAACTGTATTCTGCTCTATGATTGTCATTGTCATACGGCTACTCTCTAAGGTGTCTCTTAAAATTTAAATCTCAAATTTTAGATCCCTTATAGTTCGCCACCCTTTCCAAAGCCAATCTACAATTTTTCCTGGATTAGTTCCAGTGCGTTCAAACTAGAAGTTTCTTGTACTCTTGGCAATGCAAGCGTTTGCTCATATTAGATCTCTTGGCTCGGGAGCCAATAAATTTTGCTACGCCCGTCATTGCACATTCAGCAAATACTACTTGGAATATTTCCCGTTCTTTGTAGTGAATTCGTCTTTGGTTCTGCTGCCCAAAGAACACTGTCACCATACTGTTCAAGGTGTTTCTAGAGTGACAGATGAATTCGGTCATGTTTGCACCCGAAGTAACTTGCTCCGTACCGGCTGTTGCGATCGGACGAAGAGGACGTCAAGTCGCTTTATTTGTTCAACTTGTTCAGGTCTTCGTTGTTGCTCGGTGTATGAGTATTGCGTTTCCTGTTGCCTCAATCCTGTTAATGTATGTCTACTTACCTGGTGCCGAAGGTGTATATTATTCCGGCGTGGCAGTAGTAGCTCATACCTTAAAGCAGTTACATGCTGCGTTTTGTCTAGTAAATCACAAGACTGGTTCTCTTATGCCAGTACTTATTGTTTTTTTTGCCTTTGTTGTGCAAAAGTAGGAAATAACCTAATCACAAATGCCTCCGTTAGAACTAATTAGTTGCTCTACTACGTCTTACTCTTCTCTATTTTGAAATGCCTTTTTTTTAAGCTTGGAATCTGGAAAAGAGTTTTGGAGTTAGCCCAACTCAAAGCTCAGTTGGATGTCTTATCTGCGACGTCAGTGTTTGAGTTTTGTTCAGCTCGTTGTCGAACTTCGTCCGAGGTGATTTTTTCTCGCTTATGAATGTTTTCCCCTCGTCTGCACCTTATTTTTAGTGGTGAGACTCAGTAAGATTCATATTTTGCTGAGAAAGATTTAAATTCAAGGCTGGATGTGCCTGCCTATGCTGTAGCATTTTAAACCCGTGAATTTATATTACTTGGTGTTTGCATACTTTCTAGTCAATTTTTATTTCTCCAAAGTAATGAGGCTTCGCATATTACTGGTGATTTAGTCTGTTGTCAACGCGAACGCCTATAGGGATGCTGAACGCCGATTTTGTTTCGGTGTCGAGCTTCCGGAACTGAGACCGATGTTGGGATCTCAAAATGATACCTTGTGAGTTTAATTAGCTTTTGTCCTTCGAAAAAGACATCTGCACAAACTAGCTGGGCTAAGTCGATGGAAACTGATTTAGTCATCCCCGACTTTTGCAAAACAAATCTAATGGCAGTTATTTCAAATGATTCTTTTGCTGCTTTGAGCTTTTTGGTCCAGATATGTGTGCTTATGTACTCGAAACACGAAAAAATTCTGGCTTTAATAGTTCTAATCTGGAATAACACTCATGTGATTGTTTTTCCTTTTGCAGAAAGCATTAAAATTAGGATTGACAGTCAAATGTGGCGATTGTGATTGCCACTGGCTGTGACATATTTGAGATTTTGTACCTTACCCATAATTCTACGCTTTTTCGTTTAGTGTTTTTGCTCCGTTTGGGGTGTTGTTATTGAGTGTGCCCCCTTAACACTGGACTGGCGACGGGTATAGTCTGTTTGTACCGGGAAAATTAGGAGATATTTGCGAGGTAGCGATGGTCCAGTTTGCTCCAGCATGGGCTGACGGGTTGGGATCCCGGCTGGGGGGTCGACGCGTATCCGGAACCCCGGTTGGGAGTTCTAGGCGCTGTCGGGGCGTCCTCAATTCGTCTCACCTTCCAGGCACGAGGCCTGGACTCATCATCGTCGCGTTGGGGGTGGCCATTGGAGTTTGTGGTGTACACTTCGGCTCGATGGTCATCCCTCGGTGAGTACGTCAAGCAGCAGACAGGGTTTGTGTGGATCCAGCGGTGCAGGGATACGAACCTGTTAAGTTCCTTGTTGATTAGTTATTAACTGGAACCTTTTTTGTCTAATCAAATATAAGAATTTCGGTTTTCTCAACAAATTCCCTAAAAGGGTGGGGGTTTAGTAAAATAGGTTTTGCGGAGGACAGCATTGATGCGCTCGCTAGGTATCTGTGCTGCCCGGGGAGCTATGAACTTGCTCAAGGATTTAATTAAAAGGATGGCTAAAACTAACCTTGTTGGATTTAGTATACTGAAATAAGCAATATGTGTAAATAACTAATTTTTTACTTGAACATTAAGACACAGGCACTTCACAGAGAAGTCACGCAAGACTGCGAATGCATATCATAAATTTGGCTTAGTATTGAAATATTTAAAAGGTTCAATGCACCACTTTTACTTTAAATATATTTTGTTAAGGTACATCAAAATAATCAAAACGAAAACCCCAATTGGTCCTTGATACCTATTGGTTCATTTTGAGATAATATATGGCCTGGGCAAACGTGCCAACCCTCTCGCCTTTTTTATATCTTGCGATCTGTCAAACAATCAGGGGATATGCTGGCGAATTTCTATAATGTTGTAAATTGCAGGAACATTCTCATCTTTGTAATGTTACTAGTCGTTTGGTCCTCGGAATCCCACAATTCCACTGGCAGCCCACACTTGTTAATAAATTCCCATTTCCACTTGCGTATGCTCTTTTCAAAGTATGAAAGAAACGGGAGTATTTGCGTTCATGGTCTCGACAAACTTATTTGGAATATTAGGCACCCGGAGAGACAGGTGAGTCGGTGTCCCGTGATTTCGTCTCATACTCTGGTGTTTCATTACCACTTTTTCCAAAATCTTAAGTGTTTCACGGCTAAGGACATCGTAAAAGGCACATTGAAAGCAGATACGCTAAAGGAAGTCCTGCCTACACTTGTTTATGATCTTGTTGATCACAACTGCTCAATGGTTTTGGATGATCATCGTGACCATCATGACCACCATGATGAGCTAGTCCCTCGCCAGGATTGGAAGGGTATGTGATTCTGTTGTTGAGAGTTTTGCGGTCTACTATTCATGGTTTAACTTCTTCCTCGATAACATAAGGTTTTTCAGATATGCTAGTAAGTCAAACGTAGTCGCTAATGCATAGACATCTAATCGACCTTTGAATAACGCCTTTATTCGGTTCGCTTTGACTTTCGATTTTTTGATTTCGCATCCTCTCTACACATCAAATTGTGCTGCTCTATTTATTGCTCTAATTTCTGCAGTTTGGGGTGCAAGCATCGGCGCTGTTGTCGTTATAAGCATATCTGGCCTGGTTGTTGTCGCACTCGTCCCGTTGATATCGAGGAAAATATTCAGTGTTGTTGGGCAATTTCTTATCGCATTATCTGTCGGTTCTCTGATTGGAGATGCATTTTTGCATTTGATCCCTCACGTAAGCTTGTTGTCTTGCTAGATAACCATTCATTTAGTATTCGATTAGCTAAAATAAATTTGAGTCATATCTGGAAAAAAACAGTAAAACATGTAGAAATTTCTTTTGTGCATCGAAACCCCGTGTTTCAGATTTTCGGTTTGCCACTTTTTGCGTTTGTTGGTTATGTTCACGCTGAACCTAGCTTGTTTGTGGATCAGTGTACATTTCAATCAGCTTTTGCCCCCACTTTAGTGTGATCTATGTTCCAAACTATAGCAACGAATTGTCATGGCTTTCGGATGTCGTTTCACTTTCCTCGGGTTTTCGGATCTATCGATTCCGATGTGTGTTCTTTTAGGCTCTTTTGTTGGACGAAACAGGAAGCCATGGTCATTCGCACCATTCTCATGATGAAGAAGGTACTAGTCAACATGACGCGTTTGTGTGGAAGTCAATGATTGTCATTTTGGGCATCTACGCCTTCTTTTTAACGGAACGCCTTACCATCATTGGTCAAAACAGCACTTTTATGCGCAAATTGAGGCGCAATCAAGTATGTCCCTTTTGAAGATTCTCAGTTGTATAAATAGTATTTCACCAGGGAACATGCATGATATATATTACTGCTGCCAAGACTAAAACCATCTTGATTTCAGCCGAAATCGCATGAAAGTACAAACTGTTAGTGGGTTTTATAGGACTTTTATTTGGGATATTACATTTTTTCCACTACTTTGGATATTTGTACGAAGACCTCAAGTCGATTTGTGAAACCTTTATTCTGCTTTAGTTTCATTATCGAATTCAATGCCAGCTTCCATGCAACTTGTTTTACCCATTTGGAAAATTACTGGGGTCATCTTTCTTACCTTTCTCCTTGAAGAAACTAGCTTCAAAACCTGTGGCACCTGAAGAGATGTCCGGTCCGGTAGTCAATGCTGGCGCCTCCTTGCCGAACCGATCATCTAGCAGTACACCACTTACTCCGAGCACTCAGCCCTTTGTCAATTTGAATCACCTCACATCCGATCAAAACGCCTGTGCTAATCTCCTTGGTGATGCGGATGGCTCTTGCGGTATGGTAAGTGACGCATTACCTCATCATCATTAGTGTGTTTCTGCCTCGATTATGCTTGACTGACTGGTTGGGGTTGGATTACTGAGTTAATGCAAAGCTATTTCTTCTCGGTTATCCTATGTGTTTCATTTTGAAAATTGTCACACCTCTTTGAATTATACGCCCTGAAGTCAGGTTTTATGTCTGCCAACTTGAATAAACCGGATTTGGCATTTGTCGAGATACTGTCCATTGTCTACATCTCTTATGTTCCCATCTAATGGTATTCAATTCGCCTAGTATTTATGTTTAAAAAGTGCTACGATAGTAAATTCTTTCGAGAACTTCTTCCCAACATTGACCTTTCATGACTACAATGATGCAGTGCATGTCCTATTCTTCGTTCTTTTTGTCTTTTCATTGTCCTGGAGATGCCCTCTATACATCAAGTGCTTGTTTAAATTGCTTTCACTCATTTTTCAACCACTATCTTATAAAAAAACTGCGCCGAACTCTGGTCTTGGCAAGGTGTGCTTTTGGCCTCGTTCGTGTAGTGCTGATACATTACGTTCTTTTTTTGGCTTACACAAATAATGGGCTGATGGTGCCTCACTTATTGTACAATCTTCCGTAGACTGAAATGTCTGCATCCAGCCACCTCTGCAACCGCCCACCCTCCAGGCCTCTTAGTAACGCTCAGTGTTCCGAATTCCTCACCGGTAAGTGCTTGGAGAGTTCTACATTGAGAAAAAGGTGGGGCATTATTTTGAACATGCCTACCCTTTTGGGATTTGTTTAATCGTTATTTGGACTGTTGTCGAATCGAGATACATCCATTATTGCAATCGTGATTTCTGTCCGGACTCGAAATGTTTTATAAGTTTATTTCTGACCTGAGCTATCTGCTATTCCAGCGGCCACTGATATGTTATTTTTCCCATTGCTAGTCTCGAGGCCCCAAATTCTAGGTTTAATTTTACTTTATGTTGCATATGGTGCGCGCTGGCTTAGCTTTCGGTTTTCATGTCTACCATAACTTGACTATCTGGCAGGAGTGCATTTACGCACTTTTACCTCATTACGCGGCTAAAACCATATATTTGCCTTGCCTAATATAGACTTGATAATATTAATTTTTCTTACAAGTTTCTGAAACACTTCACAGGCTCGTTTCCTTATAACAGTGGTGTTGATATTTTTTCCAGATGGTAAGGGCACTATTGCCAACGGTTTGCAAGGGCATGTAGAGAACAACCGAGCAGATCTGCTGCTTTCTCAACAGTCACACCAACTCAATCTCGGTGTTACTAACAATGCTGTCTCCTTGACTCTTGATGAGGGTGCAGGTGATCCCTTGAAACAGACAAAAACTGACAGCGGCGATGATTTGGGGGAGGTTAGTTTGTGTAGATGCCCTTTTATAGGCTCTTCGATTTATACGTATATTTAAGTGTTTGACTCATTATTTAACCGTATTCTGATGGATAATAATAATTCGATGCACATTTCGTGGCAAGCATTTTTGGTGTATCCGCGTCAGAATTGTGATACACAAAAGGAAACTTAGTGATGCAACACATCGACTACTACATAATTACTTAATGCACGTACTAGTTTTGTTGTCGGTTTTATGTTCCTTTTTTTGTGAATCGGGATTTCGCCTAATGATACCTAGTTTTACTGTGTGTTTAAATCTGAATTCTGTTTTTCTCTACTAGGCGTCTGCGCATAAACTGTTTTGTTCGCTTGCGAATCTGGCACTATCAGCAGTGTCACCGCATTTACGTCCATAACCTCAACTCATTTTGTGTGCCAGCAAGCATGGCTTAGCCGTCAAATCCAACCGTGTGGCACGATTAACTCCGTTCGCCTGCGTCGGCGTGCGAACGCATTATCACCTTTTCAAAAACTAGTCCAAAACACGCTTGGACATGGGTCATGACCCGCTCTGCCAATTTCGTCATTCTTGTACACATCAGTAGGAATGGATCCGTTGTCTTTATCTCCTATAATATGCTCAAAATGAAAATGTTTGTTGGCCTGTATTTTGCTTCCCAAAACATTCCATTTTATGCTATACAGCTTTTGTCACTCCGTAAATCCGTAATTACATTGAAGTATCCCAATTATGTCTGAGACTGATATTACTAAAATCATTTCCGGTTTACATTCGACCTGTGTCGTTTTTTTGGCCTAAGTAGCTCCAAAAACAAGTTCGCAGTGCTGGGCCTGTTTACCCAAGCTCGTCTAACAAAAGAAGATCAAATATTTGCCAAAGGTTTATTGAAAAACACTTTTCGACCTTGTAATGAACCAGCTTTCTTTATTATTCCTTTATTTTTTTCCTCAGTTGAATTTTCATCATTTTTTGACAGCGGACTCCATTTAGATAGCCGATCTTTGGCCCTCGGGTCGGTTTGGTTTATTTTTCTCTTGCTTGTTTAGGTCCGGGTTAAAGCGATGGGGTTGTTGTCTTTTTTAAGCTCCCAAATTATTCAACCACAGTTGGAAGTCGGAAAATATAAGCACTACAGAATTATGACATCAATAAAATTCTAGGGATTTTATTGATGATTTCAACTTCTATGAATCAATGGGCGGATCTGGTATGGGTTCATTGTAGACACGATCGCTGGACAAGAGTTACCATGACGGCGATCATGAGCATCATGAACACGGTCACCGTCACCACCACCATCACCCGCACGGCCACGGACACCACTACAGGAAGCCCCATGGGCACCACCACGGCCACAGTCATGATCTGAGCTCGGTGAAGGCCATCGCGTGGACCATCATTGCGGGTGATGGGCTGCACAACTTTTGCGACGGTATCGCCATAGGCGCCTCCTTCGCAGAGAGTCTTCAGGGCGGTCTTTCTACCTCACTGGCCGTCCTCTGTCACGAGCTACCTCACGAGCTCGGTTAGTTTTACTTACTTCTCTCTCCTCCCCTCATCACCTTAATCAGCGAATTCCTTCACTCACGTTCTCCCACGATGTCAGTTGGAGAATATGACCTACTGCCTTGAAATGGGTTGTTTATTCATTTAAACTGGACGCCTATACTTCTCCTCTGGAATATAGCACGGATTCCCATATGAAGTCATCTTCCTAAGTATGAACCGTGAGCTCGTGACAGAGTTCACTTTCACGACAAGATGCCTATTGCAAACGGTATATTTCCAGAACAACGGAACACTAGTAACGAAAGGGGGAGCTTTCTTAAGATGGGTCGACCGTGAAAAGCTGTACCACCGCCGACGGTAGGGCATAAATCAATTCTTTTTTAAACTGAGTGAGTATCGTTAGCGTTGTGACAAAGCTAACAAAATAAATGTCAAAGGTTGTCCACATCATGGTAACCTTTACCGTTATCAAACTCTCAGCCACATGTATTACCACGTGGGACTTGTAGGTCGCTGGTATGAAACGGACTAAGTCAATGCGAATTTTGCAGTTTTTCGTAAATTTAGTAGAGTGCTTTGTGCTCACCCTTTGGCGACCATGGTTTGATTTGGTTGACACAAAGATATCATACTGTGGGCTAGCAAAATTATCTTGAAAACTAGTTACATTATCAAGGTTCTTACTAGGATAAGTACATCCCAATTAAATTGGGGTTAATAAATTATAACCGTGCGTTTAGAACATTTTTATAACTGATGTACTCCTTTACATTGGCTTGTCTATTTCATCACTATTTAACAACTGAATTATTTTGGAATTTTTTGATGTACTTTCTTTAGTTGAAAGTGGCCATGCAGTACATTCACGGTTATCTAGCCCTCTTGAACTTAGTATGAAATAACAAACTATCCTTGGGTATTATCATTTCTTTCCTCTACTACTAATGCACTTAAATGAAGACGAGTCAATAAAAATACCAGATCAAATCAACTAAACTAGCATCACAGATTCGTTGAAACATTGTGCCATCAATAATACGCCACCGGCAGTGGGGACAAAAGCCATTATTGCCACATTTTGTTATTGTGGTCTCCGAATATGGACTATTCACCACCATATTTGCGACATTGCCTGAGTTAGCTGACTAAAGATTTGTCCGGGTGTCTACTCAGTGCTCTTGCATTAATGTTAAAGGGTGCTAAACAATTGTCTGATTTCCCTACAACCCTCATCTGCAGGGGACTTTGCAGTTCTGCTGCACGCTGGCATGTCGGTGAAGGCAGCTCTTTTCTACAACACTCTCTCAAGTATCCTCTGCGCGGCTGGCATGGTGCTTGGTGTCCTGCTTGGCTCTATGCCCTCAGTAAATCTTTGGCTCTTCCTCATTACCGCTGGCATGTTCGTCTACATCGCACTTGTCGATATGGTGGGTCTCCTCTTTTCACCTCGCTAACGTACTCGAAAATGCTTCATTCTACATTACCATATTTATCAGAACCTTTAGCTACATGAGTGAGCCATTCCTCCGACCCCTGGATGTGTAATGACTTGGCATTTGCTTTGACAGTTTCACTATGGGTTTTTTTTCGCAGATGTCTTATGTGAACTGTCAACGCGGCCAACTTCTTCCGCATCAAATTAACTGTCGGTACTTGCCTACTAATTTCGTTCTAGTACACCTTTATTGATCCTTCGTTCACAAGATCACACTAGCGGAGACAATAAGGCGCTAGCATTGCTCTTGTGGCAATTTTTATAACAAGCAATTTAATGTTCTGGGTGAAGGCGATCTACATTCTCGGCATTATCATCTCACACTTTTAAGTACCCTTCAATGGATTAACTGGATGAAACATTTATCTCAAATAAAAGCGCAGGAATTCATAAGGTTTATTGTTTTTACTATTCTAGATGCCGGAGTTGGCAACCACTCACTTGAGCGGTCACCCTCACTGTCACACTCCCAGCATCTTGTTCTTTTGGCAAAATGTTGGCATGATCATCGGCGTCGCCATCATGCTGATCATAGCGAAGTTTGAAGGAGCTATGTGATAAACATTTGCTTCCTCCCTCAACTCTTTTCTGATTCCTCCCTCTTATCTCACTCCTTATGACGCCAATTCATACGGGGCTTAAAATTTTACCCCCTACCTCATGCGTTCTGCTCATCTTCAACATTGTCAAATTTGTAAGCCTCTGCCTTCTAACGAGCCTTCGTCATATCGTTTCTTAGCTAAATAACTCCTACTACCAAACATCCATGACGCCTTTCTTCCATTTCCAATACAAAAATCCTAGCTTTTGTTCTTCAAGTTTTTGTCTTAATTGTCACGGTGCGATAATGTGGGCGGTTGTTTCGGAGAGGTTAAACTAGATTTGCATTCAAAGCACTCACTGTTTTATATCTCTGGGTGAATAAACCTAAGTAAAAGGGACGTTCAATTGAACATTTCTAATGTCAACCTGTCGTAAAACTGATGAAATTCGTAGCTGCTAAAGGCGCTTCCGTCTTTTGACATTTTGTTGAGTACGATCAAAGCTCGGTATTATTCTACCCACTGTTGTCCGCCAAAACGGTAGCGTTGTCTGTTTTGCTTCCACATAAAATGGAGGATTTTGTGTTAAAAAAAATTTAATCGAAAAAGTCACGATTGCATTGCTCGTTTTTGCGCTTCTGCAAATTGCATCACATGGTACAACTGGCGGCCCATATTTTCACCCAACCTCTCCCGAGTAAATTCATTCCTTCCAGCTGTTCGATTCAGTATGCTAACGGCAAAATCGAGACAGTCGGTTTCCGAGCTCCTTGCTCCGGCTTCTACTCCTTCCTCTATCATTCGGTCCCATAGCGCTCCATCCACTGTGCCTGTCTCTGGAAATTCACAGACAATAGATTGTTTCCACGTCCTGGACCTGTCATGGCAAAATCGACCTTCATGTGGGGAGTAGCTCCTTACGCAGCCTTTGGTATCGATGACTCCACAGTGTAGCTCGTCCCCGATTGCAAAGTTGAGGAAGCCTCGATTCTGGTCGGAGGGTATGAAGGCGACACGCACAGGACACGTCCCAGGCATCACCGGTGTGTGCGCGTCTCTTACCGGTGGGAGCATCTCACAGGGCAGTGATGCAAATTTTGCCACTGTACCGCAGAATTGGCAGCAAAAGGCCCTCGACCTCAGGGCATACTGCCATGCGTCATCGTTTCCACAACACTTTGTTCTGAATTGATAGAGCGGTTTCAGCATGGTGCTCCTGCGCACTACGGTGCATGTATAATGCAGGCGCTTCGTTCAGGTAGTCATAGGCGCACACGTGCACCACGCCTAACATCCATCCATTGGATGGATGTGCGTGTCATCAGTGCACCAGTTTCGCATGCCTATTCGTTGGTGCCTTCTGCCGCGACTTATTCTCAACCCAGTGCCCACACTGTTTCCCCGCTTCAGTTAATAGAATTGTATTAAGCCAAAAAAAGACCAATGCCAGTACACCAGTCCTACTTTTCATTCCCAAATGGTGTCACATTACCAAATAGAACATCATCAGCGTCTTGATACCTTTCTTTTTTACTAATTCTCACCACTTTTGTTGGTTAGTGCGACGGCTGCGTCGACTGAGGATTGCAATTTCAAGAATGAAGGTTGTCAAAACGAAGCCCAAAATGGCTGTGAAGAAACTGATCGCCATGAAACGATAAAAACTGCTCCCTTCAATAATGTTAGTGGTAGTATCACGAATTCGAAAGACAAACAACTGTAAAGGGAAATGCGTATAATTAGTATTTATGAATACGGGCATTAAAATACTCAAGTGAATTTTTGGGTCAGGTAAATAATATACTTTTGGTTGCAATGGTGGCTGACACATGCATGGTATTTAAGTCAAATGTAAATAGCAGTCTATTTGAGATTCAAAATGCGATATTTTATCCAAATTTGCTGTCTATTGGATTCAGTAGTATAACTACGCAATGTGGTTATAAGCCCTAAAACGCCTTTTTTTCTGTACCTCTCTTAAAGCTACTAATGTTGGATCGGAAATTAGATTTAGTCGAGGGACAAGTGCTAGACAGGAGATCCACCTTCATAGTCGTGCATAACTATCTCGCCCATGAATTAACCTAGGAAGCTCAATTCACCTTGTAAGCGGTCTTCTCCTCGCCGTTGATTTCGTTAGTGGCATGACAGACACCCACGTAGATTAGGTCCTTGGGATCACCGAGCTCTTTTTTCACAAGCATCATGGAACCAGTGTCGTTTCGCATCACCGCGGTGGGCCAATTGGGCTGCAATCGCGCGGGATCACGCCAACGTCCGATGCCCGAGAGGCCTAGTCGCATCACCTCGGAGATGGCCCCTTTGCGCAGGGGGTAGGCGTCGAGGCTGACCAACGGCGCGGGGTTGCCGCTTGCCAGGCACGTCACCCACTCCTCCGAGTTTAGCACAAAGGCAACGTCTTTCTCGCTCACTTGGTCCGGTGGTGGTGGACTGATGATAATGTTTGAGGGCGGAAAGAACACACAAATTTTGGCAGTGGCACGTCTTATAAGTTGGAGTTGTAGTTTGTTCCAATCGGTGGAAAAGTTATACAACTTATTACCTATTTCTGGTCTAACCTCACAAGTTAGTATGGCGTTGTTGTGACTGTAGGATATATTCAGAAGGACTGGTGAGAAATAGATCAGCTTTTTGGGCGGATTTGCACCTGTAATTATGGCCGAAGCCACATGTAATGCTTTGGTCGTGGCATTTTCTACACGAGAGATTTTTAGTGTTGCAACGGTGGATAAAAGTCCAACGCCCAAAGGTTTGTCGTCCTCCACACAAAATGCCTGATAAGCCATGGCCTCACATTCAACAGATAGGATTTCTCCAACGTAGTAACAAGCCTCAGATCGAAAGGGAGACAGTCGTATTGTTGTACCTGTGGTATTGCGGACAAGACACACCGGTTGGGCTGATATTTGACTCAGCACCAAGTCAGTCGAGTGCCCAACCATTTTGGTGGCACCAAACGCACAGCCGTAGTAACCAAAATCATTAAAAGAACTCGGTTTTATATTCATTGCAAAGATTAAATCTCTTCCTTGTTGCTGTTGGTAAGCAATGAAGTTTGAGTGATTCGTAGTTACTGTTCCGTTAATAAGATCATGATGCGACAGATGATGTGCAAAGGGATTGCTTTCAGACGAAACCATGTTTACCTGGCGGTAAAGGCGAAACCATTGTAAATTTTTGGCAATTAAACCACTGTTCTCGGTTAGGATACTTGGACACACCACAGTGATTTGACCCGGGATTAAAACTATCTGCGATGAAATCTTCACCGTGGTAAATACAGTAGAGTTTTCATCGGCTAAAACAATAAACTGCACATCCTTCTCCGAGATCATATCTTTTCCACCACATTTGGACGCAGCGCGGCACGTGTAGACGTAAAACCCGGGACTTGGTAGATCCGACAGCCTTAGCTCTGATGAGCGCATCGTTTCTTTATGCTGCTGAGTGTCATTTAACTCTCTCGGCCGTGGAAGAGGTCCGAGCTTGTAAATCCAGTAAATAGTCGATTTCTCGAAGATTACTCCATCATCATAACAATTGAGAATTGCATTCCTTTTGAGGGGTTTGGTCACCTCCGGAGCAACCTTCAGCCTACTACTTGGTCCACATATACGAAGGGGTCCAAGCTTTCTTCCCAACTTCCTCTCTTCTGTTGTCTGCAAGCTCCAGTAGCACCCGATATACTTCATCGTATCACGGTACGCGTTCACATTCAGAGAATGTTCCAGAAGGTAGTAACTGTAGTAGCCAAATGGTTCAAGCTGATCTATGTGTAGATTTTGCCTGGACACCTGAGTTATTTGAGAATTTTGGAAAGTAAACTCAAAGATGTAGGGCTTGACATTCAAAGGAGAAGTGACGGGATATTTTATGTGCCATATGAGGCATCTGGTCTCCAAACGGTCGCCTTCAAGGAGTGTTAGCGATGTCGGGGACGAGTTTACTAATGTCCAAGCCTTTGAAGTCAATTTATGGGCAAGTAAAGGGGGCTCCTTTCTGGGGAATACAATAAGTTCTGGCTGAATATCCGCGTCATTATATCCCCCAAATAGGTAGAATCGACATACATAGCAGCCTGCGTCTGGAGTCTATCAATTACACAAGAAAGTGCTTTAGAAGTCTTTGGATATGCTCTAAAATCGTGCCAAGACTGAATGAGTCCAAGTTGACTTCCGATATCACAGCTTTAATAAATCTATCATATAAATAATCCAGTAAAAGCGGAATTAAAATCAAGTCTCTATTAAATTTAATATTGTTTAAAACAAGCATGTCGGAAAAGTATTTATCCGACATCGTCGGTCCCAATCGTCTAAATAGTACCTTGCATTCGTTTTCTCTTACCTCCCCGTTGGGGCAATCCTACGATTACAAGATTTTTATTAATTTGATTATAATTTATAGGCGAGGGCAACATTAAGTTCATTGCCAGACCTTATTTGATATGTGGAATATTTTTGCTCTAGTTATTTCGGGGTTATCTGCAATGCGTTGGTTAGCTTTAGGTTTCGGTAAAGGGGTCACTTAGGTGACTCGCGATTGTACCTTCACTAGGCGGCCTGGCCTACGGGCCATGCCGGTAGAACCAAGCCCTTTAATATGTCAAAAATATTTATATTCTATCCAAGCATCATGTCTTCTTTCGTTTTCAGGAGCAATTTTTCCTTTACCATTTGGTTGGGTGTCAAATACCTAGAAAAACTCGACGTTCTATTATGAGCTAATTCGAGCAAATAATAAAAATAAGGAAAATTTAAGTCCCTTTAGTTTGTTGCCGCTTTAAACTGGTTAGAAAAAATTCTAATGCAGAAATTGAGTCCCATAGGGGAAGATTCTCTACGCGAAGAAAATTGGACGGCTAATTTGCTGATTCATTCCCGTTATCATCTAGGCGTCTCTAGGGTCCCAAATTTTTATTTTCACCAATACTTTGGTGCACTTTCATAATCATAGATGCTCGTATGACATTTGAATTTTGATAAGACTCAACAATTTGTTTTATCATTAAACTCAGCATAAATTGCAAGACTTACCAAGGCACGAGATATTTGAATCCTCACAGCTTTATGACCTTGATTATCGTCAACACTTTCCACTTTGAATTCATCCAGAGGGATACTGCTCCACCACCCAATCGGCTTGAAGTGCTGAATGAAATAATATGCTTTGCTCCCCTCCTTTTGCATCTGGAAGCTTACATGAAACAGGGGTAGCTCTATAGGCTCTGCTGCAAATGTGACCTTCCCGAGTACATACAAGCTGTGTATCTCCTTGGAATCCTTGTTTTCCATAATCGGACATTCAATAGCCCACGGCTCACTTATGTTTATCATTCCCAACCTCGGATAAAGCGAACCTGGCACAGCCCAACGTCCATTTGAGTTACCGGAGGCATAATTGACGTGTGCCTCCTTCACTGCGCTATCGTTCCCGCCGTTGGAAACCTCACACTCCAATTTAGCCACACCCCATGCCCCTACTTGCCAGAATGACGGGGCTGCTCGAGACAAAGCGAAGTAATATGGCGATGTTTCTTCTTTTGGGATAAACTTTTTCGGGAAAAATCCTGGCTTTGATTTGGAGAGGATGGACGCACGGGTGGAATTGACAGGATTTTTATAGAAGGATATCCTATTTAGCCCCAAGCGAAAATTCCACGGATGTGCTTCCTTTATACGCCAGTTAAAGTTCGTCGGTGGTGGATAGGCAATAACTTCACATATCCACTCGTAGTAGCCAATGTTTATGTTCGTCAGAGTCGGTTTAACTGGGAAAAGATTGTCGATAGGATCACTAAGAAGACGATTGTCTTCATCCATTTCCCACGATGGTAGGGTTTCGCAAAATACAAATGCGTCAAAGTGCTTAATGGTGACCAGAGGAATGGTGTATTCTATAGCACGATTGTAGACATTCCCTTTAGGTACGTACGAAAGACTACATTTTGCAAAGGCAGCTTTTGGATGGGTGGTTAAATGAGTATTACTGGAGCTTCCACAGCCCCCATTTTCCCAAGTGGTGAATCGGCAAGGTGTTGTTGTGTTTACATTGCCTCCCCCTGTTTCCGAACAGATGACAAAACTTTCGCTCCTGTCTGCAAAAGCCATTTGGAGGGAATAACTCTGCTGCTCTCCTGTCACTGCCTCACAGACGAATGACATGCGGGTACCCAAGCGGGGAGTGTCGGAGTCGTCGGTAAAGGGTGCGGAGACCACTCGCCTTATCGTGGGTCTCATCGGACAGTTGGAGGTGAGGAGAATGCGAACTGGGTTGCTAGACTGCAAGGGAAGAGCAGTGAATCTCTTCGAAAGCAATTTAGGATAGCTTAGAACACAGTGTATGTCCGAATTTTCCGCCTCCTTGGGAAAAGCGGGCCAAATAAGGCGAGCGGATACTTTACGACCAATGTCTCGATACCTGAACCCCTGTTGAGTCGAATTAGTTCTAACTACCACTAAGTAGGAGCTACTACTGTTAGACCAGTAGACGAGATCAATTTGGTAGTTAATTCTTGTCATCTCAATGACACATTCAAATTCGGCCGAATCGTTGGCCTTTTGAGCCAACTGATTTATCAGAAGATATGGTGCCTTCAAACCCCCTTGGTTGAGTCTGATATCAATTGTTATAGAGCCTGATTGTGACTATAAGTGAAGAAAAAAATTAATAGAGATGAGTGTGTAGGCATTGCACTGCACGGAGAATTTAAAATTAACAGTCGTTTGATACGTGTTGATTTCTTCGTAAAGGACTAACAATGTGCAAGATGACAAAATCAAAAAGTTGCTTGACCATGCGTGCGAAAGCTTTGCAATGCGATTACTTTTTACATTTTTAGATATTATGCGCTTCTTCAATGAGAAAATAACTAGTACATGAAGTTTCTAAGGATTTTGAATGAATTTTCTAGCGAAACGTTTAATAGTTATTGAACGATTTCCACTTGTTAAATTAATTACTTTTAGGCAAACAAGAAAAAATAAACAAACTCCTACGTGCAGCGAAACAAATTCATTACTGATTAAAAGCTATTAAAGTAAAAACGTCGCGTTAGTTTCCGTCTGTTTGTACTGTTGCATATATAAAGTAAAAACAACCTCCCAAATACCTTATAGATCAAATGGTATTGTTCCATTCACGGCAAAAATGTTTGAACAAACTATTCCTTTCTCTAGTATTAAACGAATGTTAAACTCACCAAAATTGTATCAACACCTCGTTCATAGGCAAGGATGGCATCGCCATCGAGAGAAGCGTCCAGTTTTATGCTTCGTGACATACTGAGGCATGTGGATCCAGATCCACTGGATGCCGAATCTGCTAGTACTTTTTTGCATTTAGAGTCAAAGTATTTCTGGTTTTCAAAACCCTTTATAATGCTGGCTGCTGCAGTCTGATCTATGAAACACACTCTCAAATGTCTTTGTTCCTTGTCGAAAGGGCTTACTCGAATAACGGTAAAGAAAGTGATGCTTTCACCTTCGAACATAAAGCTTCGTAGATGAGATAAGAAGCCAAATCCTACAAAACTTTTGTTGTATACATCCGCCGGTTGTGAAAGGTTACAAATCGCGTCGAAGAGAGGAAGGCGTTTAATGAAAGTGGCTTGATGCTTGGTGGAATGGTCCGAACACTTTTCACCGAAAACATCACCATTGGTAAGCTGAACCGAGCAGTCGGGACTTCCTTTCGCCCAGCCAGATGGACTTGCAAAATAAACACTAATGACATGAACATACTTCATTTTCATGAGCCGCATAAATCCAGCTACATCGCCTTTATCCCAGCGATCCTGCGGAAGTACAACGGCGTGTGGACGATGGACTTGCAAACCATCCTCTCTTGTATTAAGAACGTTTTTGTCCACAGAAAGGAAACCCTCGGTAAGATCTACGGGGATTTTCCGAGGACATGAGTCATTATTTGCGTGATAGATTGGCTGAGGTCTGACAGATTTTGAAAACAGACCTTCAGCAAGCTGAAAACGCGAAAGTCCGTGAGTTAATGACTTCGGACCAGCATATAGTGAAGCCCTTTTTAAGACCTTGTTTAATATAGTGGTCGGATTCGTACTTATTCGTACATAATCGGCTCCATGAGCGAGTCCGAGAATGATCTGTTGCAATAAGTGGACATAGCGTTGGCCATAGAAATCCAAACTACTTTCAGCATCATGGGGATCTAGCAATGTATGCCCTGCGACCATTTGGGGTGAGTAAATGAGAGATAGGTCAAGTGATACGAAACGGTGTTCACAAAGACAAATAGTTAGAAAGAGGAGGCGTTCAATTCGGTACGTCTTCCCTACTAACTCATTAAAAGCACTGCATTGAAAGAGGAAGCTCATTCCCCTGTACCTGGCGTCATTAGGAACTTCTAGCCGGTCACCTTGGAATGCAGAATTCGGAAATGCATCTGGACTATCGAGAAAGACGTTTGGAGTGCCAGCAAGATTGAAATAAGTGGAAGAATTGAGGGATAGTAGTCGGCTGGGATCAACTTTTGTCCACTGATAGGTAGGTGGAGGAAAGCCCTTAGCTCCAGTGCACCGAATGCTGGTGCCTAATGGCACAGGATATTCCTGTAGGTGACGAACACTACCATAGAAGGAGAGATCCCCTTCCACAGCATGGAAAACTAGAATGTCTCGAGTATTCGAAGCAATGTGGCCTAACTCAAAATTATCTTTTAGGTCATTTTCATCTTTTATCCAGGCTGGAACATCCTTCTTTTCAGCCTTAGATGTTACCGAACAGGTAGCTTTCAGCTTTCCCCCATATTCTGCTTTACCATACCCACCGCACTGATAAAATTTGAATTTTTGCATTCGGTGCATACCCTCTCGTAAATTTAAGGTACGCACAAGCTTAAAAGGAAAATCCCATCTAGGTTTTGGCTCTTCTCTAGTAAGACTGAGAGACATGGAAAAATTAAAGCCGACTTCAGTGGTGGTCCAACAAACAATGTAGCCGACTTGCTTGGTCATGAAATAGGGATCCAGTGATTCGGTGTACTGATTGTGAACATCGCCTACTTTTATTGCTTTGGCCGGCACTACTTTATCGTAGATAAAGGTTTGAACGTTTATTGAGTCAGCAATGACAGTAAGACGTCTGTCTGTACAGACTTGTAGACGAACTGCACCAACCTTGACAGTGCACTCATAGATTCCGCTATCAGTCAACTCTGCAGCATTTTTTCGTAAGTTGAAAAACTTCTGTCCACTTTTTGCTTCTATCCAAAATCCAACCGGCAATGGCTCTGCACTAATTGAGCCGAGGGATTTCGTTTTCTTGCATTCAATTCCGTCAGGTGACACTAACACATCCAATGGGCAAAACATGCGAATTTTTTGGCCAATATGAACAACGGCTGGCCAGCCTATCTTCAGAGGGGTTACTCGGTAATCTGCTCCTAAGTCCCTGGAAAATAATTTCAAGTTAGTGGGAGGTATTTTAAGTAGCCAGGGCGCAAATCGCCTTATTATCCACTCTTTGAGATGTACTTCAGCTTGATCAGTTGTATGGGACGAATTCAATGCGTTAAAAGCCATAATTACCAAACCAACGTCTTCTATACTTGGTAGGCAACCGAATTCGATCACATTTGATTTATAGTGAGATTTGCATGGAACAAAATTAGGGTAACTTCTGTGTCTGGGATACCGAATTAGATAAGCCCTGACGCTGCCTCTTGGAATGCCTGGATTATATTCCACAGATCCGCTTATTTCCGTGCCCTCAATTTGGCGTTCTAGTACAGAATAAACTTGGGAAAGCTTCGTTCCGTCAAGAACTGATGCTAAAGTACTTTGAAGCGTTTTTTGAAGTTGAGGGACATTACAAGTGAGAGTGGATCCAATCAGAACGGGTGGAGCTGCCAATGAAAGCGTGCTTGTTTTCTTGAAGACTTCGTCATTGTCATAAAACTTCACAGTTAGAGCGTAATCCCCAGCCATGTCTTTGGTCACATGGAAAGCGTACAGGGAGACGATGCTCCCATCCACCCGTAAACCAAAGGAATTTTCCGGTCCACAATCTTGGTACTTACAACCTAACGGGCAGGTGAAAAAGCGCTCTGTTGTTGGCAAATTGGCCGGACCCGTATACTGACAGTCAATGATGGCGTCTTGGCGGTACTCCCATTTAACGGACCTGACTCTGGCCCCCAGGCGTGGAATAAACCACACAGACCAGTCTCTCTCAGTAATGGCCCTCTCGTCTGCTTCATAATACTGTACATTTACATCCGCCAGAGATGGCTGCAGTAAAAGAGCCAGGAAGAAGACTGCTGTCGTAGCCATAACCAAGTCGATTTTACTTAAAAATCAATAAGCCAACTGACATGATTTTTAAATCACGATCCAAATACATGCCAGTGCCACACTTTGCGGTGCTAGAGATGCACTTCATGGAGTTCTAGCAAGTAAGTTACTAACGTCACTCGCTTACCTTGAAAGCTACCCACGAAAGCTGAGGTAGGTAGGCAGGTAAGCGAAATCATTAATTTTAAATAGAAACACAGTCTTTGTTGCCTTATTGAAGCAAGCTGAAGATCTCAGCGATAGTCGTAGCTAATGCACATCACGCGAGCCACGCGTTCATCCACCCACGCCCACGAGCTTTCAAAAGTCCAATCTTGAGAAGGCTTCAAACAGATCGCAACCTGGGATTTTGCACTTTTCCTTCCCTCAAAGCAAATAACTAACAACTGAGGTGTCTCATTGACTTCATATCTGATCTAATAAAGGAGCACAGGAAAAAACATGGTTTTAAGTAACCCATTTATCAATGCAAATGTAATTTCATACAATCTAGGCAAGGCATTCACAGACCAACTGCCGTGTATCATCTGTTATTCTGGAAACCAAATCAGAAATCCCAGAAAAAAAAACTGAATTTATACATATACATCGGACAACACAGTCAAATGGATCCGTGGCAATGGATGAAAGACCAAGCCACATCAAAACAGTGCAACCTTGGATGCTTATCTAGCAGCAAATACACGTACACCCTACCGATTTAGGGGAATAGAAACAGCTACATTGGAAGAGGCAGAAAAAGAGATGGAAATAAAAGTTAGGGGTTTCTGCGTTGACCGCGGCCATGAGATCGGTTTACTCCACCACGATTCTCGGCCCCTCTACCAAAAGGGACTCCAGCGCTGGCGCCCGCACCACGGCGGCCAACACCACCTCTTCTCGACGGTACTGAGGCCATCTCTTGAGGTCTGTGTTGTTGTTGTTGCTGTTGATAATGGTGAGACGTGCGTGAACGATTCGACGGAGTAGGTAAATTGGCAGCAGCGCGATTGAAACTGGTACCATTCACGGAAAAACTTCCACCTTCAGGAAAACGGGGAGCAAAAATAAACTGTAGAAATGTGATCATGGCAATTTACCTAACGTGTACTAAACTTCTCTTTTTTCACAAGGAAATTCCCATCAAGTGTGAGAAATACCTAATGGTTATTATTAATCCCTCGGTAAGATGTGCGAAGAATGCTGGAGAAGTAATAAATATTCAACACATTCCAGTAAACCATAGAGCGAATACGAAATTGAAGTCAAACAATCGACATCTGAATTCCAAAAAAATTAAATTTACACGTCCAGAATATTTCATTCCGACCGATTTCACAGGACCTATTTCTTTAATACAAAGTTGATCGTAAAACCGTCACTATTAATAAATAAAATTGGTTCCAGTATTGCGCAATTATGACTGCCTTAAGTTTAGGACTCAGTGCGGACCTTTCCAATCTCCACCGACTACGCAAATCGGTCCTTTAAAATTAGTGTGCCTTATAATGTCCTTGGGGTTAGCCAGAACACCACACTGGGCTCCAACAACCCAAGCAGTTTAGAGACAAAGTGAATGGCGCTCAAAAATACCGAATCAGACAGTCTGATAATGTCTGCCATTATTGCTTGTGATGGAGTTGTACATCATAATTCTTTCAGATTGATCAGAACATTCACTACTTACTATTTGACACCCTAAAGTCTTTCATATGAATCGAATCATTAGGACCAACTCTTGTTTCCCATAAATCCCTGACCGAAAATTTGAAGAATACAATCTTATTTGACACGATATTATGGTACTTTTAAAATGAACAATTTACTTGGAAGCTCAAGAATCTCAGCAACCAACGGCAGCGGTGGAACAAAAATTCATGCAAGCTAAACGATTACTGATATGCCAAGTGTTGAAAGTGATATAATCATCATGGAGGGGAGAGTTCGTGGTCGTTTCCTTTAAGGCGATGAAATAGGTCAAACTTACGAGTGCGAAGATTGGGCACAGCGCTAGCAGGAGTCGAGACACCATTGACGTCGTCAGGGTGAAAAAAAGGCGTGGGGTTCAACCGTGGCGGCGGAACACCGTTGGAAGACCTATCCTTACGTTCGTTCTTTTTGGTTATTCTAATTTGATTATTTAGATTCAGTTTCTCCGCCGAGAAGAGGTAGCTAAAATGAATATTTGAGAAAAAAACTTGGTTAAATGGAATGCCCCCGCATGCTGGTGAGAAATAATACCACGGTAGGATTACTTAATAATGAATGGACATATTGATAATGGTCATTAATACATTTACAAAAAAATTTCATCAAAACTCTTATTTATCTCTGTTATCTACATCATTCAATCCATCCAAACTTAATGTCCTACCTTGCCTCACTTAGCTGCAAATTCGCATCCCTAAGCACGAAAAAACTTACAATTTCCACTGGTTGGGGGTCAACTGGTCCCTGATGAACGTAGTGTGGTGTAAAAGAGTATAGTAAAGTGAATTCAAAACTTGATTGAGTACTAAAAAATTGAAAGAAATGATGAGGATGAGCACTATAAGATGGTAGCCTCAAATAAAATTGGTGAAGAACACCCACCTTTTCGACAAACGGAGTTAGTCAAATTATGACGCAGATTGAAGGGGTCTAGAACAGAAATGGAAATAATTAACTAAACCAAACTTTACTTAAATAGTTTATGCGATTGATAAGGCATTTTGAGGCACTATGAGCGTCTGTTTAGCACTTCAAAGTTAACGCGAGTAAGAAAAACGTGAACGTGGAAAGTTCTTTAATTGAAAGGAGATGGTTGGTCAGTTGAACAGTAAATAATAAGTAATCCGGGAAAAAATGCATCAAGAAAGTTACCTGAGTGCAATGAGTCAAACCTACCCTCGACAGCAAGGAGAGATTCCCACAATTTTCCCAAGCGGTCTAGTCGACTTTTTTGTTTGATGGTCACGACATAGTGCTCTCTATCAAACTCAAACAGGTAGTACCGAAGAAAGCCAAACCACAGTTCAGCTACCGTGACATCCTTTTCAGGTGGCTTCCAGAGTTTATGCTACAATACATGGTAGTAATGGACATCGTTCATGACCCAAACGTAGGATATTACTAGGCCGACTTTACAAATAACAATATTAAGCTGAATGAAGGCTGCACAAAATATGATATAATAGAATTTATTTAGACTATCAAGAAGTGCATAGAGGGGAGTTTAAAATAGCGGATGCATATGCAACGACTGAACAATAAAGACCCTCAGGCAATGAAGACAACCATTGCCAAATACTTAGCCTATGAGCAGATGGATAACTCAACGAACGAATTTAGGGTTTCCGAAAACGGGGCAATTACAATGAAGAATATGCTTTACAAGGTGCTTTGATATTTGTAAGGTTTTTCAATATAATAAAATTGTTGTAGCACCGTGACGACAAGGTAATGCAGGGCTATGGGTAAAGCGGAGAATACGAACTTGGACACAATGGCACCCACCTACATGGAAGAATACTTAACAAATGAGCTGAAGGCTCTGCATCCTGCCATACCGGTTCTCCATTTAAAAATATAAAATTGATTGAGGTATAGTCAACGGAAATACAATACTTACAACCATGCTCATATCATTTTGGTACCAAACGTTCCATTTACCGACATTAATTACAGGCTTTTCATTGCCTTCGTGGAGCTAAAATAGAACAGAAGACTAGTGGATATGGAACAGTAGAAAATTGGTTTGAATTCTAGCAGAAAATTCTTATGAGGGTATTTGATTTTTCGCTGAAAGCATCTAGAACAGTCGGTGGTTTTTGGTAGTCTAAATGGCGCAGTCCTTTTAAAGGCATCCCTCAAAGAGACCCACCCACATAGAAAATGCAAAAAAATAACAGCGTTTGAGTGTAGGAAGCGAGTAGGCTAATTTTCAAAAAGAAACAGCACAACATCAATCATAAGGTCATAGCGATTCAAAACAAAGCATAACCTCATTATAAACAGCTATATTCACCAATTAAAAAGAAACTTCTCGTTGGTAATACATAATGCGTAGTTCGCGGCAAGTCAATTATCGAAAAAAAGTGTATAAATGAACAAAAAAGAAAGGACTTGCCTCTTGCAAAACGGGCAAAAAACCCTTTTGCTGGAGATAATGGATAAGCATAATTGCAAAGGCATAGGAGGAAATCCCTCCCGCATCTGATTTTGGGACCCTGCAAGCCTACAAATGAGCGTAGCTACACTGATAAACGAGTGAAAAAAGAAAAACAAGAACATGCCGCAACTTCGACCGACCTTAAGAACAATTTTCAGTGCAATATTCAGTACCCGAAGACGTGGATCGATTTGATTGTAGAAATTGAGCATTTCGGTATTGTTGATTGCCTGCAAAAAATGAATAGTTTACCACCCTAAAGGACAAAAAACTCATCAGAGCCATAGATTTAAGTCCAGGACCCTTTCAAACCTACCAGGAAGTTTGAAAAGCTTAGATCTACTTCAAAACGATCTGCGACGGTAAATTTGATGATAGGGACTTTGGCGAAGTAAACGGGTCGGATGTTTGAGATTCCGAAATTCCGCGAACCTTTACCCAACAATCGCCTGAAAGTCTTTAGCAGCTGGAAACGAAATGAATATTACCCAAAATTCAAACTGGATAGTGGCGTGTAGAAATTGCAATATTTTGTTACATCTTCAAGACAAGTAGGAAAAAACACGACGATATATAAAACACTGTGAGGACTCACCGCCAATCTTTCAGTATTGTCTAAAAGAGAAGAAGCTTGGGGGCTGTCTGGAGGGAAAACAATGCAAATATCCATATCGCTAGCTGAAGTATCAAAACCGTTGGCACAAGAACCAAAGAGTTTCAATGAGACATCGGGATACACGGCCCGAAACAGTTTATTCAGATCAGTGACGACCACCTGCCATAGGAAAGAGCAGTTTTGGAGTTAAACTTAACGGTAATTCAATTTAATTAAAGTTCACGTGAAATGTTTACCACTCAGTACTGACTACACACGTTGCACTGTCAGATGATATCAAAAGAAGGGTGTACACCTGAGGAAGAGGAAACACTCACTTGACGAAAACCCATTATTTCTTGGGAAGAGTGAAATTGAGATAGCTGAATAAGGCAATCGGATAGTTCCTGGAGATGCGTTCGATTTGATACGTTGGGAACATTACCCTCCAACGTCTTCCAGAGAGACATGCTGACCGAGATATAGGGTTCGGATATGCAGGAGCTGTTACGGTGACCCGAAGCGCCACACAGGGTGCAAACTGGCGGAGGCCTATATGAATGTGCAATCATGGAAGAAGGCTGGCCGGAAGCATCTGAGCCAAGGATGGATGAATATGACTCAGAATCGTAAGACGGGCGAACGATGAATGGAAATGACAAGTCCTCTGATTTCAAGAGGCTCACTTTAGCAGAACTGTAATAATCCGGCTTATTCGAGTCTCGAATCTAAAAAGAATAGTAAATTTATTCAATTTATTGAAATGAGTTCAAGCCTGCTAAGGAGGGAAGGAGCTAGTAGAAAACTTACTACGGCATTCTCGACGTTAGTCTTGATGTACTTGCTCCAGGGATCGCCTGTGGCGGCGTTGGGTGCATCGCCTCCAATGCAATCAAGATGGAAATTCATCTTTTCCGCCTCTACTTCTATTTCTTCAGGATTGCAAAAATCATCGCAATCATGGCCAATTGGCTCAATGTTCTATTGGCAGGATAACATTGGTACATTAAATTCAAAAACCATGATTATAACGACCAGCATGCCAAAAGCATCAACAAAACACCGTTATTTAAACTTTTTGGTCCAAGTAATGTATGATGCAGATCAACTAAAGCACCCGCATGCGAATACATCCGCATTACTAGATGTCCGAATGGTGTGCGATTTTTGAACCTTCAATCACTCACTCTGCTACTCAACTCCGGGTCGTCAGAATGATAAGCCGATTCATCCTTTTCCTCACCATCCTCTTCCTGAAAACTTCCACTCGTGCTACCTTCCACATCTTCTAAGCGAGAAGGTTCCTTTTTACCCACTGTAGAGGACATTTTAGCAGAGCTCTGCGGGATAATTAAACCCGTGCCCTCTTCATCGTCGATGTAAATCTTTGATGCTGCTGCAACAAATGGAGGAGAGTCCTTCTGCAGTACATGCGACATAGCACGAAGAGTCTGAAGCAAGTAGGAGGTACTCGGAAAGTGTGGAGACATTAAGATGACTTGGTATGGCAAGAACCAGAATGATCGAAAAATATTCTGTTAAGCCACAGATTCCCAATTTTGGCTACCAAACCAACTCTTAATTCTTTTTGGACAAAGAAGGGCATTACGTCTGTAACGCTTTTTGTGTTTAACATGTCATTTTGCAAGCTGTTTGATTTTTTAAAATAGGGAACTGATGAGCCAAAGGGTGTGGTGCTTATATAAGTTCCTAAACCACTTCATAGAAAAAGTAAAACCACACATCAGTCTATGGTATCTCTTAACAAGAGTCAAGTTTACATAACTACAATCAAGTCGAAATTCATCTAGGATAAAACATCATAAAATGGTTTAAATATGATAATGAAACGCTACAAATAAGTAATAATATACTCTTACCGTGCTTAAAATGCGTTCAGCCATACGACCTAGTTGCCCTTCCGTTGAATGATTAGAACTATTTTGGTATTTATCTCGAACACCATTCCACAGATTTCTGCAATAGGCACGAAAAAACTCTGTCGCCCGTGAGGAATTTAGCTTAATGCCGAAACTACTGCCGCGTAAATAGTGATCTGACTTCTTATAGAAGGAACGCTGGATACCTAAACGATAAATCAGCGGTATACAAAAGAGGTTGGTAATAATAAATTTAAAGGTATAAACGGAAGATACTATCAATGAGTGGAAATTCTACTTCTGACAATTCAGTGGTGGTAGTGTGTAAATATGGAGACCGTTCGACACACACAGGTTAAATTGCAACCTTAAAAACTCGTAGACGTGACGGCGAGTTTCTTCAAATAAACCAAGTTGCTCTAAGCATCACAATGTATTCTGTGAGTTTATTAGTGCTGAAATGTCTGATCATGCAGAAAAAGTAGAGACTTAAGACAAAAATCACTATTAAATAACCTAAAGACGCTTAGCATATTTGAAAATTGCTCAAAGGTTACGCACCTGCAACAAAATCAGCTGGGCAGATCTCACTGCACGCTAACCGAAGCACCTCTGGGAAAATATCTCCGATGTCCATAAGTTTATCGTCAATCTCGCCCTTAGCACTTGTGGAACTAGTCATCTCCGAGGCAACATGAGAGACCGACGTCTTGTCAATATAGGCCGTGAATAGAGACGTGACCTAAATGAAGCGCAAATAACTGAATTTACAATATGAAAAATAGATCTTTTAAATGCAGATACTTGGTTTTAACATAATGCTATCAAATGGAATGAAAGTTGCACAAAAGAACTAATCACTGATATTATGTATCTGCATAAGTGGAGGCGCATTACTAAATAAGCCATATAATAATTGAAGCAGAACGTGCAGAACTACACCTGCGGGGGAGAAAACTAGACCACCGTAAGTAATGTTCGATTGATTTAAATGCTTACCTGATTTAGATGATGGTCCAGATCAGTGAAAGGAATAAAGTTCAATGGAATCCATTTGGGAGATTTTGTGGCCACAGCCTGCTCTTCTTTAGAAGGTTGGATCGGGTCCACTAACACATTGGTGAATAGCGGGCGACCAGTTTTAACGAGACGAGGAATGCCAAAGTAGGAGTAAGCCGCCACGAATTGGTCTCGAATGAATTTCTCGACAGACCGCGAGAGATTTCTTGTCAGTGGTGTGCTAGGAGAAAAGGGGTCTGAAAACAGGTCCCCGATCAATCCGTGGTTTAGACAGCAGCACAGCAAATGAATTTTAGATGAAAAAGTGCTTACGTTCCACCCATAGCCCCGACAGATTACCCTTTCGAGACGACCTAGGGACCGGCTTAGAGTGAGTTATCGAGAGGATACAAGATTGGGATTGAAATTCGAATACATAAAATCGCAGGAATTTCAGCCACATGTCCGCAACCGTCATGGTATCTTAATGAAAAGTATAGAACGAATCTGAAGTCAATTTTTTGGGAATTCCGGATGAATAGAAAGAATTAACCACCAAATTCAATAGATACAATGGGTCCATCATTACTATAGTGTACAATTTAGCGGTGAGAAAAGCTTACTTTGGGCTGGAGAGAAGAACTGAGGGAGTACAGAAATATCTTTCAGGTATGAAGAATCACCTTCTTCCGTCCTAACCTTGAAAGTAGAATAATTCCGTGACAGACACATGAAAATGTACAAGTACGTATATATCCACTCATGTCCACTTCTCAACTGAGAGTGGGTTTAAAATTGTCACGAAGGATGGAAGATTACCGTTTCAATAGAATCGGAGGGCAGATTGTTACGATGATGACGAGGAAGTTCGTGCAAATTTGGCAACACGGGAGGGTATGTATGTTGAAGAAAGAATATAACCAAAATATAAAGCGCCGGTTTGGGAAGCCCTTCTATATAGGCCAGCTAAGAAAATAACACTGAACTGTTAATCAGACAGAGAAACAAAAAGATGCAATTGTTTCATCTGATTACCTGGACAAACTTCAACAACAATGTCATCAGACGTTTAACCCGATCATCAATCAATAAGTAAGTCCGAATTAAAGCCGCGAAATCTTGGCCATGAGGATTACCCACGGTGATACAGTAGCAAACACGTTTAAAGTCTTCGACGATTACAGAAAAGCCTTCAGAAACTGAAGTTTTACGAACACTACAGAGAAAAAAACTAGTCATTACAAAAAAATATTGTATTAACAGTACCGAAGACAGAACCACTGATGACAGCTGAGATAGACTAAAATAAATGAACACACTTAATGACAGCTTACAGGGAATGAAAATAAAAATACTGCTAAGAGCAGACGAAGTGCACTGAAGCGTCAGAATTTTTGCGTGAGCATAATCTTTAAACTACGTAATCTTAAAGAGCAGTCCATTTCATGATACGCTCTTATAAAGATGAGGTAAAATAAAGCCTACGCAAAAAACTCCGGTAAAACTGGAAGGCTTGGATCCTCGAAGTTTGCCCCGTTTAAATGCCTCTTTTTCGAATCATTAGCGCAAAGAATATCGAAGATTTCAGGCAGTGCAGAGGAGAAACCCTTATCATAAGGGTCCACAAAAGAAAACGGCCCAAGTTCTCCTGATTGAGAACTCTTACGAACGGTTTCGATCGATTCTGAGTAAGCGTCTAAGTTGACGTCGCTTTGCTTCAAAGAGAAACCGGTCAATATGCTCCCTATCACGCGCATTGTTAAGCCTAGGTGAAAATGAACTAGAAGAATTTGGAACAAAGATGTCTTAATTCTAGCAATTAAATACGCTACAAGAAATACTAATCCAACCTACATACAACTTTGGAAACATGCGTGTAAGTATTCTATCCCAATCTATTACATAGAAAATCCAATAGAAATTGCCTTTAATATGTGATTCTAGAGCCACACAGATTGAACGAGCGAAGCTAAGACGACGTTCAGTTTCCGATTCGTCGATGAAATCCAAAGTCACATCGAGCAGAGAAGCATTAAGGGCTGTGCGATGTGCTTCCGTCATAGGGGGGAGGTATTTCACCAAATTACGAAGATGCCTCACCTAAATGGGAAAAGTGGATAAAGCTTGCCAAACATGGTGGCATTTTTATAATCTATAAAGTGAGATAATGTTAGATTTAGAGAATCCATAGCCAAAAACTTAATGAAGAAATCGATAGACTAATAACAAAACACTAGTGTAAGACCTACAGTCCTATACGACATAACTTAAGAGAACTACGCAAAGACAGCTAGATGAACCAAAATAATCCAGTCTGCAGTAAAAAGATGACAGACTAAAAACGCACCTCCTTAGCTGATAAATGCATTGACGCATTAACATGCTTGACAGCCGCAGAAACCGAACCAATAGGGCAATTACAAAGTTCACAAAAAGCAGAAAACTTCTAAAAACGTTTAATAGGCAACCGAAATACCAATTTGCTTACGCTTTGTCTTGATCTTAAGCACACTTCATTTTCTCTTAAAATGGATTTACATTCTTCTGGCAGTTCTAAAGAGACCAAATTAACAAACTTAGCATACGGTCCATGCAATTTTGCAGCTCCGCTTTCTTGTGTTTCTTTCGGTCCGACCTACTTTTATTCATATCGGGCAGCTACGATGGAGAACTGAAAGCCCAGGATATCTAAAAGGAGTGGACTACAATGTAGTAAAGTGTTGACAGACACTCAAAAAACGAAGGGAAATGCAGAAAACCTCATTTAATAAAAGTGTAAAAAGACATTTTGATTCATGATGCGATAAACACGATGAGTTAGAAGCACCCCCGCACCTCCAGAAGATCGCGCGAAAGAAGGCACTAAATAAAACAATTACAGAAGTCCGATGAATTCACCCTAGTAAAACGCAATTACTCTACAGCAAACACCCACTGTAAAACTAAGCAACAACGAAAGGTTAGAAAATGCACTATTTTGTTTTATATTATGCCTCAATAAACTAGTCGAAGGAGATCGCTGTAAGTAGTTCCATTTCTCAAAAAATTTATGAGCACGCCACAAAGGCTTTTGCTTCGTAGGTTCATATTTAGGCAAATCAATTTAAAGACATTGACGCTTAAGGAAAAATTCTGACGCTTTTTATTATTATAGGAAAATCGCGCAAATGTTAGCCTTTCTAGTTCGACTTCCCGGCGTTTTTGCAAATGAAGATACTTTTTGCTCTTTTTTTGCCATTGGTATTCAAAGGACTCAGAAAGTTGGACTTGATAAGCAGGTTTAGCTTCTAAGACGTATATGACTCCCGTCACCAACGTTAGTTCGTGCGTGATGCCGCTCAAAGCACCGAATTGTTTTATATCCGTTGTAATAAAGCCTTTCAATTTAGTGGGCTGGGAACTCGTTTAAGTTACTACAAATGCTGACACAAAGATACATTATTTGCTTTCATCCCCACTTTCTTTTATGTGTGCTCTTTGATCAGGGTTTTATCTTGCTTCTGCTCTTTTTTTAATACAGTCTTGGTCAGGGCATTGCTTTTTTATCCGATGAACTGGCCTTCCCGAGGGCTCTTTTTTATATTTCTACTATTACAGAAGTGAAAATCGTGGTTATCTAGTCGGAGATACAATGTCTATATTCGTTCAGCGGTGATTTATTTGTCCACCAGGTCATGGTGTGTTGCGTATTTCAAGGTGTTCCGCGTTATGTAAACGCTGAGTCTATTTTTAACGGTACTCGTTTTCTTCGATATCTGTCGTCGTTTTATGTAATCATGGGGTCGATTGAAAGTAAATCGTAATACTGACTTGTGTTTTTTAGTATCAGGTCCTAAATCAGACGTCCTACATGGTTGTTATACGGTACGCTGATTCTTACGATTTATTGACCGTTAAATACCAAATAAAAATGATTTAGAGTAAGTTTGATATATTTCCTCCCTCTCGAGGTCCTTATAAAGGTGTAATAATGCTTGTCAATGCTTGACAAGCGTTTTATTCTGGATTCACGGTAAACAAAGCTGACAGAATTTAAGCTACTTTTTTTGAGAACTTTTGAGAAGTCTGGTACAAATTCATGATTTTATGGACCTAGTATCGTTCGCAAATGTGCATTCTTTTGTACCAACCTTTTATTCATTTGTGTTACTATGTTCATTGACTAGGTCAAACCTGGAGATTCTTTAATGAGCATTGCGGCTCGGGTTGGTAACGTAACTCCTGCACAGTTGGCACGCTTTAATCGACTTGGGATGTTTGGCACTAGTCATCCTCCACTTTTTCCTGGTCAACGACTGTATATCCCGAACAAGGACGAAATTTCTGCGCAGGTGATTAGCTCCCCTTTTTGTAGTACCATTTGAATGTCATTCTTCTACATTTTTTGAACATTTCATGTTATGAATCGATTGTTGCCTGGTATTTTAGCATTAACAATGCGAATTCGTCTTCATTGAATTGCCTATTTTACGGGTTTTGGATTCCTGTTCCTTGGCACCTCTCGTAGTAGGATCTTTTTAGACCCCTAAACGGTGCATTTGGTAATTTGTGACCTCAACCATGTTACACATGCAGCTTTATCCAGGTCACAATGACTGAGAGTTGGCAGATCCTCATATACTATAGTCATTAGGTTTTGCACCGGCTGGTTATCATTTCCTTAAGGGAATGGGAAGGCCTTTCTATGGGTTAAACTTTTGTTGTTGATCTGAACAGGTCACCGGTGGAATACTAATGTGATTTTGGCACTTTAAGTGTATGCTTTGACCACTTACACTACCCCTTGATTGAGGATAAATTTCCCATTAAATGACCTTACGCTTCCCATTTTTTGCCCAAAATATGTACATTCGAATGAATTATTTGGTTTTCTAGCAACTAAATGAGTTACTTTGGCTTCTGTCTGAACTTTTGAAGCCATTGGAGGCATAAAATATCCCACTGAACACTCTCCGCTCCTAAGGACACTTATACTTAAAACAAATGTAGGCGCACAACTCAATGCTGCCTAAGAGGCTATTCATTGATGAGACTTTTCTTCCACCTCAGAATGTTCGCCTGCGCCATCTACCAGGCGCGGCGACACGGGTCCACTACCTGTCCGCCGACATCTCGAATCGTGGTGGTGGTATCGGGGACACCTCACAACGGAGCTGTGACATCTGCCCCACCTCTGCCACACAGGATAGTGTGATGGAGCGCCTCTTCGTCAAGGTCAAGGCCAAACGCGTGCTCCTACCCTCAAAGGTATACCGTGACACTTTTGTTTATGCTACATGCAGCATTGCGGGCCTCTGCGTGGAAACCTAGTGGGAAAATAGATATGTGCCTTGTAAATGTAATGAGAAAGAGTACTTATGTGACTTGTCTGTGTATTGTTGTTCAAAATCTAAATCTCTGCTGAGGAACACCTACGGGTACGAGTCAATAAATATCAGATTTTGTAAAATCGATAATTTTGAAGCGCATTGAGGAGAGTTCGAGTAGTTTAACCCCCAAAAAGCCGGTGGTTCAGGTTTAAAATGGTCAGAATCTAATAATACAAAGCTACTCTACAATAACAATTAATTTGCAGTTGAATTGAAGCGTATCATTGTTTTTCTCACTTACCAACAATGTATATCTCGATTTGACTACTTGTCCTCATTTTGTTATCTCCATTACAGTTAACTGAAATCTCAGTATCCAGGCTTTGGCATGATCAGTTAGTGTTCAACTCTGTGCTCAATTTTATTCCACAAAACCAGCTATCTACGCTACTCTTTGCAGTAGTTTTCGTTAAAACATCAAGTTGTGCCGCTTGGCATTACCCACCTAGTTTACTTAATCGTCCACTGTATGCTCTCAGACGGCTTTGAGAAATTGATCTTGTGATTTAAAACAACCTGCACGATTTTGATTGTGCAGCAAGGTGTTGTATTTCCAGCCGTCACTTTAGTCTTTTATCCCAACACCTTGAGTCAAGTGGTACAGCGACGCTGTAGCGGTCAATTTAATTCAACTGATTTTTCCGAAAACCTATTTCTCATCTGCGCATAATACATTTGCACAAGACAGACAAATTGAACTTCTGCAAATCAGCGTTTTTTTGAATAGTCTTCTAGCACTGCGTTGAATTTGGTTTTATAGACTGAACATTAGTGGAAGTGTGAAGACTAGTCACATTCAAAACAAATAGCCGTCAATAGAAGCTCCTTTACGCATCACACATCAATGTCGAAATGCCCACATTTGCTAAAGTCATCTGATTTTGCATTTTTTCTGGACACTGGGGTTTCTTAAGCTTCTCACTTTTCACCAACGGCCCTATTTGATCCCCACCATGGACACCAACGTAGAAATCTCTAAATAGGATGGTTTTGGGACGCATGATGTTTATTTTTGGCCCTGTACAAAGAAGTCGAAGAATGGGATATTGTGAAGCGGCAAAATTGTTTCCACTCTTTCTGTGCCATGGGTGATACGATGGTCCATAACCACCTTCTCTACACATTTGAAGTCGAGGCTAACATAGATACATAATTGAAAAGGATGTTGCTAACTTAGTGTTTCTCTTAAGTAGGGCATTGAATGAAAGTGATTTAAAAATTAGGCACGCCACTTATTTGGTTCTCTGACTAAATGCTGCCAATCAAGAGCGAAATAGGCGGTGTGCTGATTCTCACTCCGGATGCTGTCTGCTTTGACGCGGTGGCCACGGCATCGGCGCTGAATCGAGCGACGGCTGCCAAGAGACACACCCTCCAGCACCTCTCCTCCGTCACTTCTGACGACGGTGGTGGCGATGGTGAAATCGGTTCTTCCTTGGCCCACTCGCCTCCTCCTGAGCCCGTGTTGGAGGCGGCAGAACCCGTCCACGACGTTCTCGCCCTCTCTGTCTGCATCCCCATCGCGGCTGTTGTTTCGCTTAACACTCATGGTGACATGAGAAATCTCCTCTCTGGTTGGTGGGTCCTGCTGTCCTGCCTCGCCATAGATTACCCTATTGGACTACAAGATCCACCATACTGCCCTTAGTTTCCCCAGTTTTCCACTACTTCTTCTCAACTTACTTGAATATTTAGTGAGGAGGAATTTTAAAACCCACTTTTTTAGTGCCATAGTCTTAATGCTCCACATTTGGGCTAAGGCACTGCCTCTACGAAAAGATTACCTTTTAAATCTACCAAGTTTTGCGCATAATTCAGCTTTCACAGTATGCAGTGGAAACTTTGGTTGGTTCGGACAATTCTAGCATCAAAATCGACTGGATGTTATGTTCCAACTTGTTTTGATTCATAGGATTCGCCACAAATGAACAACATCGATGTGAAACACAAGTACATAGGAAAGTACGAATTTCAGCCTAATTGGGCGAAATGAGGTTGTCATTGTGGGTTTCGATAAGGAACGCATTGGCAGAGTTTTCACAAATGGCTTACATTGAAGAGTTTTTACAAAATTACTTATTAAAGCACAGTATCTTCATGTACGTACCCATTTTCTAATTAGTCAGTAGTCTTTACAAGCGTGGTAGTTATTTGGATCTTTGTGATCTGATGCACGTGATCGGAATGTGGTATGTCAAATAGACTTATGTGGTGTGCAGTTTGTGCACGACTTGTTTGATCTCTTTAGAGAAAGTGTTTTTGGGCACTGATTGCTTGTTCTTTGTGCTGTTGGGATCATTCTAAGGTATCACGGTGCCTCCCAATTGTGAATTGTGTCCCTGTTATTTTTAATGGTCTCCCCCCGTTTATGCAGCCAAACATCAGTAATTCGTTCACTAAAACGTGTCGACGCGGCAGCGATGTTTACATAGTAGATCTGAATCTTTCTGTATGGTACAAATGTTAATATTCAATTTAGAAATCTACTCTTTATTGAAAGTAAATCGTACATTGTGTTAAAGCATTGCATAATTCAGCGCAGTTGAACACTTTAATGGAGGGAGGAATCATGGAAACCATTCATGCAATTTTATTTACACGCAGTCAAATAGTTAATTATAAAAGTGGGAACTGTGTTATTTAAACTTCTAGTGTGCTAGATAGTAGTCAAAAGCTGATTTGCTATTGTTTCGGCTATGTTGTCACGCTAACCAAACCTTTTTAAACCGAAGCAGCTTTATTTTTCCCTGCTTTTACTGTAGTTGGTTTTAATAATGTAATTTTGCATTATTTTAACTTATATCCAACAGGAAATGAAAAATCCTTGAAAATTTGAGAGAAGTAATTGATTATGAACATCTTAAGGTTGTATCTCACGGAAAAAATTATTCTACATCCTAAGTAAGACATTATATTTCATCTGCTAATTTGCGAGTTTCATTTGCTTGCCTACAAATCAGTTTATTGCCCTGAGTATACATTGATGGGCTTAATTGTAAGGCACGTTTTCCTTTTTTGGTTTATTGTATTCAAAGAGGGCTATTGGATGCAACAAATCGTTTCTTACAATTCCTTGTGTACTAAAGACCGCGTGTGGAAGCCCTCCGCTTTTTCTGTCATATTTCTTTCTGCAGTCGTTCGAAGACTTCAAACAAGACCTCGTTTCCGAAAGATCTTCCAATTTCTACCGAAATCGAGATCGATTTACCGGACGAGCTATCAGAAAAGCCTAAAGCTCCGTCCTTTAGCAGCGGTACGTCTATTATCTCTTTAGTCTCATCTCAACTTTTGCTCTCTTAGTTTGCGCTCTCTAACTCGCCATGAGTTATACCGCCATGACACACTAGTGGCTATCCTATTCAGTACAAAACTCCATATGACTATTATCAGCAACTTTCAGTTTGGGATAGATTCAACGTATCTCATTGACTCGAAATTTGTCCCCAATCTCAGTATGATCGCCTCTCAATTCGTTCACGTATACGTACGCCACTAACATGACTAATAGGCAAGTATACACTGTCTGATGCGCTTGCACTCGAGGGGCAGTGATGTTCTTTTCGAAAACGGTGTCTGTTGGAAATACCATACAATTTGACTGAAGTAATAGATCATTCATTATTACCCTCATTTTACTTTTCATATAATATCTCGTACAACGAATTCTTATGATATGGTCCTTCAAGGCCTTATCTTTCTGTAAAGGACCCCAGATCGTGAGCAGAGCATCTTTTGGTGATTGCTAATCTTGATTCAATACGGAGGCTAAGTAAATGGGGATCCAATTTCTCCTCTCTTCTACAACCTACAGAATCACTTATTTGAAGCACTTTTGGGCTTTTATGGGTTCCAATGGCACTGATTTGGTCCTACTTCTCTATGAGATGCATATTGCCTTTTCCGTAGCATGGGCAATTACAGCCCTTCAGTCGGGTTGTTTGTACGTGTATATGCTTGACTTGGGTTATTTTCTCGTACCCAACCTTACTCAGCTTTTCAAATGCTCTTTTTGACATAGCTCTGGGGAAAGCGCTCACGATTAACCTTTTAGGGAGAGGTCATAAATGCGCGCTTGACTTATTACGCCATTCCCTAGCAATTCAATTTCTTTTGATAGACCGTTTCAATCCGTAAAATGCCACTGATTTCTCTCCAGTCCATTAAACGAAACTTTGAAATAAGTATGGCAGTTGTTTGTTCTAGTTTAATAAATAGCTACCACAATTTAAGCGTGAACGCCGATATAGGTCGTTTTAAAGGGCGCAATGGACTTCTTGCTGATTCACCGCTCCGGCCAAATTTGAAAATCGTGATAAAGCAATATTTGTGAGCCACTGCATTTGCTAACTCTGTAAACACTAAACGCTGTAAACGGTGTCAAATTCCCCAAGCATTATACTCAGTTTTGATGGTTTCGAAGTAACTTTATTTCAGTGCATTCATTATGATTTTGGTAATTTTGCGTTTGAAATCCAGCCAGCTTGGCCGAAAATAGTCGAACCATCGTGCTCAATGAAAACGTCAAAATTTGTAGCTGCATGCATATCGTCGACGTCTTGTTGAATGGTGATGTTCCTGCCGAAAGTGCTATTTGTCTATTGTCGAAGTCCACGGCGGGCCATGTTAGAAGCTCATTTCGGTTAGCGTTAATGCAAGTTGGTTGCACTACAATGTTCTTCTCTGGGTCAGTATGCTCTGGGTGCTGTCCTCTTCTTTAAACATGACGTTTACGCATCGTGATTTAGATAATGCGGCGTGGTTTTTGACTTCTTTGAAGCATTGTTCTTCCTTGTAAATTCAGGTTTTTCAGTTGAGGTTAGTTGGCGAGCTTTTTTCTAGTATTATCTTTCTCTTATCACCTTTTCATGCTAAATATATTTCGGTAGGCAAATAAAATGGACAGTTTATTTTTTGCAAGCTTCCCTCCTTCATTCTGTAGCCTCGTCAAATCTAACTTCGTTTAAAATATCGTAATTCATCAAGCTTTTACCATTTTAGAATATGTTTATTCGATCTCTGATGCCTCCAGCCGCATTTTCATTATTCTTAAATAATTTAAATATACCATGGAATTGCAGTGATGTTAATTGTTCCATTGACGACTTTCTGCCTTCTTTGATTTTAGTCATTCGGCAGGCATTAGTGCTTCGGCTAGCAAGTACGAGTGGCGCTGAAATTTGAACACAAAATAGATTTATTTGGAGAAGTATGCTTTTGGTCGTATTGATAGTATTTAGTCCATATTCAATAGCCTGACTCAGTAATGAAATTATTTATTCATTGTGACCATCGAGTATGATGCTCTTCATTTGTACTTCCTTGATTTTAGCTTTTTATTTTGTGGGAATAAGCAAATGTCCAGTATGTACGTTTACTAGGCGGCTATAACTATTTAAGAGGCATTAGGCTTTCCTTTGAGCTAATGGTTGATCTTAAATGTTGGTCACAAGTTACTCTTCTTATTACCCCGTTAGATCTAGCGGTAATCGAGGAAAATCCCCACTGGTCTTATGGCATAAGATTCAGCTAGTAGTATATGCAGTTAGCCCTCTCCTGGATGAATGAACATTTTTTGTTCAATATTTTTTCCGCACTTTCAAACGCATAACATTTGGACTACTTTCTTTGAGTTTATAGAGCTATTGTACGGACGTAGCAAACCTATTATAGTAATTTTCATTAAGGATTGTCTGGTGGCCGGTATCATGTGTATTTCATTCACTACCCTCTTCACCGATTCTTATGTTTTATTTGCACGCACGTGTTTATTAAGCAGCCTAGTCAATTCAAATAGTGGAATTAAACATTTTTGTAATTTGAGTACGTGGGCTCATATCGCTCAACGATTGCTTATGATCATAGCCGAACCCTTAACATCATTGGTGCTTCTCTAAGTATCTCCGGTGACTCGCCACTAGAGACAAAGAGACGTAACCCACTTTACTCGTTGTTAGTTTTAAAAATATGTAATTTTATGCACGTGTAAATTTAGAAAAGGTGCAGAGCGTCCACCAGTCAACACCGACAGAGGAGTGCGAGCGAGTACCTCTGCCTGAGGAGGTCTTCATCTCCATCGGTATCGACACTGGGCGCATCTCCTCCGCGGACTCCGCCACCCTCTGCGAGGCCGCCGCCTCTAGTCTCCACGTCTTTAAAATTCCACTTGACAGGTAAGTACTTTTTAACTGCTCTCCCCCACTTACCTAACTTTTTGCTAGTTCACCGCACTTGCAAGTGCTGCTCCGTTGCATTTAGGTGTTTGTAGTTTAATAAAAGGCACATGTGAGTTCAACATGGCCGAAATGTCATGATCACGTTGCTATTGCTCTTCGATTACGTTTGCAGTTCCTTACTCAAACGCTGCGCAACCACTGTTGCTGGCCTATTGTTAAAATAGAGGAGCCATTTGGTCCCTTCATTGTTGACCTCTCCCCTTCCTACACCGCTTAAGACCAATAGTTTTCTTGTGTAATTATTATCTAATCACAAAATTGGTGTCAGCGATTTTTTGACAGGATTTCTATGGTTGTCTTTAGCGCTAGAGTTGGAATTTCTTATTTTGCTACCTTTGAATGAACATGGATAGCAATATTTTTCCAACTATTATAACGCACAGTTAAGTTAAGGGCTATGTATTTACTCATCACATAACCCCCTTCATCGTCGACTTAATGTGATGGACTTTTATTATATCATTGTTTGTAAATGTTCATATATTGGTTACTTCCCACATCTGCGAAAAAGCTATCAGAGATTCAACCTCCCCGCATCATCAAAGTTTGGGGCCTAAAGTAATTCATTTGGCTCTGCTTTTAGGTTCGCCTACAGAAATATGGTATCTGGAAGTGGTGTAATTGTATAAGCGTGCCCAAATTAAGTTCTTCCTTTCTTCCAAGCCGCCCGAATACTCATATTGACCGTAGTATTTTAAGTTACGTTGAATTCTTTTAGGAAGTTTGAATGTTTGGAATGAACGGTTGTGTTTTCAGACTTGCAGACATCCACGACATCCTGGTGTCTGCCACCAACTCAGCTGCCAGTCAGCTCGCTTCCTCCGACCTGAATCGTAGTCGGAATTCCCTCCCCAACCTCCCATCCGTGAGTATCTCGTTTGGAAGACACGTCCCTCTTTGGTGCGGAGTAGGATGCTCTTAAACATCAAAAGCTCATAAAACTGCCTTTTTTCGAATCCTATAATCACGAGCCGATCGCCTGTGTTCTGTAAAATCAACTAATAGCGTGCTATAGGGTCGGCAGTTAGTTCCTTTTGAAGTGCTTCAGTTTTACTCATTATTTTTGAATGGGTTTTGCCTTAATCGTAACAAAAATCCTAGTCTCACAGAGAATTACTGTTAAAGTTGGTAAAGTTGGACTGGTTCTCGTGTTTGAAGTATCTAGTTTTCTCAAGCGATATTCCTGTGCAGTCGTTGTCTAATGCACTCACTTGGGTTCAAAACAAGAAATCAGACTAAATTTCATTGGTGGACGGAACCACGAGTCATTATCAAATGTGGATCCATATGCTAAGCTGACTTCCGTCAATCAGACTAAAACATGTGTTGAGAAATCTGCTTGGAATTTGAGTAGTTGAAATTGTATGCAGCTCTGACCATTGCCTTCGTCAGATTTAGCTGTTTTATCCATTTTGCATCTTCCAAAGTTGGGCCAGCATTGTCTACTTACTGATTGCTAGAAGTATTTCCAAGTATGAGTTTTAACAATATTTTCAAAGCCGCTTTAGCGGATACATAAGTTAAAACATTCCATTGGTCCGTCCAAAGACCCGTAGTGTTTTAACCGTTCTATCGAGAAGCTAAGTATTGTTTGTCACAAAAGTCGATGATACTAATTTGACGCAAATAACATGAAGTAACCAAGTAAGCTTCTATAGTATTCTACAATAAAAACTAGGTAACTACGCAAGGCTCAGAGTATATTGGAAGAATACGAAGAAGGTTGAGGCAGTATACCCTCTCCTCCCGGAGCAAAAATCTCGTAAGTTTTGCGGCGAGAACAGGATTTCTCTTGGACCACCTGACTAGGCCTAGCTGTTTCGCAAGTTCTTTTATACCAAGCCGTATCATATCAACTGTAATTGTCTAATCATTTGCGAAAAATTTTTAGGGAACAATTTTTCCACGGTCTTATGCTTTAGAAGTGCAGGGTAGGGAGTGGATCGTTTGGAAACTAACCTCTCATCTTATGTAAACCAAAAAACAATCCGAATCGGGCGTTTTTTATAACATGGAAGGAGAGGTAATTTGATAATCTAAAACCTATTGTTGTTGGATAATAAACGGAATTAGGAACCCAATGGCTTATCCTGCATAACATTCTCCGTTGATGTGATTAAATAGGTTGTTTCGTAATTCACGTTAGACATAATGAAAAGTTGTTTTTTGACTAGTTAATCCCGAGTTATTTTAATCTGTGGCAAACCTCTATCCCGACCAAGGCAAGAGGGTCTTCACGGAAGTGTCGCATCACCCGATTTTTTGTCAGAATTACACTTCCAAAACAATTTTTAGGTAATATATTTGCGCCCCTTCTCCTAATACTATGCAAATCCATCGAGAAACTTTTGTAACTTTAAAACCGAGTTGAGCTCAAATTACATCCGTGAGGTATGTCTCATGACATGGGGATCCCCAAATAAGAGGGAAATGGTAGGGAACACGATAGATAGTGTTACTGACTGACGCATGTCTACGCTTTATAATCCACATTAACAATCCGGCCATACTGAAAACCGCTCCAGCTTTTTAGTTACCTACCATAACTGAAATGCCACGATAGCTTATAATTTATTCGTTACCAACTAAAAGATCACTTTAGTGCGTTTCATTGCCATGCTTGACCACGGTGTTTTCCCGTTCATCCGACCTCTACTAGCAAATAGTGGATAAATGCGTAAACAACATTTGCATGACTGCTTACCTCCCATTGGAGAATCACTCCAAATTTTATTGCGAATTGGTCATGAGAGGACTGGCTGTTTGTTCTTTACTTCAGAACCAGAAACTACCTTCAGTTAGCATGATAGAGTCGGCTCTTGAGGAGATGGAGAAAAACACCGTGGAACTCAACCTAATGGGAGGAAAAAGCTGCATTCTGACTGAAGTGATGCTCAAGGACGTAAGTCTTGCATCAAATACATCCCTATTTATTGTCTTAAGACTTTCGTAATTCAGTTAACTCATGTGGCTACTCTCCCGACTAGGAAGGGTTAAAAAGTCTCGAATTTCTAAGCATTCTCCAACCTTTCCGAGTCATACAAAGTCATTCAACCAAGTATACTTCACTTATGCTAAATGGTTTATGCTTTGATCCGTCTACGCTTTATTTCAAATAACGTTCCCCAAATAAGGTCACTTAAGTCCCTATGGGTTTTTATGGTTGTTTAGGTTTATAAGTGCCGATCGGTTGGAACGTAGTCTTCTTACCTCGACAAATTGCTAGGCAGCGTTTGACACAGTCCTTTTAGTCTATGACGCTCGTCAATTATTTTGTAAAAACTTATGGCGAAGAGAAGTAAGTAAACTCCCTTTTGACTCATCACTTGCGCAAGTATTAAATGGATATTTTATTTCCCTTACGAAGACGCAAACCAACACGAATCCCACCATATACTGCCTTTTGTAGCTCGCGAAGGGTCTGCCGCCTAACCGAATAGGCAGTGCGATGCGACCTATCTTTTCAACAGCAAAAGACGGTTTCAGTCTAAACACGCTCTACCGGAAGACAAAGTGCGTGCAGGATGTCAACCTCCTTCTCATTCTCGACCAACAGGGTGTTGCGTTCGGCGCGCTCCTCTCGGAAAAAATGCACTGCAGCCAACGCTTCTATGGCACTGGCGAGAGCTGTGTGTTCCATTGGAAGGACGGCTTTAAGGTGGGTCAAATTATAGCAGTGAGCACTGACGAACCGCCATATCGGCCGATCTTGGCGTTAGTGTGCTGACTCTTAGATCATGCACCGAAGATCACATGCTCGCCATTTCCTGATATGCAACCCTTTTTTCGTTTCCCATAGCGGTGTGAAATGGGAAAACAGCACTCCAGTCTGTTTAAATAATTGTGATTCCACCGGAGTTCAGCGAGTCTTCAAGCGCATCTTCTACGTGGGGAGAGCGTATTTCATGCTAGTCTCAGAAATGGTGTAAGAAGTGAAAGACGATTTTGTACAAAAGCCGGGCACAGAAAGTCCGCGCCCACCATAAGTCCTAGATACCATACCTTAAGCAGTATCTACAAGCATGTCTATACCTGCAGGGTATAGATGACGCCTGTCAAATTTGTCGGATGGAAACGATACAGAATGACGAGCGACACACGACGCTCGTTGATTTATCAAATGCTCTGCGGTATTCTAATCAAAAGTAATCTTATTTTTAGTGCTACAACTGGACAAAGAAGAACTATTTTTTTATGCAAGGCTCCCATGACAGTTTTCTTATTGGGGCGAAAAGGTACGCAAACATAGAACCGTTTTGTCAGGTCAACCAACGTTGGTAACCGACACTTCCTCAATTTAATCGATCCCGCTTATTCCCCATCATTCTTCAAGTGAAATGCTCGTAATTCTCATTTGCACTTTTTATGCTCTGATGACGGTTTGCTACTCTACTTAGTAATCAAGCATTCTTGACTGAGGTGGGTGACGAATTATACATAAATTCAAATCTGGCTAGGGACACATATCTTGTTCTCATAATATACAAAAATTTAGCGTACTTTAATCACTTTTTCGAACAGTGGCCATAGCGCGATTTGGTTTGACGGAGACCTGAAATATGGTCGCAGTGAGGCCACAGACACCTTTGACAATCCTGTTCTTTGCTCCATACCAAGCGACAGCAATCGAAGGGCAACAGGCGAGACCAATCAAGTCAGTGCAGTCTCCTCCAACTCTTCTTCAGTTTCCCTTCACGACACCTGCGGACCTTCCAGTGTAGCCTTTGTTATCAGCGCCCTCGAGGTCTGGGAGATGATTACGTGACGCAAAATTGTCTCCCAACCTAGTCTTAACTATCCCCCGTTTTTGCACAATTTTAATTTTAAAATGCTATGTTACTAAGTCCCCTCTGTATTTGTTACCAACTCCTCAGGATTATGTGAGGTGTTGCCTACTAATTTGCTCTTTTAAAACTCTGGCAATAAACAAATAGGTGGATCTATAAAATAGCCGGGTGTGTAGGTGACAATCTCCTGAAGTTGTTGGGGCGGTGTACTGTTGCTCATTCTGGGTAGGTAAGCCTGCGCAACATGACCGCATGCTTGGGAAAGAATGAGGGAGGACGAAACCCAGTTCGCACACACACTGCAAATTTTCAACAGGGTGTTTTCACATCAAGCGCTGCCGCTTGTCGGGGGTCGCCTCCAGAGAGCCCTAGAAAAGTTTGCATTTTCGCGATCAAATGATGTCAGGAGCTGTCTAGCGTTATTAAAGTAGCGATCACCTACAGTTTGATTTGACGGAGCTGGGCCACTAGAATGCGAAGTCTGTTGAGGTGTGGGCAAAGTAGAGCCGACAGAAAGGGTATTGGGAAGTGGAGGCATAGGGAACCGACTGGCCCATTCGTTAAGGAGGAAATCAGTTCGATGGACTTGGTAGGGATTGGTTGCAACCGTGTCATCCTTGGGTTTCTTGTCACTTTCTCTCTTCGACCCACCCGTCAGGGCGTTAGGGTCCTCCCACGAGTACGACCCGTCGGAGGGGTGGAAACGTGCACATGGGGCGAGCGTTTGAATGGCTTTATTCAGCCCTGCAATAATCGTATGAAGGCGTGAGTTGATCAGAGTAGAGAGATCTGGCGCCTGGCGCACGATTCCGTTGATTATATAGTAGTAAGCAAGTGGAACAACTTCGGAGGGAGACAATCGCTCTTGTTTGCGAATCACAAACAGCACTGGCTCCTAAATAAGAGCAACGCTCAAGAGTAATTCGGTTCTAAGTATCAAAGCAATGACGGGCACAAATTTGGATTCTTAATAATTAAAAGCGACTTCCTAACATGCGCAAGTAAAACGAGACTACCGAAATCCTCATAACAAGGCCAAAAAGCTAATTGTGATGTTGACCAACCTGACTTCGATACAAATAAAACTCGGTGCCACAGAGCGTTGTAAGTTTATCTTGACTAAGTCCCTGCATACGAACAACTTCGTTATTGCATTCACGGTCATAGAATGGATTTGATAGGTGACAGAAGTACTGAAGAATGTTAGAAGAATTGAGTTGATGAGGACTGATGGCAGGATTTTCCCAATGGATCTCATAAGGGGATGTATGGTCAGGGATTAAGCCATCCATAGAGTATAAGGTGTATTAAATGCTAACTGTCTCCAACTTAGCTTTGGCCTCCTTAGCCTTCCTCTCAAAGTATTTGTGCTTAGCTTGAAGATACTTGATCCTTAGAATGTGCGAGTAATACCCAGCTACAAAACCAAGACCGAAAGTTAGAATGAAGAATAAAGGCGAAGCCCCCATTAATGAACGTGCAGGCCGTTCACTCTGGCTAACCAGCCCGCGACAATACCTCTAGAAATGATTGGTGCTATTTCGTAACACCCGCGTTAAAATTAATTGTGGATTCATTAGGCCTTAGTTTTCAATGAGGAATTCAAAGATGAAATTAACAACAAATATAGTTTTGCCTGGAAGCATTTCCAATGCTTAACATAACTTAATTGCTGCATACGTCAACCAAAAGTGTAGGTCGTTCCGCAAAAGTAGTGATATGGTGACAATTTATTCTGCTAGAGATTTCAAGTTTCTACTAAAAACCTCAGGTTTTATACCCTTGGAACAAAGACTTGCTAGAAGATGGCACTTACTGCTCAAAAATGTGGTGAAAGTTTACGAATTATCAACGCTTAAAAGGAACCGGAGTAATCGATAACGTCCGCCCGGCCACGTGGCTGACGCAAACTAACGGCTTGCCTCCTAAGCGCTTCATTTAAAAAAACATGCATTGCAGCTTACTGTTCTTTGAATTGAATAATGCAGGCTCTAATCCTGTGGTTTTTGCTGCTTTTTGGCAGCGTGCCCTTCAGGCAGCCTCTAAAACCTCGCACCTTTTCGTAAGCCGATAACAAACTTTCTTTCGTAGTAGCATTGTTTATTTCAACCGCATATAAGCTTAGACGCGCTGCAGCAATGTATATAACGTAGGACAACACTATCGTTCAAAATAAGAGGTCATCGCCAACTCTTTTTGAATATTAAGCAGTAACATAGGGCATTTATGACTATTCCCACAATCGAATAAACTCGATTATGCGGGACAACTTTTTTGTATTTAGCCTTGGTAAAGCTTTTTCTCCCAAACATTTCTAAAGGCAGTATACATTTTTTTCTAGGGGAAAACGATGAGGTGGGAAGTAATGTGTGCACACCTTGTAGCGAGCTAAACATTTTTGATTATCCTCTTGATTTTGCGCCCAAAGAGTGCCAGTTTTTGCACCACCAATATCTTAATGAGCCAAACAAGTTAGAAGTAATGTTTTCACACAGGGTTGGGGATCGTAGGTGCTATTCTGCACCATTTTTTCCACGTTGGCTATGCCATTATACAAAAAATATTGGCCTACACTATAGTAGCACAATCTTTTTTCTACTTGAGCGTATTTCAACCTGGAACTTTAGCACTGTACTAATAGATTTTTTTGGGATGTACTTGTTCACTGGGTTCACTTTTGGAAACCTACAATGTGTATGGCAAAGGTCCCATGATCTCTGCAGTCAGCGCGGCGAAATCTTGCAACTGAAGCCCATTTAGGAGTTTGAAGATAGAAATTACGGAATAACAAGAACCCATTTAAAAAAACAATCCTTTCTTAAATATTGTTCTCGAATAAAAACTTCCCATTGTCAGTAACTTCTTGCTATTATTGCTGATAATATAGTTGTGGAGCGAGACTCATCGGTCTCCGCTTCCCCATTCCTAGCGTTCTTAGACAAGCTCAATTGATTCATTTTGGACATATTTACTAGAGGTGAAAAGATGGAGAGGGAAAATACAACGTTCAAGAAGGAGGGGAACCGAAGTCACTAAGTACGGGAGAGGACGATCCGGTCACGAGATTCGAATTTCCTGCTTGCCTCCTCCCTAAAAGGTACATTAAAACAACGGAAGTATTACATAGTAGGAAGAAACACTGGTTTCACCAGCACAGCAGACCTGTTAAAGTGGTAGGAATCAGAATGCACAATTTCATAAATACTCTCATTTGGCGAAGTCTTACTCGATAGATACTAACTACTTCCACCTCATGAATTTCACACTTCTTTAAGTTAAAAATACTCTTCCAATGTTAAAATCCCCGAGCATTAAGTACATGCTTGCCTTTAAAAACCAGCCGATTTGCATTAGAATAAAGTAGGGGTGTTGAATAATTCGATGACAAAAGATAAAGAAAATATTTAAGGTGGATTCTACATTAGATGGGTGCGTAAACGCCTGATAAAAAATCCCCAAAATTAGTGTATAGAAATCATGACTTTGGGGAGGTTTATTGTAAATGATTGTTGAAAGGATATTGAGTGCCTTTTCCAGTATAAATGAACAGTGGGTAATTTTATTTGAGAAATTCAGCCTTAGATCCTTTAATTTTACGCTTGTCTAGAATGCTGTGAAAAACTGGAAGGATTAGCTAAATTCTGCATAGAATTCCACAATCTTGCTCTTTTCAAGAATTTAAAAAGGGTAATGCCAGGAACGACTGTGTTCCTTGAACATGAGGCTTATGTTTTACTTGATTCACACCGAAATGTTAACTGAGTGCAATTACAGGAAGAGATGAATATTGACGAAATTATGCATTTTCGAAGAATTGCAAAATTTTGATTTTAGGATTTATTTTAGTACTGATTAATAAATTACAAAGGAGAGTGAGACCCCAAGCATCCATCTTGTTTTGCAGGCACAAAACACTAGTGTAAGTGCTCCAGGTGAATACGCTGTTCGAGAGCCAGAAATACTGTTTCCTGTTATGTTATCAAATTAGTAAATGACTGCAGATAGTGAACACCATTGAGAGCGTTTTCAGTGAATCTTATTGAAATGGGGATAAACTCTTAGATGACCGACGCAACCGGAAGCTTTCTGTGTTTCTTTTGACAAATGTTGAGCGCATAACAAAACTTCTGATTTCAAAACAATCAGCGAAAACTTGCAGAGTTGTTTACACCTTTAATTCTGCAAAGATGTGAAATATAAACCGTTGGTTGTGTTCCATTCATCGGTTTAAGTATGAATTCGCATTCACATTATATTACTCAATAACTGTCCAACGAATGTATGATAACATAAGAAATTTTTAGCAAATCAGTAAGTTCTATTTTCAACCGTAGCCAATACGTGTTAAGCGGTTACTAAATAAAATAAAGCATACATTTTCACAATGCACCAGCGATGTAACCAGACCTCAGGTAAATAAACCGGAAAATTTAACTCAGAATTTTCAAGTCAATGGACGAAGACATGCTGAAATGCGAGACTAAAGTGATAAATGGAGAAGAACTCTTTAATGTCATCTTGTGTACGATAAGATGTTTGATTGTAGACATATTGTTACTAATCCGGATAGAAAGTGATATCCTCTGCACACCTACGTAACATGATGGAAGCAAATGGTCGCAGAGACGATACCTGGGGCAAATGAACGATCGCCACGCACGCAGTGCTATGCTGGAATACTTTCTGCTTAAAATCAAAATTTATTTTTCAATGCGGATAATGTATATTAAAATGATAACCTTCAAAAATTCTTGTAATTTCGCAACTTGGGGGATAAAATTTATCAACTTCGCGAGACCTTCTGATCAGCGCTGGTAAATGGACAAAAGAAGCGGAGAAAAAGTGACGCCACTAGTTTTGCGGAATCGCCACTGTCTGGAAGATTGCCTTTATTACTTTGGAGTGGATCAGTTAAGCGAAAAATTTGTTCTCAATGCAGGTATCCTTTACCTTCCAGATGGCTAAGTGGCACAGCATTCTCCCTCTTTTGGTCGGTAAGCTTGTGTTTTATCTTTGAATCTACTTAGCCAAACTCTGTAACAGACTAGCTTGATGTTATTTAATAAAAAAGACGCAACTTTTCAGAGCGAAACCAAGGCATTGATAGTTGGTACCGTAAAATCAGACTGAATTTTAAACCTTTAATAACTGAATCTATTGCTTTTCAAGCAACGGAAACGCTAGCAACAAGCTTCGTTGATAAGTATTTGTGACTACAATTTATCAAAAAATTTGTAGTGTCTCGTAAAATTCGTGCATGCAGTAATTTCTATGAACCAGCACCAAAATGCTGATTTTGTGAGTGTTTTTAGTAGTCGGGAGGCACTAAGGTGTCGTATGCAAATGAAGAGTTCTCGTTGTCGATGGTAAATTTGAAAGGCATTATTATTTTTATTTTGTAGTGTCTTCATGTGCCCTATTAAAGCGACACACATCCACCTTAAGCATCTCAGGACCTGGCACCAACAGGACCATACTAATCACCACCTTTCCCCCTCACTCAACTATTCTTATATGGCTGTCCTTTATTGTCCTTAGTTATTTTTTAAACCTTTTTTCATGCTGATCACGAGATTAACGACCTTCTAAAGACACTTTGTTTATTCGGACAAAACTCCAAATTAGATTGGAATAACAGACAAATAAAAAATTTGTAGCGTTGTGGAGAATTTAGAATGGCTATTCTTTTCAGTGGAGTGACAAATACTTTCGGCCAGTTTTTGGCGCTGTAGGACTTGCTAAAAAACCAAGTTGTATGTCGCATTATTTCATTATTTTTTCTGTCCGAAAATAAGAAAAGGTATTTTGATTTCGGCTCGTGACACCGTAAACGCACCCCGCACGTTCAAAATCTTTTATAAAACCAGTGTTTATCTCACCATTTAAATTACTCTAGCATGAGAGTCGTTAGGGTGAATTTTGAATTGTTTTGAACACTCTAAACGCTTTTTAACGTAGAGAATTGTGAAAGGCTATTGATATTCTCAGTAAATTTGTTGTATTCCCAGAAGGACAGCCAACTTGCCGTCACTTCCTAAACAATGTTGCAACGGAACCAAATTTGTCAACTTTCATAAAGCTGTTGCACTTAAAATTTGACTCTTTTGAATGTTGGAGGTAAAAAGGTGTTTCAACGTGTATACTTTTAAACAAATAAACATATTTCTGAAGAGCTCAAACAGCACAGCCTGTTTTTATGTTAAAAGACAATCTTATTCTTAGGTCCAGTATAACATTACTGATCGCTCAGCATTATTTTCACGTAGGTTGCGTCAGAGAATATTGCTTTGCCAAACTAGATTTGATAACATCATGAAAGTGGGTTTGGTTAACTCGGCTTTCTACTTTCTACTGTGTGTTTCGTACACTAGGGTTTGTTTACATGGACATCAACATGTCTCCACCAAAAGAGCGTTTTGAGTTCATCAATGATGGATCATAACAGTACGGTGGATGGATTTTAGTACTTCCTATTTCGGCAGAACGTTAACCATACTACAAATAATTTTTTGTTATTTTATTTCAACTGCTCTTATTGCCTCAGTTGACTACAATTCCTTGGAAATGTTCGATTCATTTGGTTTTCAAAATGCTTTTGTAAGTGGAGTCAAATAAGCGGTTATTTCCAGTATTTTAGTGGCCGTAAGTGAAGGGATTGCTACTGCTTATTATTCATTTTTCTGCGACTCCTCCATTATTATACTTTTGCTTCTCTAATCCATCATCTTAGTTGACTTGTCAGGGACTCCATTCACTGTAAATGTGCTGCAAATACGAATACCTCATTTGCTAAAATTGCTTGAGATTACACAAATAAACAAAAAATTTTCACAACGTCTATTTTTGCTGTCTTTAGTGTAAGAACGCGGTAGGAATTTCATTTACACTGACTACCGCACCATGGGATTGTTTTATGATGGCCCCTAGGCTGTCTGCATCATTGTCTAATGGCTTAATGTTCTTCGCGAAATCAGTAAATAATGATTGTACGTTCGAATGATCTCTCATTCCTTGCCATTTTGGCTTAGCCACTTAAGGATCGCATCACTCTTGTTCTTCACATAAAAACGAGTAACACAAATGCAAATATCTTTACAAAAGATGTGCAAAGCTTATGTCTTCGAGATACTATATTTATCATTACTTAATACCGTCTTTAAAAAAGTGATTTGTTGACCAAAACCTGTAATAGCAAGTGCTTACATTCGGTGATAGTGATTGTTTGCATTGACTGAAATGCAATATTAGCAGCACTTTGCGAAGTGTATTGTCTCCTCTTATAAAAGTTTAGACAGTCCTTTCATTGATGTTTCCAAAAAGCCTGGGCAAGCAGTAGTGAAAGGGGATACGCAATTCCAACATTAGAGCACCTGGAAATCAGATTCACTTGTGTAAATTCTGGTGTTTTAGGCAAGAAATTTCGCCACTAACCAGAAGGTGTAATGTGCACATTTATATTAACCAAATTCCTTAACAAGAAGAAAGTCGATTTTCTACCGCAGACAGTCCAAACGTCTCATCAAGACAAAAACATTGCCATTTTCTGTAAGGCTGACCAATAGGTGTTTCGTGGGTTGTCGGCATGCCATCGGACACTGAAATATTGGTGGCCTGTTTGGTGTACCGAGGAATGTAAGGCATTAATTGCTTCAGAATTGGGATCTCGCAAGATTCAAGCAAATTCCCACAAAATAATAGCAGTAGCCTTTGAATGTGAAACAACGGTAAACATTTTTGTCGAGTTTACAGATACCACTGCAAACTGTAAAAAAGTGAGGAAAAGAACCATTACAGTTAAAAATTATTGAGCAGGAAATATGGTTTTAGTTTCTTTAGAATCCCCAAAGCCATCACTACTGAATGGTGTGTGAAGAGGACCGTGCAAACAACCCGGGCATTTGATAGTAATAAATGTATTAATAAAAATCATACCGCCCGAAATCTCAGGATGTGTCAAATATGTATTTTTGTTAAAACCCTTCTAAATAAACGTATAGAATTCATCAGCTTAATTAGTTACGCTTTAATTGTTGACTTTTCGCCCATTTTTCGATTTAATTGCCTCAAACGATTCACAACTCCATCGTCACTATCAAACTCATTTTTTAGCGAAATGTGGAAATTTGGGAGATTTAGAAAACTTGCAATGAGAAATGTGGGAACACTCCATTCATTAAATGAATAAATTTAACTAACTAACATGATGTAAATTGGTTTTAATTCAGTGTTCATCGAAAAAGTAGCGGTAAGACATGACACTTCGATATCACGATACCGAAAGCTAAACCCGTTGACGCCCATGCGATGACATGTGACAATCACGTTTGGGGTAAAATCTGTCACACCTGTTACGTGTTTACGGTTGGAACAGCAGGTGCTAGCGGATGTGAACGAAGAATCAAGCATACCTGAGTGAGAGGCTCCTCTTACTCAGGGTGATAACTGAGACTTTTAAGCTCAATAGACAGTAGAAGTATTTACTTATTTTAAACTACACTAGTTATTTAATGAAGTAGAGCCATGATTTGCAATGTATGCGTTCCAAAAAGAGCCAAGTGCAATTTTTTTCACTGATGGATAAGATGTGTTGCATATGCAACTGCAACCAGCGACCTTGAAAGTTGTCCAAAGTCGGGATTAAATGTTATAGGATGTAGAATGTGTAAAAGTGCATCTGACAGTGACAGCGTGGTGGCAAAATCCAAGCAGATGTGACCCACTGGCACCGGATCTCAAAGCAAGAGCCAATCGAATGTACATATGAATGAATTTCGCATAAGCGAAATGAGAACTAGGAAATTTCGGACCGACCAAGATGCATATATCATCCACCGTCGATACATAAAATACTGGAGTTAGAATACAAATGAACTGCGTGGGTAGATAGCCAGATAAAGCTACTAATTTATAAATCACAGTCTAACACTAAGAAAAAAGGTTGCCTTCGTATGACACTGCGGTTTCGATAGTTAGAAAAAAGAGACTTTATTAAATCACATTGGGTTTGGTTGTCAATAATTGACCTTCAATTTGAAATCAGCAAATTCGCCATAAAAGGATCAAATTTGCCTTAAAAATACCCTTAAATTAGAGCATTTGAATGAAATTTCGGAGAAATCGACTTATGCGTTCCAAATTTAATCTAACCTCCCAATTTCAATTGTTCCATTTTACTAAATCATCAGCACAAAAAAGGGGAACTCAGATGCACTTCTTGAAGCCTTTGAACACAATACTTTAAGTAATTGGTCCACATGTAGAAGGATTCGCTCATTTTACTCAACCAGTCGTCAAAATTAGTCCAATGGGTTATTTTAAAGGAAGCTCAATTTCAGTGCACTTATTAACATAAAACAATCTGGTGTTTAGTCATGCTCAATGGAACCATGAATGAATAAGGTGGACTTTTGAAAACCGAATTTAATGTCTCAATGGGTTCAGGATCAATCGCTCCATGGTTTAGTGAATTCAAACTAAAAGAATCCGGATACTCCCTTTGCAGTGATGGTATAAAGCGAAATGCCTGCGATCCAGTTAAACCATTCACAGGTACAATTGTGCTATAATCCTTAAATAGCCCGAGGTCGGTAGACTTTCATCAGCATCGAGTGGCAAGATTGTTACTCCTTAGTGCACAAGATCCCGTTTCCAGTAGTGAGGCCGTTTCCGAAGATAGTTTCCTAACTTTTGGTTCAATTCAATAAAGCAATTGGCTTAAATTAACCCTCGCGACAGACTTTGTCCCTAAGAAGGTTTGAAATTTTAAAAACAGCACTGTTCTGAGAAGGTGTCATAAAGGATAAAAAGGTGTAAAATATGACAATTAATCGGTACAAGAAAGAATAGTAAAAAACCAACTAGCTCCTTTGGTTTTTAAAGTGTACTTTTCAAGGATCACATTCTTTGTCTAACAGGCGGGATTAAATAATATTGGTTTCGGATTTTGTGCCTTTTGAGTAATACAAAGTGTGTAACGACCTGATATGCGAGGAGTAGAAGCTGATTTTGGTCCATCATACTGTCGCCTCTCATTTCTATTGAATTGGTACTTTTCCTACTGCAGTCCTTCATTAAGTCACGTCCGACCTTTATAGTATTTCTTCAAATTATCTTGTGCCAAACCTTCCATCCATTGTAATCTCAGTTGGTTCAAAACGGTAACCGTCAAGGAGGAAGAAACGAACCGAAGCTACAATTGGCAAATAGGCAAAATTCTATGCCTATGAACTCACATAGTCTGAGTGTATATGAAAATTACGAATATAGAAGGGAGTAAGCAAACTTTGGTGAAAATATTCACGCATGGTTTACGCTCTACCAACTCGGGCGATTTTTGAGCACATCATTGAGCACAGCCCTTATTGCTAAACAAAAAAACCTTCAGTAGTATGCGTTGCATGATGATATGATAAATAAATGCGGACTTTTTAGCTTTATTTCTTTTAAGGTGTCCACACAAGGTGTCGCAGTAATTCACCATACTACTCACGAAATTGCTTAGCAACATTTGCTGCAGCTGCTGTTTTGGTGGACCACACAGAACTACCCGAATTCGTTGTGACATGGACAATCAAAACCTCTCCATTAGCTTAACAACTGTAAACAAATTTTTACTGAAAAGCGAATGGTCACTCCTGATTTATTTACCCGCTTCAAGGCCTCATGCTTGTTTTGCGCCTCGACTTAGGCGAGTCGATGGTGCCCAGTCCGCCACGAGGTTCGTATTTACTGACCACCTCTGACCTAAAAGGTACATTTAAACAAACATGTATCACACTGTTATCAATTTTCCTACCATACCTTATCTGGAATCCGTAAACAATGCAAATGTGTCCCTTTGATCCCATTAAAGAAAAAGTTTTCACCCTCGAAATTTTTTGCACCAACTGATATTTATAGCTCCACTGATATCCACCAATTAAATGACCACAATAATAAAGTACTGTTATTTTGAATTCACTTAATGGACCGCAAGTTTTAACCTGAACCAAAGGAATCTTTTGTTGCAGGCAAAAGATGTTTAAACGATTTTGCCAAAGCTCACTTCGGAAGTGGTGAATCGAGGTGCTTCAAAATTTTCATAAGTGTTTGAATTTTTTATCCAGTCAATATATTCGGAAGAGTGCCCAACTCCCAAATCGGTGTCTACTAAGTATGGGCGATAACCACGCAAAAATGTGGGTTGTTGGCACAAATACGATAATTTAAATTTTATTAAATTCGTGCAATACTATGGGGCTGGAAACGTTGAGAAAGAAGTGTTGAAACAAGTTGCTAACATTGTACTGCTTTAGCCTCATTATATAGAGGAATTGAGACGATGTCTTCAACTGGAAGTGCCTCCTTGTCTCTCTAAAGCTGCACTTTGGCAAAGCCTAGAACAAGACAGCATTGCTGATTAAAAGACGCCGATTCCACTGGTCATTTGCAGTTGACAGGCACGTGACATAAGATGACATTTTTGCTAACTGGTGTCAATTTTCCAGCCTACGTCTTCGCAGCCGGGAGAAAGATCTTAAGTGTCTGATGTTCTTTTGCAAATGCGATACCAATTGCCCACTGGATGTGTACTGCTTTCAAATTGACATCTTGACGAAAAAATATCCGTGTGGATAAATAGGAAACAATTTTTCTAATCTTTTCCTAACTGATAACTTTTAGGCGCTAGAAATTATTGGAAATTAACTTAATAAGTCCCTTAAGACCTTCAAACACCAAGGGAAAATCAAAAAGTAGGGCAGTCAGACTACTCCTTTGAGCGTTTAGAGAGTAGAGCATGAGGAATAGGTGGATTAATGGGAAATTGAAGACACGCTTTACGAAGTCATCTTTATGTGATTGCGGCACCGCGTCTGGAGTACGTGAAACCGCACCACAGCTGCCCTAGTAGCCGAATCCCGTGCACAGAAAGTGGCAGCAAGTGACCTCAAACCATGGCATAGCAGTAATGCTCATTTTGTATAATCCAAGTTGTTTTGATAAAAAGCTTCGTCATTTGTCAAGACTATCTGCCAAATGTATTGGTTCCTGTAGGTCCTAAACTGCCACATTCAACGACTAACGCATCCGAAACAGAACTTGTAAAATTTTAATTTCCCCTCAATTTAGTTCTTCATCGTACACCCTTAAATGTATCATTTGAAGATTAAAATTTGAGTGAAGCATCTTATTCGTCCTCAAAATAATGACAAAGTGAATGCAACAGTCCGCTACCTATCTGCTGAATATTTTCTATGCAGAAACGAATCCATTAATCTCCATAAACTGGGGTTTATTGTCCATAGAATGTTGTTTGTTCGACTAAAACATATAAGTAGCATCATAAATAGTGGAACAACTTAGCTGGATAGCTTTTACTTAATCGTGATTTTAAACCCATTAATGATGAATAAGATGACGCAGCATATGCAACATTTAGAAGAGTGCTAATATTCAAAAGGATATTATTTCCACCGTAATAATGGCTAAGGGCTTATTGATGGATAGTTGTAAGTAGATTGGCGCCATCCGGTAATGTTATAAAAGTGCCATTGAAGTGTGATAGTTAGATAAAGTAAGAGTGCTCATCTACTCACTTCGGATAAACTCCAAAGGTCTGCAACAACATTTCAGTGAAAAATTGCACTCTGTCACTTAAACTTGAATTATAAAACAAATATTTGCCTTCTTCAAGGACAAATAGCTGTTGGGTCTACATTACCCACGCAGGCTCTCAAGTCGTAGAGATGTTATGTACCCGCTTCAAGTAATTTATGTGCATTTATAATAAGATCACACGCAAAGCCATACATATTTAGGGAGGAATAGAGGTCCACAATGAAATCTTGAACGGAATCGGTACGCTCAAAGAATATATATATTCATAACCAGAAAGCTCGTACGATGAGTTATGGAACCATTGAAGCATAGGAAAAATCTGTGATTCGAAAACTCACAAAACCGAGATTTGTAGGTAAGGTCAAAAGTTAACCTTAGCAAATCCAGATGCTGATGTAAAATGACTGTTTCCAGTGTGTCGATAAGTCTCCCTTTGAATGAAATAAGATAGAATAAAAAGTAGTTATAACGTAAGCCCACGTGCCTCCAAAAGCCAGCAACTGAAGGGTGCTCCTTGTGCTGGTACTGTTTAATCGAAACATCTTCATTAGGGACGCATCTTCATCTTTGAATTCGCTAATATTAACAGTCAATAAACACTATCCACTAAATCAGAAATTTTAAATTGGTTTTTTAACCACTCAGTAGTCTCATGCTATTGCAACATTGCCAACCAAGAAAGCGTTCTTCGACTTTTGATGTCCACTTTTATAGAAGCCAATATATTTCAATTAGTGACTCATTAAAATTCCACGGAAGGATTATAGTAGCCTTTCGAATTTAGTGAACCACTGAAGTGGATGAGAAAATCAGTCTAAATTGCCACCGACATTTGTGCACCAACTCGAACCGTACTGATTGCCGATTTCTAACCGCGCCGTTGTCACTGAGCATAAATACTGCTTTCCTACTCAATTCGAAGATAATGTTTGGTATCTTCTAGCCTGATTCTGGTCAACCTTGTGAAATACTTCAGCCGTCGTCGTAGTACCGTGCAATTTACTCGACTGGTTTATTTCAGCAGTATCCGTAACAATGCCTTTAAATTTTCTATTCCATCGTTTGATTTAACTGCATTCATATAAATTCATGTTTTCGACGATTCAATTAAATAGGGGGGTGAGGTGCGTTGACAACATCTTCCACTGATACACGTGGTGACTAGCCCAGTTTGAACCAGAGATGTGCCCCAACCCTACTAAAATAATCGCTAGAACGTCAGGGGCAATCATTTGCTGTAATTACGCGTAACTGGAGTCATAGACACTCAAATTCGCATTCAGGCGACCCAGCACGTGTAAAGTGACCGCTCCGATGGCTCTACCTATCGCTTATCAAACTGGAGGCTTCGACAGGATCCAGGTCACTGGCACACACAGCACTGGGTAATAAAAATTGATGACCCCGTTTACAACAACGGTAGATGCATTTATGACTAGTGGTCACCCTGTTTATAAGAGTAAGGTGGCAGTAGATTTCGTTCATAACAGGGTAGCAAGTTATTTGTAATTAAGTAGTTTTCTTCTCGTAAAATAAGAAAACGCCCGTAATTTTGCCACCAACTCTCAAAAAAATTTGGAAACTTCATAAATCTTAGACCCCTTGGTGGAAGTACTACAAACTTTGTTTACACAAATTTATTATTCGATTATGCCAGTGTAAATTTTAAGGATTCCTTAATTGGAGAATTGTTATACTTCTTGTGACATTAAATGTTTTCATTTGTTTCACTTTTGGTTTTGAATAATAAAGGCTCATCCCAGCCATAATCTCAGTCACCATTGTTTTTGTCGCAACCCAGTCATATCATTGTTTAGGCCTGGGTAAGCAGAAATCAAGGGTAAATGTTCAACTGCTGGTGTGCCACCGACAGCCAGGCTGTGATGCGCGAGAAGTCCACTAATTTCGGCACGCCCAAAATGCTGGAGAAACAGATCTGACGTATTAACGTGTGTGGTTGGCCAGTTGACCAGAGAGCTGCTCCTGATTGAGCCTGCTTTGATAGCTGTCCGCTCGTCTGTCTCGGGAGTTGGCAACGTCTCGTATTACCCCTCCATACGAATCGATCGGGTGGTGAGGGTTTAGGATGACCAAAGCAAAGGCAATACACTGACCCTTCTAACACTTTAATGAAAGTAAATAAAATGTGTGTTTAAATGTATTTCTGCATTGATTTAAACGAGATTATTACCATTCCTTGAGATTCATAAGAATCCAAATTGACTAGACCCCCCCCCCTGTATTTCAAAGCGAGAGCGTCTTATAATTACGACAAATTGTCATTCTTTTATGATTCAGTTCGTTTCTTTTTGTCTGATAAATAAGCTGGTGTATTAGTTATGAAAATCATTGTTCGTCCTATTCTTGAACTAATACGGTTTCTCAGGCATTGCAGAAGCATAAATAACGTGGTGCCAATCTGTAAGAATTTTTAATTAAGGATCGAGTAGACGAGAATGGCCTACTGTAGACCAAGAAAAAAGCGTTGAATCCTTAAGCTGAGCATACCAGACCCTGTTCTCACCCGACATGTCCTCCTCCCACGGTTTGGCACGGCCCCTGGTATTCTCATACTTTGATTGGTCGCCTTCGTGAAGACCAAAATTAGGTTTGCCTTACGTCTAGACCTAGCTTACAGTTGCTGACAGGACGACAAATCCTCCCAGCAGTAATAAACAAGGTAGACTGCTAGAAAGAATTCTTTCTTAAGTGCGTCGCGGATTCACCTACAGGTTTTACCATGGAGGTAATCTGTTTTTGGGAAAGTACAGCGATACTCATGGAAATAATGGTGAGAAAACGGAAATATTAACACAAAAAACACTTCAATTATTCCCACCGTAAAGAGTGGTTAAAATTCATCGTACCTGTTACTTTTGCTATTTATTGGTACGCAAGTCTGTGTGCCTAATTTTCTCACAGTAGCCATAACGAGGCAAAATGGACTAAGACTGCGAACGTCTTCCAATGCTCCTGAAGGGATTACAATCTTCAGGTGGGATATAGCAAGCTTATTAGCTGTATTTGAACGAATGAACACTGCATCAACATTTTTTCACATTTTTAGCACAAGACACATTAGTGTAGAACTTGTTAGACTTAGCAATCGCAGTGTTTATTCAAAAGGTAGATAATAAACTGGGTAGATATTTTAAAAACTGTTCTTGATTGTGGGCACTGCAAACAAATATAGAAACCAAAACGACTGCGACTCAGTGTATTACGGGACGCCAAGGGCTGGACTTCTATATAAAAGTGGTTTACCATTGGGATTTGGCGTCTATTACCACAGTGTACATGACGTGGGGAGACAACTTTTGACGGAAGGCTATTTTATAAACACTTTCAGAATGAAGAGTGTTAATGACTAATATGAAGATTTGGAGTTAAAATTGCATTGATTAAATAATTGCCACTACTCCATTTCCATGTTTGTTTTGATGTGGAAGTTTAAAATGACACTGGATATTACACAGACGCAGTTACGAATTTAAACGACTGGATTGACATGACTCGCATTCGACGCATTTAAATTTGTTACATCTACTGATTTTGATAACATTTAATGGAGTTCTCGTCATGAGCATATTCGTAAGAAACTTGTTGTGCTTTACGCTTTTTTGGACAACTTACTTGCTTATTTCAATGTGCGAGACTGTGAGCATACTGCTTTGCCAAACATGTGGCACAGAGCAACCAGAGCACCTCCATGGGATTGGTGTATAACAGTTGGCCAATCATTCTTTAGCAATATTCTGATTGGTTGCTCAGCAGTCAGTGTTCTAATAAGACATGCAAACTTTTGTGGCGCGGATCTGCGACGAATGTTGCCATAACGCCTCTGAATACGGAGAGCTCAGCATCATCCCGTATTTGGCTAAAAGAAATGAACGGAGCCTCATCACTTCAATTATTTTTACTCCTAATATTGTTTTCAATGCCATCATGTCTTTCAACTCCCGGTTTATTTAAATTTAGTCAGGCAAATGCGTTTATTGAAATCGACACACAACCCTTTTCATGCTCCAGAGATATTCAGAAACTTTTCTCGCTTTCATTTGATATCTACCCAAATACCAATTCCTCAATACTTTTTACGGGAATAAGCGGAAGTTTAATACCGGACAATCCATCAGAAAATGCTTCCGACAATTTTAACTACCTTGGAACTCTAGGCGGTCCCCTTGCTCTAATCATCTATACTGAGCGACCCTACTTCAGACTCGTGGTCATGCGACCAACAGACCATCAGGTGCGACTGTACCTTCATCATGCTTTTGGCTATTTTGATGTAAGTTGGAAAGACTGGCATAGAGTAGAAGTTCTATTCACTAGAACAGGATCCGTTCGAACGGAAATTAATTTCAAGGTTGATCAAAAGATTAATAGAGGTACTTTGCACACAGGCGATATACTTTGGCCTGACTGGGCGGAACTCAAGGCAAAGGCAGTCACTGAAACGAGCAAAGAACGACGATTTTACTTCAATGAGGCCTTCCTTGGTTTTCCCCCGAATGGCACAATGTCACGCTTTGCGACTGATACACTCATGAAATATCACGACGATATTCGATCTGTTATTGTCGGTGTTGGTGAAACTGATGGGTATAAAGAAAGTTTTGCCATAAAATTTGGACCCTTCCGTGGTGCGATGAAGTCCTTTCTCATCGCAAGTGAGTGTGCATGTGGGATGATAGGTGCCTTTGGTCCGAGGATGACACAGATTGGATCTGGCATTCAAATTCAGAGCGTTTGTGATGTGAGTGCAGTACCCCCCCTTAGTGCCAATATCTCCGGCTTCTGTCACAGCACTGTCAGTGGACTCCCTTGTGGGTGCGTTGGAACTGGAACTAGGCCCAACTGCTATTGTCCTCTCAAAAGCCACTGTAGCGCGCTGAAACCCTTCGGTAGGTTCGTGTTTCATCTCACGCCCTAAAACTACCGCTTCTAAGGCGCCGCACTGACTTTGTAAATAGTCATCAATGGCTTAATTGCGGGACAACGATGGCGCTGTCCCTTCAACACAGTTAAATAAATGAAGTACTACACCTCCATGCTCTGCACTTTGTTCCTTTGGTGAAACCCTAGGGACACAATGCTTAGTCAGCTTAAATATTTCAAGCGGCAATTCATACAAGATGACAATTGATTTAACTACCAACTTCATTCCTTTACCAGGACAGGGAATACACTTGAAACGGTCACTCATTAAGCCAATTTAGCTGGACGAAGAGCTGTTTACACTTCAATCAATCTACTTTTCCTAAATATTTGCGGATACGGATCCTAAATTCCCATTTTAACTTTATTTGACGTGTAAGGTTTGTCTTACGCCGTAAGTTAAAGTAGTAGCCAGTAATAAAACCTAAATGAACTATTTTGTCTCTGTGAAAGGATTCATGATAACTTTAATAGGCTTCTTCATGTTTACACTTTTAGGTTAATTACTTTTACGTTAGCGTTTTAAATCTAGAATCACTGTTTGACAAGCCTAGAGAAACAAAACCTGGGAAGGAATGATCTGTTCCTAATGTATATTACCTTAATGATAGAAAATGTGTTTCAGGTACTAAGCCATTAATTCAACAATGCACCGTGGCAAAATGGACAAAAATTAGTTGATCAGTGGTGCTGGGGCGCTGGCGGTGGTGTGCTAATAAATAGAGCGTCCTAATTAAGAATGGCGGCGGTGCGTGTGTGTTCGAAGCATGCCCACCCATGAATAGACTGTGAACACAATCGGTACAGAATAATTCCGCACTCATTCAGAACCTAAAAGTCCCAAAATATGTAACTGTTTACATCAAATTTAAAAAAATAAGTGTAAAATCAACATCGCTTTGAAATTGGCTTGTACAGTCCACCTTGAATCACACTTTATGCTCAGCCATAAATGCTTGGTCGCGTCCTTAAATTATGCAGATGAAATTGCAAGAAAAATTCCCCGTGATAATTGTCAACAGGCTTAAAAGAATTCACAAGCATAGAGAATCGATGGTAATGAATAGTTTATGTGGAAATTCCTCGTTGAAGCAGAATATACTAGAGGGACTCAAGGTCCTGAGTCACAGTTCCGTGCATCCTTAATGGAGTGACAACAGATGAGACCAAATTACACACCATGAAATTACATAATATAATTGTGCCAGCATAAGTGAACTGCTGGTTCCAATCAACTTATTTAAGGATCTCATAACAAGTACTTGTTTCCTTTCAGCTGCAACACAAGTGTATATCACATTGTTTTTTGCTTTACGTGTAAAAAATGTAATTATGAAAAGTTTGTTTTAGGTTTCAAATCCACACGTGTTGGATTACTTCAGAATGACTTCAAAATGCCAGCCCTGAGTGATGAAGTTAATCTCTCGGTCAACTACGTACAAGAACAGTCTTTAAAATTTCTCGCCGAAGGTCCTATCACTTACAATCACTTGGATTCGTGCTTTGCTAACATATTTCTCTGCGAAAAAAGTGCGTTCTAGTCATTCTTCTCATCCTTCTTGGGGAGACATACGGATGACTGCTTAATTATTTTGCAGATATCTCATACAAATTCTGGATGTTCGTTGACCCAGCCGCTCTGACAAACGGATCCTTCACGGTGATAAAGCATGCATCACATTGGAAATCCCCATGGTACATGCAAATCTCCTACAAAGGCCCTCCCAAGGGGGTTTCAGATCCCGAGCATATCATGAAAATCTCAGCTGAAATCCGAGCCCCGCCATATTTTACCTGGAACATTGATGGGTGCAACACTGGTCTTCGTGTTACACCCGGTCAGTGGCACCAAGTCACAGTACGTTGGGACAAAAAAACTCTCACCCTTTTAATTGATGAAAATCTTTGCTGCATCGCCAGTCAAAGAACTTTGGTTATCAAGGCAACCTCGGACCAGCGATTTGGTGCTCGTATCACTCCCTTCGTGTTTATCGGTGATCATAGGGTTCAAGACTTCATTTTTAATGGTGTAGACCTTCTCCCCACCTTCTTCCGCTATACTCAACTCGCGGACAGCCATGGAGGGTTAGCATTGACTCCCATTAACAACCAGAACGATTTCTACTCGGTTTTCCGGCTAGACCAGTCGAAACGACTCGCATCCATACGACTACCTGGCGTAAATGTCACCGTATTATATGTGAATAGAAAGCTCGTTGTGAACTCGAGGCAGCAGGAGTGCAGTGTCTTTCAGTTGCCAAAGAGTTGCGCCATCAGTGACTCATGCAGCGTGGAGGTGGAGCGCCGGGGCCCCAACATCACTGTGCTTAGTCAGAATCTGCTGCTGAACACCGAGGCTGACTCAAAACTGTGTAGTATGGTGCCACAGCAGATTAGTCAGACCGGTCTGATGCCAAATTCGCAAGTTCTTCTTTTTAATCGGGGACGCAGTGAATTACTCAGACGACACCTCATACGAACCAGTAAGTGCAAAAATTTGGTGATAATAAACGATTCCGTATCACGATAATGAAAGGCATTCTTGTCACACCCCACCTTGGTGTACCCAGAAAGTCAATGTAGTTATGTTTGGAAAGCAATATAATTATTTATTTCTGCTATCTCATAGTGACAGACTGCATTGTGACTGCATTTTGCAACTTAGCTGATAAATACACATTTAATCACACAGCTTGGCTGTGCACTTTCTCCAAACTTCCACATTTAATGTTCAAATTGTGGCAGGTACTTGTGATATTGGAGAGCCGATTCTGCTTGATGCTCATCCAAGCATTAGTTTCTTAAATTCAAGGGCTGCGTCCTGTTCCAATTTCGAACAACGCATCTATGGTCATTTGACATGACGCAACCCCCTCAAGGTGTGGTTAAATAGCATTACATAAGCAAAATAACGCTACTGGGTCACAAGACTTGTTTCAAGCTGAAAGAAGTGAATAAGAAAACGTACGTTTAAGTGTCATTTAATTATTAGAGCATTGAAATGCTTCGACCTTCCTAAGCAAACACCTTTTTTAATTGTCGGTCAGAAGGTGCTCAGTTAAGGAACTGAACCTCATTAGCAATCATTTGCACTGAGAGCTCTAAAATATTATGGCTTATCCAAATTCATCCATTCCAGCACATTTTCCAAGTCTGGACTGCAATTTCGACCATCCACAAATCAGTTCTAGTCACTCGCCTCTATATCTTGTTGGTATGTGCAAGCTGACGGAGGTATTTCCAAGCATCCAGGTGCAATTTGCTGACGGCCCATCAAAGCTACCTTTAAACGGGGTTTTGGTGACTTCATCGAGCCAATTAGTACTCCACCCTCTTGCGACCAATCTCGAATCCTACTGTCTCCGGGATCTCCAGTTGTGCCAATTCGGGCTGACTATGTCCTTCTGGATACTGCCTCTGCCCATCACTAAGGCATCCAAAGTCTGGCCTGTTTTGCGCCAAAGCGGACCGTCAGGAAGCCAACTGACAGTGGACCTTGTGCGAACTGATGGCCAATATAACCTGGAAACGATTGTCAGGAGTTTGCAAACAATTACCGCGGGAAGAGCGACATCAAAGTTATGGAGAATGAAAGCAAGTTGTTTTTAAATGCCTGAAATGGCTAGCTGCAGATTGCCAGACCTAATTTGGCGTTGGCTTGCGTTCGCATCAACTAAGTGAACTTCTGTTATAAACTCATAAAGCAGAAACACTGTTTAAAACGTCGCGGCTATAAATCTGCTGTTAAATTGATTCTAAAAGGTTATTTACTTATTTTGGTTGCATAAGTATATTAAACGTCAAAAACCATCAGCTACGCCAAAGTGTAGTTCGTCATGGATTTTTATATTATCTAAATGTTCAAAGTGGAGAATTTCGGCTTTGGGTGGCTAATTCAGAGATTAGAGAAAACTAAAGTGCAGACATGATTTGTATATGTCAATTAATGGCAATTTGTTATCAACAGGTTCTTTTAAAGACCGTCTAGTGCCGGTTTCATGGGTGAGCGCCTGTATTTATAACCATCGTAAATATTTTTGGATTCACCTCGCACTAAGACAAACATTATTTTTGGCTTGATGTTTCCAAACTTCTCCATGTAATGTTTTGCTCCTTTTCTTTAGGTCAGAATTACCGCAGCAGATAATTTATGGACGCTTGTGACTATTTCATGGTCGCACATTGCGGGTCTCTCAGTCAGACTCAATGGCACTCTAATGGGTGCCGCTAGAGAGTCTTATAGAGAGGTCTTGAGTTGGGCATTCCCCTTTGAAGAGGGACTCTGGTTCGGTCATCGCGGGAAGCCAGACATGGAAGAAGGCGTGATCATTGACAACTTTCAGTTCATCCCTGCGGAACTAAACTATCTGGCTTTCGTGAATCAGAAAATAGGTCAGTTCGAGCTTCAATAGATTTTCATTAACTCGGTGGACCCATCGTTAAGATAAATTTAATAAAAATGTCTCTTTTTCTCTTCCAGATGTTGAATTATCAAATCAGGGTCTGAAGCTTTGTAGATACAACACTTGTTTGGATAGTTCTTCGTGCTATCCCGTCCATCGCAATGACACCTCACTGGGAGAATTGTAAGCTTATGCACTGGAAACCAAATTTTATCGCATTAATTTATTTGTGAATGAAGTCTTCTTTGGAAGTTACCACAATTACCAATGATAAGAATATCATTCCACCTTAAGTCAGCAAAACAAGTTAAATGCAGTGGAGATTTGAATTAAAGTCTCCTAAATAAGAGTTAGGAAAGCTGAATTTGTGTGATACAGATACTGAGAGGTGCACTAGTGTTTGTTATTTTGACTTCGAAACCATAAAAGTACAAAGAATTAGTAGCCTGGCGGTAAAATAACGCTAGTTGAAACCACAAATATGCATCTGATTAGCTTGAAGGAATGTCGCAAATTGTGGATTAGCTAACAATGCAATGTCTTACCATTCATTCAATCCAAAAATTTGCTTAAAAAGGGGTCAACTTTTTTGTCTTTCCAAAAATTTTACAAGAAATGGGCAATAATCCTTCAGTCTTCTCTTGCGAAGGCGTCTCCAAGAGCCAAGACTTACGTCCAACGTAGGTGATTAGCATACCTCTATGGCCTTCAGACTCTAGGCCTGCTCATGCCTTCCTCCGTTAAGTTTGCATACTTAACGCAAGTACCCTCGACTTGGGATGGCAACAGCGGTTTTACGGCAGAATCCGTTCATTAAATCTGTTTCCCTTATTCGTTATTAAGGTAAAAAAATTAATGAGTTGCCATTAGGCACCAGACCTTTGATTGTCGCACAGTACATAATGGCTGTTAAAACTCGCACTGTTTACCAATCACTTACAGTGCCTCTTTACGGCCGTAGTTCAAAGCCTGGCAAACGAGTTGACATGTTTAGCATGTTTCCTAACGGCGTTCCATCTTCAAACGCCACGACCAATTTCACTCGTGTCTGGAGTCACGAATGCATGCCGCGTTTGTTAGATGATAAAACGCGCCATCAAAAGACGCCGCAAACGCATTGGCTGAAGTTTGAAACAATTAAACAGATGTAGGATGCTTTGAGCTGAGGATAATTGTTCTGTCAGATTTATGAGCAGCAGTTGAATTGCCTACTTTGGTAGGGCAATTGCTGGCGTCAAATCAGACTTGTAATGTATTTGGTCAATTTTTTCGAGGACTGCGCTACACTTACATACTTTCGCATTCGTTTTTGGTAGCCAGTCCATTTATGTAGGTCGCGAATGTGATTTCACTCAAACCCAAAAATTGCATAATTTAGGTGGGGAGAACTATGAAGATTATTCCACACTTTTCTAGTTAGGATCCGTTATTGAAATTAGTAATTTCCTCCTCCGTATAAACAACGGATTATTGTTCACATAAATTTTTTTTTATCGTTATCTAAACTGGAGGGATATTCGAGTTCACAAGGTCCGATCCAAACTAGTACACTGCTTTGACAAAAATGATGAGTATGATTGTTACACCAGTCAAGCTATCTATAAAAGAATATTAATATTTTAACCTCACACTTTCTTATTCCCTTGTACAATAAAAATGGGGTGAAAATGTGAATCTCGCTTCTCGCCTCTGCATGCGGCGGACCGCATAAAGATCTGGTTGCGGTGACATCTCCGTTGGTGACATGCTCCAGAGCTTGTTATCCGTCAATTAGATTAACTTAGGTTTCATTTTTGACAAAAAATGAGCTGATAGCTGTGTGCACCTGTACTGGTGCACCTGTGGCCTGCTATTCCTTTCAGTGTGCTGGATTCTTCATATGTCACCAAAAGCAAAGCTCACAATTCATCATTTTGATTTTTGACATGCTTATTTCTCTTAAAGTAGAACATGACCAAATACTTGAGGAAAGCGGAATCATATTTTTTCAACTGTCTTTTGTGCAGTTGCCGATGTGAGCATCCACTACGCGTATGCAAGGAACTTCCATTAATTCCCAAAAATTCTACGATTTCGTCACCGTCATCGCTGCTATTGCAAATTCAAAATTCACCAGCATCCTCTTCACCATCCCCAAAGACTACGACCACAATGCGACCCGCAAGCGAATCCCCACTTGCCGTGTCTAAACCCTTTTCCGTCGCAAATCACGCCCCAAACGAACACACTGACATGATTGAATTGCATGGTTTAGCACCACAGTCGCCAACGCAAAGAAACAACGTTTCCTCCACGCCTCGGTGCAATCCACCATGCCAAAATGGTGGGAAGTGTGTGATCTCAATAACTAATGGTGAATTTATATGCGACTGCTCTGAAACCGCCTTCTGGGGAGGTGACTGTTCGCGTGGTAAGTAATATGGATGTCCGCGTGTTGGCGTGTTCTTACCCTGTGAGACAAATAAAACACCAAGAACAGTTGTTCCAGTAAAGGTCACAACATTTTTAAAATAAAAGCTCTTATTGCGTAAGCTGGGCTAATTGCATAAATTTTAAAACACCGACTTGACTACAGCAAAATTCCAAACCGTTTTTCCCCCTCTAATTATAGAGCATGTCGGTTGGCTCACTCAGGATGAAGGTGGACTTGGCATCGAGCCACACCCCAAATTGTTCGCAATCTATGGAGCAGTGCACAGTAATAGTAAACAACGATTCATTTTTCGAACTCAAATTCTTAAAGGACTGGATTTTGCCCCGGACAAACATATTCGGAAGTCTGTGATTCAGCCTTTATTAGCCAAACAAATGGCGCTCTTAACCGTTAAAAGTGAATTCTTTACCTATAGACTAGTCACGGTACGTTTCATTCCCGCAATATTGGTAAAAATTTACTGTTTGTGCTAGACTTCCCATCATAGTACTGCTCACTCGACTTCCCAGTAACTTTGTTTTGCCTTTTCTTCAGGACCACATGCTTAGTTGTTTGATAAAATGTGGTGCTAGTGCTTAGTCTGAGAAATAGCCGGGTAATGCGCATTGTCTTTCCCCTACGATGGGTAATAGTATGCTTTGGTCAGCATGGCCTTTGGGTCGTCTACTTTAATTTTTAATCGGTAATAAGTGGAAAACATTGGTAGTTTTACTACTAAAACTAGCAAATAATCATTTTTTAGCATCATCTTTTCAAATAGGCTTTTTATGAATCCCTTCTCACCTAAAGTTAGGTCTTTCAATAGCATGCGTAGATCGCTCAAACGGTGTGCCCAGTGGTTAACAATATTTGCTTAGTAACCGTTGTAATTGGCGATTCGTGACGAGCTAAAATATTCACATGAACTAAAAAAAGTACGCTGAATTAACCAGGCAGGTCCAATTTGCGGTTAGTCAGAACAACTAAGGAGAAGCATGCCTTTGATGAGATTAAACAGGTACCAAAACCCATTGTTATCTAAGTAAAAATTATGTTGCGTTTTAACTTTTTATTTCAACACAATTATCATTCACTTTTGCTTCTATTTAGTACATCTTTAAACCTTATAATTACTGGATGTATACCAAAATCACTAGTTAAAATTACCAGATTACTTATATATTGCGATTGAAGGATATTTTGAAGAATGGAGAACCTACTTTAATTCCTTCGTTTCTGTAGAACACATGAGTTATGCTTTGCTGACCTCCCAGTACACTTTACCAAGTCAAATGAAATTACTGTCCATATTTTTCCGTATTATTTCATTCTCGCAACTCACATCGTAGACCAATTGCGATCTCTTCCTCGTCACTGAAGGCGATGCAACATCATCGCAAGCTCAGTTGATTCCATGTGCTCAGAACAGCAGGCTTAAGTTGAACGATGGAGCTCTTCACGTTGTTGAGGTGGAGCACCACGACGTCTTCTTGCGCGCAAAAGTGGACGGTGTTGCTGTTTATCCAGCCAAAGCGATGTTACGGCCCTGTGACAGTTGGCTCTTTTTCGGCCTCGATCCTCACACGAACAGTGAGTGATGTCATTCGTGTTCACTCCATTTTTTGTGCTACAACATTTTAAAGCGTACAGTGCAACCTTCGTGTTTTGCTTTAATCACAGAACCGAAGTTTGGGCACATTGTTGGTTAGTAATTAGTCAATACGCTTGAAGTCTTTTTGCTTTACCCCAAAATTAAAATCCTTATAAATTAACGAGGATATTCCCAGTCTAAGGTTTAAACACTGGTTTGTAGACCTCACCTATGAGAAAAAGATGATACCTGATAGCAAGGAGGCCAGGCCCTCGTTCGACAATGTGTTTCTCGGGTCATGGCCCGACGGTGAGGAGGAATTCAAGGGAGCCATCGGAGGTGCGTATTGTAATGTGGGAAAATGGACAGATTCCCTAAATGAACAAGGAAACTGAAACAAGCCTTATTCAGCTGTCAGTATTTTAAAGCTAGATCAAAGTCCAAGCATCAAAATATTTTTTTTCTTTGAAAGGCTACATAAGACGCAAAACCTATGCAGAGTTCAATTTTCATTTTTGCTTCCGGCTTCCTTAAATACAGCCTTAAAATATAGTTGAATTATTGTACCTTTTCTCTAAATAGTTTTAGTTTACAGTTAATTTCCGATAATATTATATATATATATATGTATATATGTATGGTTTTACAGTTTCAGCGGAACCATAGCCCTCTCTCCATGCAATAACATTTTAATTGTTTCTGCCTTCTAGTAGGGGTAGCATTTCAAATGTTACTTTTCTTGATATAAGTAACAATATTAGGTTGACAGGCTACTAGTCGAAATATTTCATTGAATCACCGAGAAACCAGCGTGGTAAAATATTACTATTATTACTTTAGCTCAATAAAAGAGGAATAGATAATTAAGTATCAGAAATTTAAAAGTAGGCTGCTCTTTAAAATCTGTTACAGGGTGGGTAGTAGATGACGAGGAGATGATTATGCCTATTACTATGGAGCCGAAGGATACTCCCAACACACTGTACCGTCTGAACAGGCGTTTCGACTTATCCAATGGTGACTTCTATTGGATTAGGTTGAATTCCCTCAGCCCCGTCACCGTTCTCGTGGATGGCGGTGAGTGAAAGACGGGTTAGTCATCCCCACGAAGCGTCCATCGCGGTCGGTCCATTAATGTGTAATATTCATTCGGTTGTATTTTTTTCAGTCAGAATAATTTGAAATAGGTGTTGTCCAAAACACACACACTGTTGGTGAAACCGCTAAAGTGTAAAGATAGCTTAGCATGCCATTTTAATGAAATGATGGAGGGAGAATTAATGAGGAAGCTAACTGTAGACACACGGAGAATACGTTTGTATTGTGCATAAATCACTTAAATTATCCTAAATTAGTAGGTTGTTTAACACAATTTTGTGGAATGTTGTAGACATTCATTTCTTTTAAAGGCATGGTAGGAATTAAGTTTGTGAAAATCAGATTTCGAGATTCAAGGTATATGTTTGCGATTACAAAGCATAGCAGCAATCATGGCTAAACATATTTATTGAAATCTCCTGCGAGATCTGAATTTGTGTAGTCCATGCATGTAAAAAAGTTTTGTTTAAGTTGTGTGCGTATTCCGATTAATAATTTTACGAGATTACTTAATAAGATAGCAAAAACGCTTAAATATTTCCGAAAAAAGCGTTGCATGCATTATGTAGTTTTCACCCTACCTATACTTATTTTCGGTTATTTACAATCTGGTGATTTGCACAAGTTTTTTTCCCTACGCCAATAGTTGATCGTTTAACAAACTCCCAAGGGTATGCGTCGAGGCACTTGTATAGCCGGCTGTCGTATTTGCATTGAAGGGGCGATATACCGGACATTTCAGCATGCGCCTACGGACCAAGACTTTTATACTCTCAGACTAACCATCTAAAATAATCAGGGGTTTTTTCATTTAAACAAGTGAAATTGGGTGCTTCTCTTTTTAGGTTTTAGTTTCAAAAGTAGGCAGCAATTTTTTTTACACGGGAGTCCTCGGGTGGACTGCCAGGCACCGTTCAACATCGCTTATGAAACCATGCAGCAGTACGGCGCTAAAAGAGCTAGCACTTTCTGCTGAAAAATTTTCACCAAATAAGTAATTTTAATGAGTAATTTTACAACTAATTAAATGCAGAGCGTAAAATAGATCAGCATTCACGAATTTTCTTTTAAGAAGAAGTTGTACTTGTCTGCCTCTAACAATACTAATTTTGACCATACCGAAGTGTTAATCACTGATAGATAAATGAAATTGTCTCATGGTCATTGTTTAGCAAATTGTTATACAAAGTTGCCCTTGAATGTCCTATTGTGCGGTAGATAAAAGAAAGCTCTCTTGTACTAATGCAGTGGTCAAGAAGACTCCAGCAGATTCCTCCAATACGGTGTGGTTCTGGGCCGTTGGCTGCATTATTTTGGGTCTGCTTCTGCTCCTCTTCATCTGCTGGGCCTGTCTCCGTATCCGTGGTCAAAGGGAGGCCGACAGAAAGGTGGCCTGGCGCCGCAGTTACGCACCCTTTAAGCCCATGATGACCAAGTCGCCGTCATCAACCAGTCAGCTCTCCTCCAACTACTTGATGCATCCACTGAAGGGCAAAGAGGAAGCCCTCTCCACATTGATAAACGGCAGCTATACATCACCCAAACTGTATAGACTTAAGGCCTGTAGGTTTACGTCGGTTAAAAGCCGGTTCGCCTTAAAAGGTTGATCACCCTTTGCATTTGTAATTACGGTATTGCTCAAAGAGGATTATAATGAAGCGTTAACAACTGGTGCACTTTCTTTGATAAGGCAATAAAACTTAATTTATACAATTACCTTTAAACTTGAAATTATCCCAAGGTCATTGCGTTTGGTATGCACTAGGCATTTTCATTAGACGTAATCAGTTTACTTTTAGACACAACTCCTTATAACGATGCTTCGGCATTGCCAATGGACAACCTTTGGCGAGCAAGGGTGCTGACTCTTCGGCCTTCCATTAGGTAGGTATTTCATTCATTTTTTAACATAGCATCTAAAGTGGATCTAACTTGGAATGATTACTTAAAGTTAAGTCGGATTGATAGGTCGTCTAGACCGAAAATAGCAACACCTTTTGTGAGTTTCTGTCTCTGCTCTAAACATGCGTTGTAAAAAAGGATTTTCCATTTCAAATGTAGATTAACTTGGCATGCCTTTGTGTCTGCTAAGGTCAATGTCTAATAAAGCGAAAATGGTTTATATTGGTCTAGAAAGAGAAAAATGTAATAGATTGTGACTTTTCTAAATGATACTTATTAGTGTATTAGGGTAAAACATCTTTGTGTCCAATAGGACCCAAAGGCCGAATGGCCGACTTTTATAATACACTAATGTGTTGTTCGGATGGGAAGTCAAGGTGTAGCTGTGTGCTTTAGTTGCATCTCTTGCCGCACTTTAAAATTCAACCAAGTCGTGGGAAAGAACATGCGCCTGTAGTACACAACTCACGATTATATAACCTTTGCCTTTCTTACCAAAATCTCAAAAGCTCAATTTTCTGTCTAAACAGACTCGGAAGTATTGCTAGCTCGTGGTCTCCCACTGCAACATCGACTACCAGTCTCTGCCCCTACGACGAGTCGGATGATGTTGAGGAAATCATTGTCACTCCAAATGGCGATTCGGTGATCACACTGGCCACAAACCACGGCATCTCTGTCAAACAATGGAACACCTCTGTGGGTATTCCTGTTTAACAGCATGCTTGGGGACTCGCACCTTTTACCCTGCCAATGCATGCGAATATAAGCCAATACAAGACCTCAGCATAAAAGCTGATCGCTTCTATAACTAAAATGAAAAATTTTCTAATAAATTGAAGTTGCAATGCGAGAAAGTGAGAAACGATTACTAACCAAACGCCAAACTGGTCAGTGCGCTTAACCTTTTCTGGCTAAAAGCATTGCCGATAATAATGGGAATTCTGATAGCCCATCCACACCAGAGGAATGTCAGCACACGTACATACAGCAAAACTTTAGAAGTGGTATAAAATAGTGCCTGTTTTACGATAAAAAATCCCACTTAAACGGCCTCACAGTCTCTTCTAGCAGCCCACACCACTACCATTGCTTAAACAAATTCTGAAAATCGCGCATCCAAATCCCACGCCTTTCTTTGATGGCCCTGAAGTGCCTTACATGGGAATTTTATGGAGTTTCGTCGTTCACTTTTGCAGAGCTATTCAAAGGATTGAAGCACTCGCAATTTTCGTTCTTTCGATTGAACTGAGTAGGGACATGAGGCCAGTAGGACCATTAAAGAGACAATAGTTAAGTTAATCTAAGAAGTTTCTATGAAGATGTTTCTTTTACTGCAAAGTGTACTAGTTAGAATGTGCATCATACCTTATTCTTAGCTTAATTGCTTAGACAAGTTCTTAACGCTAAAACACTACAAAAAAAGCAACCAAAAGGTTCCTGAAACCGTCAGTTTTCTTGTCAATAAGACTTCTGTTGCATTTCCCTTGGCTAAAATTTGTTCTGTAAACGATCAGAAAGTAACAGCTTTCATTCTTTTGGTACAAAGATCGCAAAACTACCGGAGTCTGCCTTAACTACTGATCCTAGCAAATAGCCCTACAACTTTTTTATACTTTCAGCATTAATGCTTTATTCTCTTTCTTTTGATAGGATGGCAGCTGTCACAGGGAGATTTTGTTTCAACCCAAGGGGCAGTCAGATACTAGGCCTTTTGGAATTATGTCGCTCCACGAAAAGAACGGTCTCTTGTTTGCAGACGAGGAAAATAATGCACAGCTCCATCCACTCAATGCCGACTTGCCATCGTCTACAGTGCAATTGCCTTCAACTATATGGGGCATGTTCCCCATCGGTGATCTTGTTCTTTTCGTCACCGCTTCCACGGCTAATGCCACAAAGGACTTTTTTGCATCACTCCACTTCTGGTCACCAACCTTCAAGGCTCTGGTGATACAGAGTCGACTAAGAGTCAAACCCTCGTGGCAAAAGAAAGGCTACCTCCCACAGGACGCTAAAAGGTTGCAGCCTCTTCTAGGTCCCAATCAAAAAAATCTCCTACTTTGCTGGCTGTGTTCCAGTTCTGAAGACTACTCCTTCTCCATAACAGTCAACCTCTCTGCAGTTCATGAGGAATTAAATATCAATGCGAAACCCTTGGTCACATTGGATCCGCATATTTCAGCAACACTACTTAGACACCCAATGAATTTGCATAAAACAACTTTTCTCACAGCAGATATTGCTGTCACTGGTAAGTGTTCAAAATCTTTGCAGTGTTTAATAAAGTGTTTAGGAAAGGTCATACGTGAGTTTATGTTTTAGGCGATACCCATGGCACTCTGCACATCTGGGATGTTCAATCCGGCACAACATACCGTTCTGTGCAGAGCGACCCCATTCCCATAGATGGTCCTCTTCTCAAAAATCTAGCACAATATGATTTTTCTCATCTAACCGTAGCAGAGGAAGCCGGTCCCATCACTGCGCTAGCAGCGACAGAGCCCAAGCGAACCGAGGCTGGCAGCTTCACTTGGTTCTGCTCGGGTGATGACTCCGGGTGCGTGGTAGTGCGGCGATGCATGACCACGGCCAACGGTGCGTCAAGAAACGTCGCCACGAGGATTCATGCGAAATTTCGGCCCTCTTTTCACACCAATCTAACCTACTCGGCGGATAGTGTTACATGCGCGCGCTTGCTGAGTCGCTCCCAATGGCGGACGAATAAACCGGAGGCCTTCCTGGCCACTGGAGATCTTTCGGGCTGCATTCGCGTTTGGCTGCTGCCTCAGTGCACACAACTAGCTCAGCTCTCCGCCTCCTGCGAGTCTGGCCTCCGAGACCTTGCGCTCACGCAGTCGAATCCCTCTACGACCCTTGCAAACCAATGGTTGCAGGTAGTGGGGTTGGTGCGACGTGAAAAATGCGTTGGTCCCAGCTACGAGCACGGACGTGTAGTCGTAATTCACTTGAGTGCGAGGGAGGAAAACGGCGTGCCCAATGCCATGCACAGCCCCCGCATCAGAATTGTGCACAAGGTGTAGATATTGGCAAGTCACATTGACGCTGCTACTACTACCACCATCACCGCCACTACTACTATCACAACCAATCGACAACTTCTATTCATATAATTTTATTGTTTTTTATTTCGTATATATTTCCAAGATGACGATTATGTTTAGTGTTTTTGTTCGGTTCGAATGCAATGCTCTCTATGTATCACTGATTTTCTGCCATTTTCTGTAATTAGGTTTGGTTTCCACTCAAAATGACACTGAGCCGGATTACCACCCATCTAAACTGAATGGGCTCAGGCCTCAATGCACACTCACTCATTCATCACAAAAACTATTCAAAACGGTTTTTGCTGCTAGTTTGAAAGATATGTACAAGTGAATATGCATCCGTTTAAAAAAACTTATTGTTTTAAAAACGACATCAGAGAAAAATTAAGACTTATTTTCCTTGCCAGCTTCGTATCCCGTAAAACTCCATCTGGAAAGTTGGAAAGTAGTGCGGATGACTCACCTCCGGACAAAAAAACATTCTTGGCCAAAAGATAGAGACAATTTCCCTTACATCATCGCAGTTGAAAGCCGCATTCGTACTTTCTTTTTTAAGAACCTGGGTCTAGTTTGATAGAAGTTATATGTGTTATAGAGAATATTTTAACCATAATTTGCACCCAAACTTCCTTGTGAGGTTGTGCCGTTCCAATGTGTTTTGTAGATTTTAGTAAGCTTATTTAAATTCCCATCTTGATTTCAAAGCCGGGCTTTTAATAGTTAAGCTTTCGTTTCGTAACAACAAATTGATATCCTCAAGTTTTCACAGCATTTGAATTATTGCGCCACCTAAGTATGTGTAAATAAGTAAGAACTTGTTGTTTAGATAGTGCCAGGCGATGTCTAAATTTTGAAGTGAAGTGCCACTTGAACTTCTTTGTTTGATTTGATTGATGTATCTCATAGATCGCCAGAAACCCTCATGTATTTGGACCGAGAGGCGAAAACGCCATCCACCCTGTGTTTTTCTTAACATGTCCATGTAAGAAGTACAGGTACTAGACAGTCTCCCTTCCTAGGCTGCGTGGTTGCGTTTCTGTCTCCCACAGGCCTACAGTTGGCCACACCACACTTTAAAAACGTACATTGCTTTCATGTCTGATACCCATTTCCGCTCTAGTCCAAGGGGTTATACACACGAATCATTAATTAAAGAACTTGAAGCAATAATTGATGCTTAATAAGGCTATCACCTATTTTGACCCGAGAAATCAGTACATTCAGAGCACTTTCTCAAATTTACTTTTGTTCCCTTAATGAGCCTTTATCCTGTCCTTTGCTAATGACTTATGACACTGATGTCACTAAAAATTGGGAATGAGTTTTATTTTGACGCTAGGTGTGCCGTAGGATCCCAACCAAACGTCGAGAAAAGGAATCACGGATGCTCCCAAAAAAAAGACAAAGTTGGTACAATCAGACAGTACTTTGCTTGTATTAAATGTGTTGCCAGACACTTGCAATTTATTAATTTTCATTAAATGTTTTAATTAGAGTTGCCACATTTTTATATAAAGGTAATGCGAACTGCAGTCAAGATGTTGATATTTACCGTAGCGCTGCAGCAGAATCACAAATACCGCTCATTTTTGACATTAGTACCAAATGTGCTAATCGTGCATGATGTGTAAAGGCATTTAAGGGTTCCTGACAATATTTTGATTCATTTACTCTTCTTAGTGCTTAAAAATAGAAATGTCTAATTAGACATTCAATTTAGCAAAAAGTGAAGAGAAATCCAAAATGTTGACGTGCTTTCCCTTTGCTGCAAAGTACTTAAAAGAGCCCCGTGAACGGACGGGCTAGGTACGTATTAGTGCTATATAGTGTTTGTCTAGGCAAAAACTGGACTTTTAGCATGCTTTGGCAATGCCATATATTGGCTTCGGTTTCAAAAGGGAGATCTGATGAATAGGTTGCTGGACAGTGTAGCATGTCATATCCGTCGCTGCATCCAAGCAGAATATTAATCGTCCTTCATAAGTCGAAATTAGTGATGAGTAACAAAGCCTCACCTGCCTTATGCTGAAGTGTGCTTTGTACCCATTCTGTCTGAGTGGTTCTGAAGACACCAATTAATTCAACTGGTACTATTCAGTGGTGGTGGCCTCTTTACTGACGTTCTTCAACTAAATGTCATGACGATTACAGAGAAAACTCTCAATATTCTTTTTTCGGACCATTATTGCTTCAATACAGGAGGCGGGTTGCACAATTAGCCAACGTGTATTTACCCCTTACACCCTAAAAAGCACTACACCCTGCCTGAGCTATTTCAAATGCCAACAATTTGAAGTTTTGGCAAGAATGCCAGATTGAAAATCCTTTTCTGGATTTGGCTTAAGCAGGAAGAAGTGTGTGCTCCAGATTGAAATAGTTTTAACTACAAGTATATCTTAGCGTTGATAAATGCCTAATTAAACTTTATTTTTGTTGTGTTTCACCCAAGAGACTCCCTCAACAGTTGTGGGGTTGGAAGATGCATACAGGTATTTTATGTTCTTCCCCTGATGGGCAGTTAAGCAAAAGCTTTTATTGGAACGGTTATGGGAACCACGGTATATTCAGTCGTGTTGCCAAAACAATGTGCCAACTGTCAGTTAAGAAAACGGTGTAGATCAATTCAAGCAATAAGGCAAGTGATTTCTTTTTTACCTAAAAAAATATGACTGAGAAAATGTTTATTAAATAAAGCATTGATCATTACTTTACAATTGCCTTCTTACGAATGAGGTACGTTATTGCAGACAAATTTCTGAAGTTGCTTAAAGGAAAGCTTGGTAAGTAATTAGAAAATTGGATGAATAAACAGAGGAGTGGGCTTTGAATTTGGACACTCTAAAAGATTGACAACCGTATTCTCAAACAAAGAGCTTTAGGCTACTTAAGAGTTCAAGTTTAGCATGAAAAATTTATGTTCAAAAAATTCTGTACATTACAGTTTTTTCCGCCCACAATGACTTGGATTTGTGACCATCCACTAGGCTGTATAGTTCAGCTGACTTCCAGGTAGCGCATCCAACCTGTATTACATCTAAGCCTGTTTAACATATACCACTACTTGTTTCGTAGCAAGAGCATCTAGGAGCTTAGAGAAAATATACAAAGGCGAATGAAAATACATTTACCTTGAAGAGAAGAATCCTGGATAAGGGAAGTGCTTAGAATTGGAATATGATAGTATCTCTATGTTAGGGTTTAGGAAGCGCTTGATAACTTGTCATGTGATAGTGAACATCATTTTATTCAGGTTTTTAAAAATTAACTTTGTAATGTGTTTTGCGAAAAAATAGCTCCGGAACGAGCTTGTTTAGATGGTTTACAACTGGTGTCGCTTCAGTCTTCAATAGCTTTCCTAAAGACCACGGAACTGGGGTAGCTGCAGTAAAAAAACATCATGTTCAGTTCATCTGTTATGGGTCATCGCAGGTTCTCTTATCACTATGGGTTATCATCCAGCAGTGCCACTGATGTAGCTTCTCGAGACTTCTCTGAAGACGAAAGAAGTCATAATACTCGGACAGAGTATGTGTTGCCGACGTACAGAAGGGCTTGGGAGCCCGCTGGTTTGCATGTCTTAGAAGCCAGGCCGCCGGGTGGAGGTACAGTGGCGGAGCCTTAAGTGGCCTACCATTAAAGCTAGGGGTTAAAAAAACGATTAAAGCGTTAAATATTAGTGGTACAGTACACTGATGGTCTATTCTCTTTTACAAACTCATGTAACCTAGCATTACATGAGGGCTGATAGATTGGTTCCGATGTGATACATGTGCCAACTCCCATTTCTACATCGTATGATATAACAAAAACTTTTATATTATTTCCATCCAAGTCTATCTACACACTTACTTTCTTTCTTAAAGAATATGCTAATAATGATAACTTCGAACTTGTACAATGATGTTCTTCAAGTTAAATCATTTCGACTTGATTACTTTTAGCCTGTCTATGTGATATCTAAAAGAGGACGATGATTCCGACATTTTTTCCCATTTTCCAGTAGTATGACCCTTACACAATGTACCGCAATTTATTGCATCAGCCCTACAAGAATAAATTATTAACTCGGCATGGCTTGAACCTATTTGTGGAATTCGTAAACAATCAGTAGTCTATGTATTCTATGCCCAAAAGAACATTACTTTTGAGAAAAGGCGCTGTGGTAGTCACTCTCGAGTTCAGCGGGAACAATGGCTGGTCTTTTGATCTTAGATGCTTATTTTCTGAATGAAACAAGTGCGAATTACTGGTTAATGAATTTTAACAAATTAACCCTATTGATTGTGTTCAAAATTATAAGGCGCAATTCTGCGCTATTTCAAATCGACGATTACAACACAACAAAAACTTGGTAGTCGACTTCCCCTTGAGCCCATTCATCATCATCATTCATAGATTTAATGACATATTTAATTTAAACAACGTGCTAGGAAACCAAAATTAAATGTCAAAAGCGTCGCTATTCGCACTATTTTGATCGAAGCATTTCCCATTAGTATTTCATCACAAAATGCCTTAAGGAAATCCCATAGCGTCTGGCAAAAAAGCTCTCGCTACTGTCCCGCGTAGCTAAGCCTCAATTTAATAATCAAATATTTTTTGTCCTCTGGAGTTACTTTTATGCTTGTAAATGGATTCTGTTTGAACTGGTAACAATTATTAAGGGTTCGTGGTGTTACCTTTAGTCGCATTTATTGGGATATGCAGCTTAATGTGGTAATGGGCAACTTGGACTAAACAAGTAGTCAAAACTTCATTTCGAGGCCGGGTAATTGTCAACTACTTCGGCTCATAAGCGTTTTCAAACACACGCGTTATTGCCGAAACAATTGTTGGATAAAGCAGCATTTCGATTTCATTCCACCTGAAGGATATAAGCTGTTTCAGCCCTGGACGCTTTGGGAGCAAATACAAACGTCTTGTGATTTTGGACCTATAATACTACCATCTATATTTTTTTAGCATATGTGGAGTCACGAACGCTGCTGAAGATAGACTGTCTTTCCGCATTACTTCTCCTCCAGACCAAGTTCATCAGGTTACTAGCTTTGTAAGTTAAAAGGTTATGTGCTCATTCTTTCAGTAAAAGTCATTCTCTAAGTTTTTTGGTTTAAACAATGTAGACTTAGCGGGCGGTCATGCCATGATAAGTGTGCTTAATTTTTAATTAGTAATGCCCTTTGACTACGCACCAGCAACAAAATTCACTATACGTATAATGCACCCCGTTAAAGACATCATCTTCCATGCCACCATGGCTTGCATGCAATCTTTGTATCGTTAGTTAAGCGTCTTCAAAGTAGGCATCTCGGTTTTTCTGAACTAAGGTTTTTCCACCACTTTTTCAATTATTTCAAGCAAAAAAAACTAACTGCAGTTATAGTTTATCCCACTAAAATTCTACTAACCTCTCCACTGGGAGACGAGACATTGCCCTTTCATTATTCACTAAGGCCGTCAAATTAGGCCGAACATGGTTTTGCAAAACATCGCCTGTCTTCGTTGTTCAATCCGCAGTTCTAGCTGTTGAAGCGTTCCCTGCCTGAATTTCACGAATGTGAGATACCCAATTTCAGAAAGTCGTAATAACAATGAACAACTCCGCTGATGTACCAACGTGATTCTGAGCATCAACCCGCTATTACAACATTTTTATTTCACAGATGATTACTACAAGGTATTTGCGTTGTTTTGGGTCACACATTTTTAGCTACATGGATTAGAATCTCAATCTTTCTGCAAGAAGCCATAATTTATAACCCCATTAAAAAATACTGAAAAACCACAATTATTTAGCCTTTGGACAATTACTTGCAATAGCTTTAAGGCTCTTATTATCACCAATAACATTTACTTGTCGATCCCTTTACACACTCACAAGTATTGTAAGGTCATTAAGTAAAGAGGGTTATCTATCGCTGACGATGAAATTGTAGTGGTGTCGGACGCGTAAACTCTTTAGATCCTGTGAGAAACCTTTCCCTGTACTTCATAACTTGTCTTGTAGTATCTTCGCTGAAAAACCTAATCGCTTCCACTTTCCCTTCTTCTTCGGTAACAACTTCATTTGGAGGCATAATACGTCTTACTTTGCCTGTATCGTTAAGATGCTCCTGGCAACAATTCCAACCGACTGTAGCTCTCAGTTGAATACTCTTGCAGTACCACCACACAGGTGCAAACATTAATAATATCACATCCAAGAGACAGGCGTAATTGTCAACTGTTGCCTTCCATAGGCAGAAACTAGTATAATCCAAGGGTGTTACCGCCAATTTTCCATTGCTCAAGAAAACGCCTAGTTTCGCAATGACGGAAAGCAGCTTAAAGGTTGCTACAAAACGACAGTAGTATGAGAGAAGAACGAGTCTTTCGCTAGTTGATTTTAGTTTGGAGCTGAGACCAGTGAATAGAGCTGACATGAAGGAAGACTTATGCATTGTGTTACGAAGATACCTGGAACTCGCATCGAATTGACGCTGAAGGGCGTTTACCTTCCATCCGAGAGTAAAAACTATCAAAAGGGAAACTAGGTTGTCACAATAGAGGATGCAGTGCACGTTCGTCCAGGCAAGAAGAAGAGAGTGTATTCGTTGGTTAAAATCGCAGATTGTCAGATTCCACACTTTCCAGTGGTCAGTGAGAATCAGGACCGGAATAGAGGACAGTAGAGCAGTTAGAAAGACAGCACACAGACTCGTAAAGGTGCTGAGCGGCTGAATAGTTTCCCATCCCATGTGAATACATGTGGCAAGCATGAGGTTTGACCTGAAGGTGTTAAAGAATTGCCGCACAAAGGCGAGTGCTTTGCAGCAGCTGGCTCCGGCATGGGACATGGGATCAAATAGCCTCAGAGGACCCTCATAATTGGTGCCCACATGGTAGGTGGCAATTGTGGGCAGTAGAAGGGGGACACGTAAGCAGAGCAATTCCCCTATGTTGACAAGGAGTCCAGAAAAAACTTCGATATAGCCAAGAAGGCACCGATAATGCGCATACCTATTTGATGACATTACAAAGATAGTAAAAGAACTTGCAAGGATCCCACATAAGCTAACTGGCAGTGAGAAAAGAACAACCATCTGACAAGAGTAATAGTAGTATTGCAGATCACTTCGTATTCGATCCGGTAAAGACCGGGGATCGCCACTTTCCCAATGGGTTGAGTTTGAGTCCATGCAGTCACCGAAAGCACAAATACGCTGCACAAGGAAAGGTCAGCAGTATGATCAATAATTCGAACAACACAGGAACCCAAAAACCATAAAATGAATAAGTAGCAAATGCAAATCAAGTCTGCTAGCTCAAACCCAGTCCTCACTCCTTGTTGGCTGGCCTTCATGGTCAGGAAGAGTTTTTGCGTGCTGACCTTAGCTTTATCTTTGGCGACTTCGGAGGCACTGTAAGCTTTTAAGTACTTGAAAACGGTGTCATTAAGCCCGGAAGACAAGACTATCGGTAACAATGAAGGGAATAAAGGGTATAAACACCCCGAAAGGATGCAACCTACGTTAGGTGCTTGTAAAATGCTCGAAGCTCTCTCGAATTTATCTGCACTTTTATAACTGCTTCTACATATTTGGCGCATTCAAATGCAATGACATACTAAATAACTACGCGCATAAAACATCCATTCTAATAAGATAGACCTATAGCCATCTGCAGAGTAAAAATTAGTATGACAAACTCAAGCCCGCCTGAATTGCCCCCTAGAGATGGTTTGCGGCATGTCCACGCACAAACGCTTAGTCAAAACGCAAAACCATAGTACACAGCTACCATCGGTGGTAAAACTTGGAAACCTTGCTAATGTCATTCCTTCTTCAGAGTGCGTAGCTGATGATTATCTGCAGGCCATTCTACCTGTTTTAAGTGGTATTGGTTGCCAAACTCTTTTGTTGCATATATATTTTTACTGTACGGATTACCTAAATTATCGAAGCGCATAAGAATACTTTTGGATCCATGGAACAGCAAAATAAATAAGGACTCGGCAATATGGTGTTACGTCTCACAGTAAGGATTCAGATGTAATACGATAGTGGTTCATCCCTCGGCATTGGTGAGGCGCCACTTTTGTACTTTGGATTAGCCCCCTTGTACCTCGCTGGGTGGGCTGGCCTTTTGGGCCATGCCAATAGCCCAGATACCTTCTCTGCGCTGAATATATATTCTGCCTGAGTATTTTGTTTTCTTTTGTCTTCAGGGAGTCCGGGGACGCTACATAGAACTAGATAATAGTTTGACTACAATACAATCCCCAACTTGTGTTAGCAGCAAAGGAATAAAGTAATAATGCGTCGCAATATTCTTCAACTAGAAGGGCTCGCTCTACATAGTTCGCCGACCATGCCCACAGTGGTCATCACATCTATGTAGCACGATGATTGTTTATTTCTCGGGATTGGTGGGGAGCCACGTTTGACTTAGCTTTTGTACCACGTTGGGTGGGCTGGCCTTCGGGCCATGACAGAAGCCCAAACACCTTCTCTGTGCTAAATATATATATATTCTGCCCGAGCATTGTGTCTTCCTTCGTCTGCAGGGAAGTCTCGGGACGATATATCTACACCTCAATAACAGATTTCCATACGCGCTTGGCATGTAGTGATTTAGGGTAAGCCTCAGGACTTTTCAAGGCTGCTAATTTACTAAACTGTGCCACTTTTAAGGACATGCAAACAGTATGTTATGAACTGTTCACTACTACTTGGGATGCCATAGCATATCCGTCACGGTATTTTAATTCGTAAATACATTTAATGAATAGAGAGGTGGGTCAGAATTGATGAGACCTATAAGTTCAGAACTAAACAACTCAGAATCTGCAGTAAGAAGGTGGGCCAAATTTTGAATCTAAATGCGAATTGTACTACATATTGCCCAAGTTTTATGTATTGTGTTAAGAGGCAAGGCACAAAATTTGCCATTTGTTATATGCAAAATAAAGTACAAAAACATTAGGGCGCAATATGCATTATATAGTTATAAGCTGATAATTTCGAATAATGTTTCATAATATGATCATGCGTACTAAAGTCGTGCTCAAAAGTGTCAATTTACTTCCCACAAGAAACAAAAACAATGTACAACCTAAAAGTATGGCTTGTGTGCCTCGTTAAACTTGCTAATACCTTCTCCAAATAACGAGTAGGATTTCAGCTGCTTTTAACCATCCATTTATGGACCTTGACTCGAAACGTCTTGGCAACACATTCTCATAATGGTTTGATTTATATTTTACTAATATGGGTATTTAGTCTACAAAAGCAAAAGCAAATTCATCTGTTGATGGAAATTCCTTAAAGTCGAACACTCCGAGATGTTACTCATACCGCAAGATAAACGGATGTTCAGTGGTTGATAGCAGCTTATTTGGCGAGCCAGAACGCCTTAAAGCAATAAAGGTAGAATTATACTCAAGCTAATAAGGTCTTAGATGATGGATCGCCGAAAATTATATAATCAAAGGGGAGATGACATCAAAGTCAACGTTTTCTGCAATCGTAGAAGGGCTACCGACTGCCAAATTGAGAAGCAACATGGAAAAACTATCAAAACACTCCTACCTGAATCAGATCGAACAAGGGAACTAATGTAGGGGAATGATTTTACGTAAAATTTAGAATCAAAAATGAGAAAATCAATGAGAAGTCAATATTTCTTTCAAAAGCGGAAATGGAACGGATTCGTAATAGTGCTCGCATTTTAACTGATGAAGAATTAAAAGAAAAGGAAATAAAGGATAAAGAATTGAAGGACAAACTTATGGCTAGTATTGAGTGGTATTTTATATTGTATTATGGGTTGGGAAGTAGCCACAACTTCTTTCCAATTTATTTTGCCTCTTTTTCTATTCACTCTGAGTTTGGACAGTTTTCTTAATTTCCTTTTTATGAGTACCGATTATGGCATATTTTACTTCTAGGTCCAAATTTTTAGAGATCATTATACCAAAGTGTGGATTTTTTTGTGTTTTTACCTACTCAGAGGCCAACTGGTTAACTAGTTTATTAGAAATCAATTCCCATTTTTAGAATACATTTAAGAAGAATGCCTAGTTAATCATTCTTTTGTATAGTTCTAGTTTCTAAATTCTACAGAGGTGGCACTTTATTTACAAATGTGACAACCATTTCTGTGCAGTTCTATGCAAGCGGTTTTCGACTTTTATAATATGCGTTACCGTCGCTAGTTCTATTCGTATGTACGTCTAATTTTTATGTTTCCGATAAAAAACAGGATAACTTGAAACACTTTGCTTTAAAACAGGCACATTAATGCTTTGTATAGTTACAATGGATTCGTGAATGTAATATTATGTTAAAAAAGTTTTCAAATAGACTCGAAAGAAGCAGCTGTTTTTACTTTGGCCCCCCTATTGCTTTTAATGTGATCTTTTGGGCCATTTTAAAGGTTCCAATTCTTATAAAATATGTGCACTGAATTATCCCAGAAAGGGACGAGTCCTCCACTTGATAGAAAGATTTGTCTGGATCTTTACTCACGGCTAAAATATGTAAAATTACTGGTTACAAAGTAGGCTGTGTTTAATGTAAAGCTTTAGTAAAGACTACCTTGCTTTCCATTTTAATTCTTGTTTTGCCACTTACCTCTACTTTCTGTTCACCGTAAAAATGTTTGTCAAGCGGATAATTTTGACGAATAAAGTACAGGTTTTATTATTGACAATTAGTAGTTCCTTATTTCTACTTTGTTTCAAAATAGAATGCACTGGTTCGAAATTTTCTGATGCTTTCTTAGCAGTTTTTAGTTATAATAATTCAAAGTTTTTCTTAAAGTTGGGTGGCTTAGTGGCTAAACAAAGGGATGAAAGTTAAGCAGATGTCTGCTTTAGAAAAAGTTGATTGTAGCGCTCACACTTAGTGAATATTTAAAACTTTAGTGAAGTTCTAAGCTACCAAAAATTTTAACTATAGCATCTGTTGTATTAAGATGCAACAGGGATTCGTGTTCTAGGTCGTACATTATTCTTTAGTGTTGAAGATCACTTTCGATCTTGACCATGTGACATGTTTCATGGTCTAGACAGAGTTAACAAATCGCAAGGATGAGATGAAAAAGCTCGATATGGAGCGTCGTGCGAACGAGAAACTCAACGAGTTGGAGGAAGAGGCAAGGCAGAAGGCGCAATACCTTCTGTCGAAGGCGATGGAGCAGCGCCAGGATGAGGAGGAAGAAATAAAGCAACTGAACGCAGCTATTACAAATGCTAAGATCCAGACTATTCGCGATGCACAGGTGCTCGAAAAACAGCAAATTAAGAAGGAATTGGCTGAGGAGAATGACCGACTTGATCGCATGATGGAAATGGACCGTCAAAACGCTCTCCAGATCCAGACTGCAATTGAGACGAAACGAAAAGAAGCGGTAAATACTAGTCCAGTGTTCTGTAGAGCTTATATCTGATAAGGTAAAACAACTTGCTTGAACTATTCGTTGACATGTAAAGCCTCCTTAGTTCCCCTCCAATGAATTTAGCGTTCTCGATGGGAAGATTTTAACATCTTTCTCTTCTGTGTACTATGTAATGGCTATTGAGGTCGACATTCAATCTCGTAGTCCTTGTCTTTCAGGAAATGTTGGGAGAATGTGAAATAATTAACCAGATAAACCAGAATGAGCAGGAGCGTTTACTGAGACTAGAAAAGACGGAGCAGGAGAATATGGCGGTACGCAAGAAGATAGCGAGTGAGATGCTGGAGGAGATGAACCGTAGAATTGACAGGAAGACAAAGCAGCAGCTCCTAAGAGAGGAATTGGATAAGTGCAACGATTCGATGCGCAAAATGCGATTGAAAAAGGCTGAGGAAGAAAGACTGCTTGATTTGAAAATCATGCAAGAACAGAAGGCAAAAGCTGTGAGTTAGACTGCTGTCTGTTCATTAGTACTGTAGTTTGAGTCCTCTTCACAAAACTGTTTCAAAAGGTTGCATGAACGGGCTTAGTATTTAGTATTTCATTTACGCGCTGTTTGCATTTTATCCACATCTCCCATTAATAAGATCACAGATAGTTTGTATGCTTGCATAGACGTATTCTCACAAAGACTGTCAAAGTAGTAAATTCATTTCCCATAATTGGTTTTGTAGGAACGACTTTGTTTTTTTCATAGTGAGATGGCATTTGCGCACATATATTGTCACACTCGCCAGTGTGAGAGCATAAAAGGGAAAGTTTGCGAGACAGAAGTTCACGACTTCAGCATGGAAATCAAACGACTAGCCCCTTTGTTCTGTCCGTTTTACCCTATCCTGCAGGAGCGTGAGGCGGCCTTTGAGGAGGAGCAGCGATGCATCCGCTGTGAGAAGGAGAGAGAGACGAACCGACTGCGGGGCTTACAGGAACGTGCCATCGATCTGCAGGCAGAGAAGAACGCTCTGCGTGCTAAGCGGGCCATGGAGGAGAACGAACGACAATGGCGCCGGAAGGAGCTGGCAGCCGCCAAGAGAGCTCAGGAAGCCAGGGAGGAAATGAACCGAGAGCGCATCAGAGCGGAAGAAAACAAGACCCGTCTTCTTGCCATGGAGGCGACGCGCAACAAAGTGGACTTCGAACGAATTCTACAGTAAGCCTTTATTTCTTACTACATAGAGATAAGTTTGTGGAAATTTTCCGCTCATAAGCGAGAATAACTAAATAGATGATAGAAAACTGGAACAATACTACCTTTCAAATAATGCGGGTTTTTATTTTTAGGGTGAAATTATCTGTGGAAAATAAAGTGGGCATTGGTAATAGGTTACGTTGTAGATAATGTAGCGAAGAATCTTCTCGCGTTGTTAAGAATCGACATGCTTCCCTTTGTACTTGGATTGGGCATCCTTAAAAATGATAAATTTGGACTAACTGGTTAGTTTTATTTTGGAATTTATCTTTCCAGACACCAGAAGGAATTGATAGAAAAGGATAGACTTGAAGAGAAAAGGCGCAATAAGATGAAAATGGAGTTCTGTAACGACTTGAAGAAGCAGATATGTGAGAAGGAGCAGCAAAGAATCGCGGAGCGAAATGCCTTCTTCGAAGAGGGTGTGAGAATGGAAGAAGAGGCGCGGCTGCGTCGTTTACGTTTGGAAGATGCTAAGAATCGTAAGATGGAAGAACTCAGGCAAGCCTTCGTCGACTTTACTGAGTCCTTAGCTGAACCATCACTCATTCAATCAAGCTAGTTAGATGTAACGAAAAGCTCGGTTTTTGAGTAATTTTTTACACATGGCAAAACCCATGATTTTCCTTTTTATCAAGGTTCGCATCTCCTTTTATCAAGTTTATATGAAATTCCCCACTGCCACTCTTAATAGGTAGCATCTTATTGACTTTTTCACCAACATTTTTTTTCAGCACTTTTCACTAATTTTTAATTAAAGTCAATACTCTTCAACAAATTTTTTAGATCATTCGATTCAGCAAAGAACATATTCGTCACCATTTTAATGTAAAAAACTAAACGCCGATTAGTTTTTCGTAAAACCTGTGATATTCAGAATCCACAAAATAACTTTATTTCTTATTCTGACTTTATAGGAAGGCAGGAATACCGGAGAAGTATTTGGCAGAAATTGAAAGGAAGGCTGGGCAATTAAATATTACTAACGTAAAAATTTGAGCACCAGCAAATATAACAAAACTTATCCACACCTAGAAATGTACTTAAGGTGTTATTAAATGCTTCTGACGAATAAAAATATTTTATTGTTTTCCACAATAAGATTTCTGAAATACGATATGGGCAAATTACGCCTTTTACAAACGTTAGTTGCCAATTTTAATAACTCGATGTTTGCTTGCGGAAGTTGTCTCGACCCCATCAAGCTCCCAACCAGACAGTCAATGGATAAGGCCCTCAGATTAGACGTGATGAGAAAGCAAGGGGGGTACGCGCCTGGCGGTTAGGGTGTGGAGACTGCCTGAGTGTGTGATTTGCATGTCTCGGTATTTTCAGTTACGCGTAGTCCTAGCAACTGATTGAGCGTGGCGCGCCTTCGAGTGGCTATCAGTGCACTTAGAGCACATTTTCTGCTTGATGTGGTCCAATCAAGAGAGAGTGGCTGCTCGAGGATTAGTAAACAGGTGCAACTTTTAAAAAATCAGAGCGGGACGTATTTCTGTAGTTGCAAGCATCCGCAGTACGTATGGAAAAGAGTGGCTTACCAAGCCTTTCCTAAAGCTGCGTGGAAGAAGACCCTTTGTTAACGTGTAGAGGCCTAGGTGACTAGCTGTACAACCGGAAGCCCACGCTGTCGAATCAAAATACGGCTTCATAATTAAGCTTGCAGCCAAACAAAGTGTTGGATTCAAACAGAGCTTCCTCTTCTTTCGAGCATTATCCTAGGGCCAGTCATCTCCTTTGGGTGTCAAAAAATTGTCAGAGCTTTCAAGACTACTTACTAAGCAGAACCGGAGGACATTAGATCCCAGCGTATTGATGCGTATTCATATTTCCACTTGCAAAATGCACAGGAGAGGAAAGGATTCACTAGCTTTTTATTACAGCACTCTACAACTAGTGCACTTTGTATGCGAAATGTTATCCATAAAAACAACCCGAACGGAGTGCTATTTGGGTAAAGAGGGGTTCGGGATTGCCTGGGTAGTCTAGTAATTTGCGTCATCCTTTAGTGTTAGCCAGTCGCCTGCATGCGCCATATTAGGCTATCAGGGTCTTAAAGAAAGTAATTGGAACATCCATATAATTAACGTAAATGTTTCCATAATGGACTTTTCAAGTTGTTAAGGTACGATAGCGGCAGCAGCAAGCGGACTTGGTCCAATTGTATAAAAAATCCTTATTCTTATGGTTGCTTACAAAATCTTGACGTATAAGGCAAAAAAATGAATGCACGAAGGCATTCAACAAATGGATCGAAATGGCATCCATCTTCAACACCTAATTCCTTCTCGAGCTCTTCAGTAAGGCGCACAAAAACTGTTCATATTTCAGGTCATTCGTAGTTGTTCTCACTAAAAAAGAAAATAAAATAACTTTAACCTATTTAAGTTCTCCAAAAATCAGCAGCTGCTCTTGTAAAGCACTTTTTTGGGAAAAACTTATCGCATTTATAATAGACATGCGCCTGGTTTGAACTTGGTTCATTGAGTACATTAACAAATCGCACAATACAAAAGATAAGTAGATGAAAGCAGACTAGCCTGCGATGTACTTATTGCTATTTCATTCTTAGTTTATAATAATAATGGCGATATCAAGTAACTTTGGTCATCCAGCAATTAGAAATTGTCCAATGAACAGAGGATCTTAAGATCAGGCAATTTAGCCTATTCATTATTCTTTCTGATACTCTCGCATGGGCTCGACGCAAAGGAGGTATCATTTTAATTTAGTCTACTGAGTTTGCCCCTAGTTTTAGACTTTTTTGTAAAGCTGTTTTTTAAACACCTTGAGGTATTTCCTACTGACGACTGTATTGCGCAGCCTCACCTTGTAGGTTTCTTTAGGGATGGAGAATGGATTTAGTTGTATTCCTAACATTGTTTATTTATTTAACTACGACTTATTTTCAATTAAGATCTAATTGAAACTGCTGGTGAACTAGTCTGCATCGTCGACTCTGTATTTTCGATACTTTTCAATCTTGTTCTAGTATTTTTTGTCTTTGTACATTCTCCATTGTCTATTCACTCGTTAACGTTCTTATTCACATTCACAGTTCTTAAATGTCCTTTTTAGGTTCATCTTCAAACCAGTCAAATCAGATAAATCTCCCTCGATGCCAGTCGCTACAATGAATGTATGACAATTTATCCATAGATAGTGTTCTAGCCCCTTAGGAAGTCACTTTTTATAGCAGCCACTTCGGCCTCCTCTCCTCCTTCAAATGCTAAACTCTCAAACAAGCTCATACCCACCGCAAAAGTTGTTCCTCTAAAGCAGGTTTTTATGCCAAGTCTTGATTTTCCCTTTAGAAGCAGCGATACTCTAAAACCTCGAAGTCCCTCTCCTGAACTGGAATTGACGGATGTAGAAACCAGTCCTGGTATTGTGCTGTAGCGATTATTTATATCATATCTGTAGCCTTGAAAATAAAAAGTCATCCTTGCTTAGAAGAATGTGTAGAGAAAGCCCTATCTGTCTCCAAGCTCGATGGTGAAAACCCAGTGTCTCCATCGTGGTTAAATGATGACACCGAGCTGTTCGAAAATATTGATCAGACTGCCAACTTTGACCCTAGTTCGACCTCTACACCGGTGGATGTTACACCAAGGTCTCCTACTTTCTCTCCACGACCTTCTGTTCTGAAAGGTCTTCTTAAAAAAGCAACACCTGTTTTTACTCCTTTAACATCTCAGAACTCTTGTAAACCATCTCTTGGGGAAAAGTCGGCTGCTGTGTCCCATCCCGTGGTCCACAAAAAGGCCGAGTTGAGGCAGATCCCTCTGTCGTTGAAGAAACCGACGCCGCCTCAGGATGCAGGCGTCCTTATTTCGTCAAGTTTCTTAAAAGCGATTAATGAGGCTTGTGACGCAATTCAGGCCATGCCCCTTGAAAAGTTAATTAACTGCTTTGAAGGACGGATAACCAGTATAACTCAGTTACTGACGGCTAGAAGCCATCACCAGGATTCACTGTCGAAAGCTTACAGCAAGCAGCGACGTCAGCAGAAATCACAGCAACAAAAGGAGCGTCCGTATTTCAGTGCCGGTGGAACATCAGCCTCTACTGAGCTCTCCAGTACGAACGAAACGGCTCATGATGATGTTGGCAACTGCAACAGCTTCGATGGCTTTCCAGAACAGGCTCCTCTTTTATCGACCACCTCACTAGCGTCTGCTAAATCAATCACCTTTAACGTTCCCCCGCCTGTGGAGATCATTGCTCGCTCTAAGCCGAAAGAACCAAAACTTGAGGCGGACACTGGCGAAGGAAACGTCTTTCTACCTTTGAGCAGTCATCACTCGAAATGGGGTATGTTGTGATATACGTCTATCGTTAATTAACCGTGGTTGCTTTTTACAGACGTTTCCGCTGAAATTATTGATTACAAAGAACAACCTGATGATGGTTCGACTGGAGAATTTGATGGGACTGATAGATTTCCTCACTCAAATTCCCTGATGGATGCGTTCAAGCGTATATTTGGTCTTCGCACCTTTAGACGGAATCAGCTACAGGCTATTAATGCCGCTTTACTAGGAAAAGACTGCTTTGTAATCATGCCGACAGGTTTGTACAACTTTCAGGGTGTACATTTGTGTCTAGGCGGTGGTAAAAGTCTCTGCTATCAGCTTCCAAGTGTAGTTGAAGAGGGTCTCACAATTATTGTGTCCCCTCTTAAGGCTCTCATTCTGGATCAAGTTAACAAACTGCAGTCCCTTGGTGTAAGCTTTCCCCCCTATCACTCATCCACTTCAAACTCTAGGTGCACGCAGCTAGCCTCTCTGGTGATTTGCCGTTGTCGGAATGCGATCGCATCTTCACTTCTTTGCATACAATGAAGTTGGGCATAAGCATTCTCTTTGTGACACCGGAAAAGGTATGAACTTTATACACCGGCACCACCCGCTCTTCACTTTGACTTTCAGGCTGTTCTTTTGCCTTGTTAGATTGCTGCCTCAGGGAAGCTGAAACAGGTCATGGAGGAGCTGTACAGGAGAAATAAGCTGGCACGTTTTGTGATCGACGAGGCACACTGCGTGAGTCAGGTGAGTACCTGGTGTTTGCAGTTGCGGTTTAGTCCAGAGATATTGGCTATTCCGTTGGACATGCGCTCTGTTATGAAACGGTTCAATTTGATTTGCCTATCTTTCCTGGAGCTTTCGGTCGTAGGCTGTTGCCGAAACCCACTTCTTTAATTAAATAGAGTTGGGCATTTTGACTCTGCACTATCAAATTTTAGACTAAGACTTATATGTAAATTAAGCTATTTTTACTCTGGCGCTCATTATGTTGTCAGAAGCCACTGTACGTATGAGACCCCACAATCTCATGAAAACAATTCCTTTGGACTTGGTTTTTATTCATGACTATCTTGCTTATACACATTCAATCTTTGTGCATTCCTGGGATCTCTCATAAACCCGCTTTTTTTTGCAACAACCAGTGGGGACATGACTTCCGTCCCGACTACCGGAATCTGCGAATCCTGCGCGAGAACTTTCCCAAGGTGCCTATGATGGCCATGACCGCTACGGCGACTCCCCAAGTTCGGCAGGACATCCTCCATCAGTTGCGAATGTCTAACACCAAGTGGTTGGTCCTCATTTTTCTTTAATTTTGCTTCTGAACGTTCACTCCCCTGTTTTGCTCCATTTTTCTAAATTGAAATCAAGTGATTGCACTCAAGTGCCGCATTATAGTGGTCATCTGCTCTTTTTTCCTTTGCTTTATTATTTTTTTAGGTTTCACCGAATACTCTTCTATCGCCATTTTTTCTCGTTTTTACTTTAAGTAGGCGTGTTGCCTAAAAGCATGAGAGGATAGGAGGATTTTGAGGTAGTGGTGCACTTTAGCGTCATATTTCCTATCTTAGCTACCTCTCCTTTTATCTTAGTTTTGTTTTCAAATTGTCCATTTCGCTTATAATTGTCTAATAACAAGAAATGTTGGTAATCATTTAGAGAAGTATGGAATAAGTGCAGAGGATGAGGATAGAAATGCGAATGATGGAGTATCTCCCATCTGACCTAGGGACCAAATTCCCACATAGGTGAATTTGTCACTATGAGGTCCTACTTTGTCTCGCAAAAAATAGGACTTTCTTCTGATCGATTCACTACTAGTATTGTCTGTTTTTGAAGGAAGAGTTTTTCTTGCCCATCGAGTTTTGTCGGGTAGTCTAGAGTGGATGGACCTCGGTTGTAGTTGTTTGGCCTTCAGCAAGTGGACAATTCCGTCTGCACTCCACCATGCACACAAACAGTCTTGTGGCGATGAAGTAGTGCGTGCCTTAGATATGTGGGGTAGGTATTGAATGGGTGCGTTTGAGAATAACCAAGTATGCGTCCGTTTACTCAAAGTTTAAACACAAAGCCATTTCTCACCACTAATCAGTCAGTAAACAATGGAAAGGCTATTTATTTTTAAGGTAAAAGTAGCTGAAAAGGACAAGTTGACAGTTTTTAAATTTTATTGTTTTAGTAGTGCACGACGTGTGGGGCTTATTTCGCAATTTTTAAACTATTTCTGGGTATCACCTTCCACTACCTTAAACGTTATACAAATCTATGCGATTTTGAGGGGTCAAAATAACATGAATTTATGATGGATACATGTAAATAGCCGCGTACATTTTATGGGCTCTGGCAAGCTACGTTATGCAATATTCGAGTTTTTTGGTTGACTGACTCCTAGGTTCTCGTGGACTTATTATTTTCAAAGTCTGCTAACAAGTCGGGACTAATTTTTTTTCTAAATACATACATTTTTCGGTTATGCGGGTACTCGTTGGTTTTTATGACTTTACGTGACAGTTTATTTCAGCGTAAATGAGTGGAAATTTCATCTCTCAGTCAAGGAGATAGCGCAGTATTCACGGATTATTTTTCTCACCGCAAACAGGTTCATTCAGAGTTTTAACAGGGCGAACCTCAAGTTCGAGGTGCGATCGAAACGTTTGAAGAGCTGTTCGAAGGACATAATTCAGCTTATCGAGACGAAGTTCTCGCGTCTCTCAGGCATTGTATACTGCTTGTCGCGCAACGAGTGCGACACTCTTGCGGAGGAGCTCACTGCCGCTGGACTGCCAGCCAGAGCCTACCACGCCGGCATGACCGACGCTGCCCGCAAACGCGTCCAGGAGGCCTGGATCCAGGAGGAAAACTTTAAGGTTCGCCATTACCATTGCTACGACCTCCGCTACTGTTGTTGCTGCTATCGGGTTTTACCTTATTGAATCCATGACTATCTTTCTAGATTGTCTGCGCGACGATTGCCTTCGGTATGGGCATTGACAAGCCGGATGTGCGCTTTGTGATACACCACTCCATTCCAAAGTCCATTGAGGGCTACTATCAAGAGGCTGGTCGTGCAGGTCGTGATGGTCTCCCCGCCACCTGCATCCTGTACTACAATTGGCGAGACGTCATTCGTCTCAGAAAGCTTATCCACTGTGAGCGTACTGCTGCATATACCAAATTTTTCTTCGTATGCATACATATACTCATTTTACTGGATCTAATTCTTTATAATGTGTTGCTCATTGAGGTGGTAGATTGTTTTCACGTTTTTACTCTAGCCTGTAAGCTTCGGCTTTTCAAAGTCTGTTAAAATGGAAGGGCTGATCTTACAATCGCCTTATTGTTGTTGAGCAGCAAGTAGTCCGAACGGGTACTCGGATGGGGCGGTGAAGTTGCACGAAGACTCACTCTTCAAGATGGTCTCCTACTGTGATAACGTGATCGACTGCCGACGACGCCTGATTTTGGCTCACTTCGGGGAAGCCTTTGACCCTGCAGATTGCGCCCTCGTGGTGGGCTGCGAGTGTGATAACTGCCACCTGGCGGAGCACCAGAAGTTGGCCCAGCGCGACCTCACCGTTGACGCCATAGCCCTTGTCGAGACTGTCTCAGCCCTCGTCCAATGTCGGCGCAATGTTACTCTCAACTACCTTGTCGAGGTCTTCAGAGGCAAGTTTCATTATATTCTGTTGGAACTCAGCGTGCCATTTGCGATAATTGGACGATGTGAATATCGTAAGTTACCGCTGTTTACCTAGGTGCACAAACGGCCCAAGTTCAGCGGAACCAGGATCACAGCCTCTCACTCTACGGCAAAGGTGCGAACTACTCAAAGACGGATGCGGAGCGCCTTCTCCATCGCCTGCTTGCCGACAGGGTGCTCAATGAGGAATTTGCCATTACTGCTATGGACACGGTTGCTGCCTACCTCCGTCCTGGCCCAAGGGCAAACATTCTTCTCTCCGGCAACTTGCAGGTATTTTTTTATTTTGGATTTCACCTTCAAATAGGTGTAAGACCGTTTCTGTAAAACCGCACATTTTTACACTGTGTTAAATTTGGTTCGCGACTCAGTGCATCTTTCCTGATACGCGACTTTGTGCAGATTCTTCAACTTAGATTCCTTTTCAATCAAACTTTTTATGGGTCGACTAAGGCATTTGATGTTTTTACCGAAAATGAAGCCTTGAAGCCCCATATTGTTCGGTGCATTGAGCTTTTGGGCGTGAATGGGCAGAAGGCAGCCACTAGCTGAAAATTCACCGCACTACTTTGCCTGCAGATTATGCTTCCGGTGGCGGTGAACGTGAAGGCGCGTGGAACTGACATCTCGGTGGTGGGCGAGCAGCCAAAGGACAAGCTTGCTAGCATTCGTAGCGAGTGCTACGAGGCACTTGTCAAGACCGCTAAACAACTTAGTAAGGGTTTTGTCCTTTTTACTATTTCGCTATTTGGCAAGCTGTTGAGATTTGTTTTTTTTCCATAATTCTAGCTTCACAACAGGGCATCTCCAACTACGCGATAGTCTTCCCCAACGAGATGCTTCTCGAGATAGCCGACCAGCTGCCGACCTCACAAGATGAGTTGCTGAAGATACCGCAGTGCACAGAGTACAAGTTGACTCGCTTCAATGCTACCGAAGCCTTCCTCGATGTAACACTTAACTACCTCTCCATCATTGGTGGTGCGTTTAGTCATATTTTTTCTCCTCTCATAATGCTATCCACATTTCCCTAACCCCCACCAAACTAAAACCCATGGCATTGTCTAAAACTCTTTGTTGCAGGACTTATAGCTGTTTACATTAGGAAATTGCGTATCATTCGAAATCGCACCTAGGTAGTTGCTGCATGGAACTCACTCTTGTTTTCCATAGTATAAGTCCCCTGTTGTAAATCTACCAAGAATTTCTACTTGGTGAGAGATGTGTCATCAGCTCCTACTGATTGTCGCCCTTGCAGCCATCAAGGAGGAAGAAAATGAGCTTAAGAAGCGCAGCGAACAACTCCTTTCGAAGCAGACACCGATGGCGACCAAACCCCTCAAAGGCGTCGGTGCGGCCCGAAATTCTATCAAAAGGGTACTTGCCTCGCGCTATTTTGCCAAAGTATGCGGTCTCTAAAATATGCTAAAATGTGATATTTCGTTCATTTTAGGTAGTTTTTAGCGATGGGCAAGTTGAATTCCTATCTCTAGTGACAAGTTGAAGGTTTCCCCTGTGTTATGCAGCGTTGCAGATTCATACGTTCCAATTATGGCGTTACACGCTTTGTGTTTTGTTTACGTTATTTCACTATTTTAGTGGAAGACATTTGTTGGATAATGATTACACTTACAAGCTAACGAATGAGTAAGAAGTGAATTGAACGCTGTATCCATCCAAAAGATCTGATTTGTAATGTTCGTATTTACATCTGGATGGCAAGGTTTTTAGAATCGACTGTCACCGTAAATTGGGCTGTGTCTCGATCAGTATTAATGGCTCTGTGGTCGCCCCTTCGGTCTCGACTTAGTGTTAAAATGTAAAGAATATCTCCCCTTTGGCCAATCTCTTTCCTCTTGTCTAACCATAGTTTTACCGGTTGCATTGTTCCCTGTAGGTCCTGCAAAAGTTTTGCATCGGAAAGTTTGGATTTTTAGCAGAAATTTTTTGGGAAAACCTTCAGCTGCAGGGAATTTTACACCTTCGATGTTTGATTGTGCTGCGCTTTTCTCAAAAATTGGAACTGAATTCAGAGCAGTCTCCCTTATAATTCACTTACATTTGCTTACAAACTCGCCCAAAATACATTTACTTTTTTTAGAATCGGTTTAGTGGTGCAGGAAGCTCTAAGAGAGTACCTCAGAAACGCGCCATAAAACGACCCTCTACCTCCGCTTCAGGCTCTGCTTGGCTGCGGTACGTTCTCTTCATTCTCTTCAGCGTTCTACCACACTATATTCATTAGGAGTTTTTCATGGATTTCATTCATCGAAAACTTTGGCTATCGGCTCTCTTCAAGGGAGAATTATTTGCGATCTTGCGTTGACTTCCATATGATCAAAAACCATCGAATAGAGCTCTAGTGTTTACTGCATTGATCCACCTTCATTATATTCTATCATTACAAAATTTCTCGTTTTCTGGTGCATATGCTCACTCCAAGAATGTAGACATTGTCACTTAATTTGTTGGAATATGCATCATATTGGTTTTTTTGGTATGAAACCCACCTCTTGTTTGTCTTTAGGTCGGATTCAGCCATTGGAGGGCAGCTTAAGCCGAAGTTAATGAAATTGACGACTCGTTTTGAGTAGTGCATTGCATTTCCATTTGTATTTTGAGTCACACATATTTCTCCAGCATTTGGTGTATATGGCCTCCCCTTACTTTTATTGTGAAGACGTTTTGTTATAATTTCTTGTAACATATGTCAAGATTGCCTTGAGCATGTCTCCTTTTTCTTTGGGTAGTGTAATATCAACTGATTTACAAGTAGGTGTTCAAAAATTTTTCTAAAAAACGTACTTTATTCTTGAAGAGCTGATTGCACTTTTGTTTACTGACGCAGCACCTACAAGATTGAAGATGTAAGTTCGGGACTGTAGCATCGCTGGCTCGATTGTCAAAATGTTTTGCTTTATCACTGCCTTGGTTTTCGTGGTTCTCGCTAGCTGTCTACTGTGCTAATGGAACCCAGTTAACCAAGTGGCTGAACATGCCCAAGGCAACCGAGACATCGCTCAATAGCACGGCGTCGAGGCAAGACTGTCGGAGCGCTCAAAAGGCTGAATGCTGGCTAGTCGCTACAGGAATCTCTCAAGTGCGCCACTGGTGCGAAGTAATTTTGCAGCTTGTTCATTTTTGCTGCTGTCCATATGTTGAATTTCCACAATTATTTTAAGCTGTGACCAACTACCCATTAAAGAAGCATCATTTCCCCCATTCGAAAAAAATTCAACTCAATACGCGTTACTTCTCATTTGCACATCATGATAAGTTCGATGTGGCAGTGGTTCAAAAGGGGAGGGTACGAGACAGCCAAACAGGAGCAGAGCAAGGGGACGAGTTGCGAAAGGGAAGGAAGGAGGTTACAGTGAGGCGAGTTCGGAGGGTAGATCCAACTCGCTGATATCACGGAAGTGGAGCAGCAAGGCCATCAATTTGGTAAGACGAGGTACGGTGGCCGAAGAGGCGGAACCAGCAGCCTTGGGCAGACCTGTCAGACCGCCACTCCCTCCACCGCCACCGCAGCTGCCATGGGCCGCACCACCGGTGGCCCCGAGGAGGGTGGTGTCAGTCTCGCCGGCGCTGTTCTCGATGTGCCAGAGGATGGCACGATTCAATGCGCCCGCAATTAACTCTGCGTGGCGCGCGCCCAACAACGAGCCGTAGATGCTGTCCCCCGGCTCCTCAAATGCCAAAAGGGCCATAGTGTTTTCCATCTCGTGCAAAAGTTGCGGGTACTCGGAGAGACGGTGGCTTAGTGGGCCGGCTAGGTGGGACTGCGCAAAGGTCAAGGCCTCTTCCAAGCGATGACCACGGATCAATTCCAGCATTTGAAGCTGCCGCAGCTAAAACAGTTTCAGAATAGCCATTTCGATAAACAGAACAGCATTAATGTCCTATGGCGTATCCCACTTAGCCTCCAGTGAACTGTTACCATTATTCCACCAAATGGAAATGAAAATCAATTATGATGCTCAATAGCTAAAATAACAACAGTATGACACCTAAAAACGTAAATTATGACTGTATTAGATGTCGCGTTTACGTAGGATCGATGTCAGTAGTGTACTTAATCAAAACAAATCATTTACTAATTTGTCAGTCAAGCAGAAGAGAGCACAAGTAGAATCGTCGTTAGAAGTTCTAATGCAAATGAAATTTTAGCTCAAAAATACATGAGACGCAGCGAAACAAAGCTGAACGATTCCCATGAATAGAATGAATGTAAAAGTATAGACAAAGATCCTTTTCAAAGCATAAGATGTTTAAGAAGCTTGCCTGAAAGTAGATATAGGGATTCTTTTCAAACAGTTCTGGCCAAAGTTGATTGACTTTGTCAATGGTCTCTTCAATATGCCGACTGAGGACAGCTTCGCGGATTTCCATTCTTTCGGCAAGACTCGCACCAGTTGAGTGGATCTCCGACAGGGGCTGGGAAATACCAATTTCCTTGCTAAACTTTTCCGCAGCGTCCTTGTAACCCTCCACTACGAGATATTCGAGAATTAGACGATTAATCTCTTGACGAGTTAATGTGAGCCCAGAAGGAGCACCGAGACACTCGAATGCAGTATATGAGGCCGCTGACGATTGAGCTTCTGTGGTCTTTGTAGTACTTTGCTCCGTTTGATCCGCTATTTGTGATGAATTCATCTCCTAAAACTACAAATGCCGTTTTTTTTGCAAAAAAAATCAGGAAAAATTCTGGCTCAAAATAGCTGGGGATTTAAAGCCATTGAATAAGAGCCCCTTCATAAATAACCTAATATCTTGAGGATACGGTCCTGTGCTAAAGACAAAATAGCAAATGTTGGTTCCCAAGTATACCCGGAAGCCATAAAATGGGTGTGACAAGCTTCAACTAGATCTAACGTACTCCCGATATCAAATGCTGGGATTCGAAAAGGACAAGGGATACCGAACAGGAAAATGTCTACTTCCGAGTACATATGGTACATGTAGTTAGGTGTTTAAAGATAAATGAGGATCACCCTTAGGTTACCGATAAGTTAGAAAACAAGTCGGACTTAGACCGCGCTGACCAGAAAGCCCGTTATTCAAATTTAAAACAAGTCATATGGGCCAGTTTTACGAACACAGTTTTAATTTTTGTGCGTACAATTTAATTGGTGGGCTTAAGTTACCGACCAATTATTAAAAGCTCTGTATGAAAACTCATGAAAATAAATGACCATAACTATCTCTGTAGCCACATTTAGCGTTATAAATCTGCATTTTATGGCTTTGCTTGGTTGTTTTTGATATTATTTTTCCTTCAATAATGGCACTGATCTGCAGGTTCCTAGAAGAGGAAAAGACATCATACACCCATTCTGCCCTACTTGAATTAAGTAAACCACCTTAATGTACAATTGAAATATCCGGAATTCGATGAACAAACAGTGAACAACTTAATCGTCGTGAGCTTCAAATGCTTGCAGCCTCAAGTAAAAAAGATCCTATTTATTACTGCAACCTGATCCCTAAAACTATGTCGCAGCGTAGCAGATTGCGCTTTCATCGTAGTGTTTACGTGGGTGAGGCGTCCGCTTATAAGGAGCAAAACTAGAAGTTCAGAATGGGGGATTATTTTCTCTTTTTCGTGTTGTCACCTCGATTGCAATTGGTGGGGGCGCTTGTATAATACTTATGTTGTTTTAATATACCTTTCAGGGAGGAGGCAATCAGGAACTTCAAACCCCGTGACCGGATTGTCCTCTTCCGTACTTCGTGACTGCGGTTCCCCTCCTTCTTGGACGTTGTATTTTCCCTCTCCATCTTTTCATCTCTAGTAAATATGTCCAAAATGAATGAATTGGGTTTGTCTAAGAACGCTAGGAATAGGGAAGCGGAGACCGATGAGTCTCGCTCCACACTTGGTTGGGTTGATATAATGGCTCATTGCCTAGGGAAACCTTGGCCGTCTGATTGATGGCCACCTCTCGTTTACATGCTGTTTCTGATCCTAGGATCGGTCTAGTTACTGTTTCCGATAAAATTGGTTATTATTTTGTCTTTGATTATTTTAAAAGCGTTTGTGGATCTGGCTACAAATGGCTGCCCAAATTGTTTTACTATGTAAATTAAACCAAATGTGTTCACGGGCATACAGGCAAAGATGGCAGGTGTGGAATGGCATATCGGAGGTGCTTAGCTTATTTTCCTTAAAGGTTTCGAGCACTAGGAACCCGAAAAATTCGTTTCAACTGGTTACTTCTTGATCAGCCGTAGGTTTTATAGTTTTGTGTCGTATAAACATACCATGAGGTCTACTTGTTAAAAAGTCATGATTGTGATGCTGTACATATTCCCCGAGAACAAATGCAGCGTCCCGAGACTTCTCTGAAGACGAGAGACTATATTGAGCTCGGGCAGGACATATATTGTCGGCATACAGTAGAGCTTGGGGCCATCGACATAGCCCGGAGGCCAATTCACTCGGCGAGGGCGCACTGGTGGAGGACTGGAGTGACTCTAGCAAATCCAGGAGTTGAATAAATAACTAACATATTGCATAAAGCATCAAAAAACTCGTATAGACCGGAAATTAAGCTGTTGTTGCCGTTTTATTTCAAATAAAGCAACGAATGTTTTCTCTGTTTTAGTTGGATGACCAGTAACAAATGTGTCAAACAATTAATGTTAACACAAAAGTCTATAAAATGGCTCATAAAATGGAAATACTACATAGGGTTGTTAGAATATAACTGTAACGCCCGGAGACTTTCCTGAAAACAGTATGTATCGTCGACGTACAATATGGCTTTGGGGCTACTGGCATGGCCCCAAGGCCAGGTTGCTCAGTGGGCGTACAATAATGGAAACTCCAAGTGTCTCGTTATCGGAACCCAGACGTTAACAATTATCAGATTACATAACAATCGGGTTATGCCACGGTGTCTGCATAAGTCGTTATGTCATCGATACATGTGTAGATTTGGATCTACTTGCCAACTTAAGGAATTTCAAGACACTGTTAATCTTTGTCAGATAAAGTGGTGATGGGTTATTATCTCAGTGTAGGCATCTTTGGTAGCGGTTGAGTTTTTGTCAATAAAGGCAGATTCTAATTCTAGCGCTCTGATGGAGCACACCTTCTGAGGTGTCAGTGCCGTCACTGAGTTAGTCAATACGTGTGCTTGGAGAGTGCGCTCACTGCGCGTATGCAAGTTAACAATGCTCAATCACACTTGCCTTTGTTGTGATCTTGGTGGCATTGAGCGTAATTACAAGGGTGGCGTGACTTTCCACTTGACTTAAAAATATTTGTAAAACACCCCGTCTTTTGTGCAGCGTTGACTTTGGATTTGAGGCCCTAATGAACTTGATGGTTTTCATCCAAAACTTTGTTTGGATTTTACCTTTACACATCACATCTTTCATGATATTTCTTGTTAACGCTTCCCTCACATACAATTTGTATTTTCAGCTCTGGTCTGTTTGGATTCTGGAGCAAGCACACCACAGATATCTGCGTAAATTCTCACCGATCAGGATTTTGTTTAGATTTGCATCTCATTTGGATTTTTCATGTGAAATACCCATAGTATTGGTTAGAGACACCTCCTCTTGAGATGCTATTTACCTAAATTAAATAAACACTAGGTTATGTGGGAGGTGCAAATTCTAATGCTAAGAAAACTGTGGGCACTTTCACGTAAATGTGACAGTGGTAACTTTTGATATGACGATCACGGCATTTTGATGATTAGACATTTAATCTTGGCTCCCGCTTGTGTGCCACTCTTATCAAATGCTATATTCCAAAGGTGTCGTCTCACCGGCCCGATCACAGAATCCATATGGATCCAACGTAGTCACGTTAAGCGAGAAAATGGGCAAGTTTTGTCCACTTCCGCTCATTACACCATAGCAGTGCAAGCGATGCGGCACCACCATTAAGATAGCAATGGGAATAATACCAATTTTATACCTGCCGCCCTACTTTGGCAACGAGTAAATCAGTGCCCAACATAGGCCTCAATTTAGAAACAAAAAATTATCGAAAAAGTGCTTTGAGCACTCGCAAGTGAACTGCAACGAATGTCACAGGGCGCCATGAGCGCTACCAGTTTCTTTATGCTAAATCATCTTAATGAGTGAGAGTGAAATGTTCATTTATTTTTAGTGGTACAGAATGCAAGAGTAGTGGTAATGAAACCCACTATTTAAGAATTCACTCCCTTAAAAATGTCATTTCACCCATGACGCGCAGCCTATCACCTTTAAGTATGTTACACAACGAAATAAGCTGCCAATTTGACGTGTCAACTAAACTCGCACTAAGTTGTAGTAACGTAATGTAGACAGCTCTGTAACGGGTTTTTCCAGATGGTTCACGACTAGTCTCGCTTCAAATGTTAATAGTTTTCCTGCAGACCACGAGACTGGGGCAGCTATCAAAGAAAGGCATCATTTTTAGTACTTGTATTAGGGGTTGTCACCAATTCTCTCATTCGTAGCATATGCACATCTCCCACCCCGCTTATCATACAGTAATATAACTCGGGGAAGTTATCCTTTAAGATCGGATTCTCTTTTCATTGCCACCAATGTATCGGGTCTTCCGTGAAGACGAAAGAGGATGTAGCATCAGGGCAGAATATGTGTTAGCGGTGTAAAGATAGGCTGAGGTACTACCGGGATGGCCCGGAGGCCAGGCTGCTGAGCGGGAGCACAGTGACCGCCCCCTTCGGTGACCTTGGCAACGAGTGATTTAATTGCCGCATCTGATGCATTGCTCTAAAAATAGCGGGAGTGGGTGTCAACCCCCTGAAACGAAATCTAGTTACCATTTCGTAGGCAATAGGCTGTAATGATACCAGGCATGGTGGGAAACCAAATGCCCTCCTTCGTATGTTGGTGAATGTACGACGCACCCGCTAAACATCTGAGAGAATGAGAGACTAATCCTGCGCAGTGTTGTTGAAGTATTCATGCATCTTTATGGATATTTGTGAACAGAAACCGTTCAAGCATACCAGTCTACACACTATGAATAAAAGCAAAATGACGAAGCAAAAACTGCTTATATCCTTATCCAATAACGGCAATCACAACATAGGAGGAGAAAAGTGGTATGTTTAATAAAAAAATTTACGACAAGAACAGCTCGAGAGATGAAGGGAAGAGTGGAGATGGAAAGTTCACTAGTGAAGCACAGTTAGATTAGAACGAAAACGGAGAACAGCGTTTAAATAGGCGATTCATCTAGGGTAGGGCTCGGTTGTTCCATTTCAATCACTGCTCACCACTCCGAAGAGTGAAAGGAAAATCATGAAGAGGTTAACCACATCGCAATACAGCTGCATCGCGCCGTAGATGTACTCCTCCGGCGACAATTCATACTTCCGACCGCCCATGATCATCTGCGTGTCGAAGGCTAGATACTGAAAATAGAGAATTAGGCGAAGTGAAGTGATTGGTAGCTCGGGGAATAGATTACCCTGGAACATTGGCCACAACAGAAGGAATGCACAGCTAAAATACTTCTTAAAACAACGCGGGAAAAAGAAAGATATAACTTGCTGAAAAGTAACCTCATAAATGCACCAAAAAGTGTGTTTAATAACGTATTAACATCCACCTCACGACTAACGCTTACATAGGTCCTCTTTGTTTGGAATTACAACACCAGGGCAATGGGAAGACGGAATACCCTAACTCTGCGATCCGACAAAACTACCTTGAATTCACCCAATTACGACAACAACGCTGCAACTAGTACTCGGCGTTTCATTAGCAGTGAAGACTTATAAAAGCATCTCTGTATTTATTTCTCCCAAAATTAGGAGCAACCTCATCCCAAAATGATTTGCAGTCTGAAACGAGTGTTTAGTGTGAATGAACAAGTAAAAATGAACACAAACAGTAATAAAATTGGAAGCACTTACTTCGTAAATCACAAATAAGCGAATTCAACTAATAAAGGCCAAGTTTTGTGGAACGAGTGATACTTTGAGACGAAGTGGCGCTTGTTTGGAAAAATAAAGGGGAATTCGACAAAATACACAAGCACACGTCTATAACCACATGACTCATCAATGCTTCCAACAGTTCGAAACCGATCACAGCAAACAAAAGTAACCAAGATTGATAAATGGATCCCAAAGCAGGATACAACATTAAAAACACTAGTGCAGTAAACTGAGATTTCACTCAACGAAGCGTGATTTTGCTTCAATTGAATCACTTTGCGAGACATTTAATAACAGGCGGAAAAAGGGGAGGAGCCAGTTTATCACTCCGTTTTCTTCGCCTGGTCCTAGTCGCTCTGACCAAAAAGACCCAGGAAAATCATAAACAAGAAGACGACATCCAAATAGATTTGCATAGCTCCAAGAACATAGTCCTCTTCAGACAGTGCATATTTTCGATTTCCCATGATTTGCTGTGTGTCGTAGGCCAAATACTGCAAAAAAATTAGAGGAATGAAATGAATGCAATCACAAAGTCTTTGAAATGGCAGCCGTGCCGTTTTTAGTACGTATGAACACCTGAGATAATGGGCTTGCTCAAAAGGTTTGTGCCATGGTAACATATAATGCGAATGAGTAATTAATTGATTGTATTTCAGGAGTCCTCCCAACTTTGAGACTGTCTAAACTCTTCTGTATACACACCAATGCCCATTGTATTTTTGCGGAATTATTATTAAATACCAGTCAAGCAGAGAACGGAATAAACAGACTTACGATTGAAAAAACCACGGCGGCAATGCCTCCATAGACAGCATACAGGGTCTAAAATTAGGAATTATTAATGATTTGATCCATGGGTAAGGATAATGGAAATGAGAGATGAAACCGATCGATAACGTGAATTGTTTAATGACCTAGAGCTAACTAGCTCATACATTGATTAAATTACTAAATATTTTCAGAAAGGATTATCACATTTAATTTTCTATTGACCAAGCTAAAGGAAACACGACAAGCAATAACTGCGGATTCAAGATGAACAGATCGAGTTACGAAATTAGCACCCACCTGATTGTATCCAGCAACGAAGTAGGTGATCATAACGGCGATTCCAAAAATGAAGAGAAGGATACTAAGGAAGGCGATCACCGCCTGGCATTTGGTGATGTCACAGGGACAGCAAATGGCCGCAATGGAGACTGAGACGCAGACACCCAGCGTTATGAGGAGACATACGAGGACCGAGCTCACTGTGTACATCGCCGACAGGGTACCTGCCATGTAGGCCAGTGCCAGGGTCTACACACCACAACGCAAACGAAAACGAAGTGCAGACAAGTGCAGAATTATATGCCTTAGTTGTACAGTTCTTCCCTTCGATCCGACCACAATACCGACGACATGGACTCATGCTCACTAAGGTACCTCTTAAAACGCATATTTAGTGAAATTTAACATCAGAAACATATGTAAAATGCAGATTCAGGCAGAACTTACAAATACACCGAGCGCGATGAAGTTGCCGGGGAATTTGCGACGTACATTACCGCAGCAGGCCAGTGCAATGTACGTGGCAAAGAAGACGGCGCTATGCAGAAATAATAATACCTTTTAGAATAAAAATCATATTGTAGAAGGCATAGTGAACCGAAGCAGGTAAAAAAAAACCATGTGGCCAATATTCTTAGAAATTAAACACAAAGGACACCGGTAGATAATAATTTCTAACATGCTGAGAACTAGGATGCTGTGCAAGTCAAGCAACCACCCATTTAGGTCACAATGCCACGGGAAGAGTTGATGCGCTTAAAGTGGATAGTAAGATCAAAGGGATTACCAGTCAGCGCATCGCGAGTAAACTTGATTCACACAACCCATGCACTTGAAGTGATTTATCAATTAGGGCTTTACATACGTCAGCAGGGAGCCCTGCTCCTTAAACCATATCGGGTGCACACCACGCCTGGGTAGGAGGCAACGTATTGTAAACCAAGCCTACTTCGGAGACCTTAGCGGATGATCATAAACGGAATGGGATTTCAAATCAACCAAGCCGAGCCACAATTACGGCAATTTATCACGGTCAACTGAAAGCTTTAAAATTGAACAACAAACGACCAATGTCATGAAAATAAGCTTCAAGTAGCCTTGATAACTCACTATGCCAAGTAGTAGAACCAGGTATTTCTTCGGACCCAGTACCGAATAGGCGGTCTAAAACAAATGTGGATAGCTGTGAAAAAAAAACGATCACATATAACACCTGTGTAAATATGAGGTTACTGTATCGGTAGCAACAGCCGAATACGTTTTATTATCACACAAAGACATGGAACTCCTTTGCGATAATTCTAATGAAATAAAGCACTACCATTACGGAAAGTACCATTCGCCATCTCAGGAGTGCCATGAAAAACCATTCAGTTGAGTTTATAACAGATAACGACCCGGATTGCGCGGATCTTCTATGCATTTTCAACGTTTAAATGGGAACCGAGGAGTGCTGAATGACCTTGACCACATTTAGCAGGCGTGATGTGCACATCACACAAACTTGCGTGAGCAAACGTCCGTAACGAATATGCACGAGCATTAAAAAGAATATTATGAAGTTTACGCTCCTATCGTTTGATTTCGTAAATGCTCGTAGCCAGGTATAATAATATGAGTACTCAGTGTTTTGAGAGACAAATGGACCACAAAGGACGCGCTGTCTATTAGCGCGTTCTTTGTGGTCCATTTAAGTATGCGCAATCTAGCCAAAAGGACCAAGACAACTGCATTTCGGATTAACAATGGAAAAGGCAGCTTAAATGAAAGAACCTACACAAGCGTGAATATAGCGACGATTGCAGCGGTCACTAGCAATTGGACCGCCAATATGGAATAAACCTAAAGTAAAAAAATCGGAGAAATGACTAGATAAAACAGGCAAGAGAAATCGTTATTTCATACAACAAACTGTTGTTCCATTCGAGCGTGGATTGCAAAGTACACTACGATTTCATTTTAAGCTGAAATACCCGTGACCGACATCGTAGCATATAACCATTGTCTTTCTCAGACCGAAAACCCCCTCAAACTTGATGCTAAAGAAGCCCTTTACAGATGTATGCAATAACTTACTTTGCCAACGAATCGGCGTCTGATGGTCTTATCGCTAAAAGGCGATGCAGCAAACTGGTTGTTGGTAGGGTTGCCTCCATCAAAATCACCCTGGGTTGGTGTGTATGCTAATGAAGCACAAGTATAAGATACGGATTAAACGAAACCTTAAATGCTGTAAGCAATGCCGAAGAAAAGATAAAAGGCAAGAACAATGAAAGGTGGCTAGGTATTTCTCGTCGCCAAATAAAAGCGTAAAATAGGTCCAGAACAAATCATACAGCGGCAGTCGTTAAAGAACTGTTGAGCATGGATCGGCACCGGATGGTGTTCCATAGTGATTTTACGTGAATGCCGAGTCCATAATATTCGTTAGTATACAAAACTGATACTGTGAAGCAACTGGTCCCGTAGTTCGGTGCCAGAGGTGTTGGGATAAGATGACAAAACCAATTCTTGCGTATAGATATTCACTAGTTGAAATTACTAAACTACCAAAATACGATATGCAGCTGTGCAAAATTAGGCTCATATTCGTGTATTATGAGGATAGCTCGGCGCACCAACCAAGCAGGCAAAATAATACAACCAAAAACCTTAACCCAAGTAAGGAACCTCCCAGCCATGAAAACTAGTTTTTTATAAAATATAAACGCTGCACAATGAATAGGCAGCATGCACGCAAAGAAATCGCGGTATAGTGTTAACGAACAGAAAAGTTTGTAATAAATATGCGGCTAGTGGGAGCCCTCAAAATGGCGCTCGCGGCGTGAGGCCCAAGGAAGAGCCACCAAACTTAGATGACTTGACTTTGTGCACCAAAAATAAGTAAGGAAGTACGTAAGTTTTTCAATAGACGAGAAACCTTAGCATATGTTAGGGTAATTACAGAGAGTTAATAAGAACTACAGCATAAGCTAGATTATCAACGGCGCCAACATAAATGGCCAACGAGTACATATAGGATATTTACAAAAGACGAGAGTATGAGAGTGCTGTTATAAGCATTAGCAAGTTATATCTGAATCACCAAAAACGCGTTCCTCATTGCTTTGGGAAAAAATACATGCTTTTCATAGCTTGAAATGAAAATTATCTTAATGCGGAAAAAAACAATTTCCCTACAAGAGTGGTGCGAATAATGTGTCTATGTCCTATAATGGTGAATGGCATTTCTAAATAAAGTAACTTGTCCTTCAATAAAATGATACAAGTTATGCAAAAATAGGCGAGAGGGCGATAGGACAATCAGTGCGGCTAAAACTCAGGTAAAGAAATAAAGCTTACTTCCATTGCCTACAATACAAAAAAACGTAACAATTACAACGATGAACACTGTTGCAGACGGGGAAAATTACACACACATTCCATGGCTCCCGAAATGAACTAGATTGGTGACATTCACTTAAGTACTAACATTGATCCGCTAGGCCCACTTCTACCGGCTATATGCGATGCCTCACCCTAAAGTTACATCATAAACGTCCTGCCGCTGAAAAGCCATCGTTTACGACTCTCAGGCACAAAAACCAGACTTCAGGAATGGTATTTAGACAGACGCATACACAAAGCCAAAATGAAATCACGCGGCTGATTCAAGTCACATTTTGACCGCCTATGCACTCCACACTCGGCTTAACACCAAGAGAACTTACTGGATTTGGAAACCCGAATAAATTCGAGTACAGCTCAAAAAGGGATACACAACAGGGATTTACATTCACCAAAATAAATTATGACAACCTAGAGATGCAAAATCTATCTCAACCTTATGAAATAATTACATTCGGTGGTGTGCTCAGCCACATTAGAAAAAATCCCGACCCAGTAGAAAGAAAGTAATGGAGTCGAAGTAATACCTTAAGAATTAAGGGACAGCGATCATTTACACCCACCAACCTAACTAGACGAAGACGAGTCAGTGTAAGAAACACGCATTTTAAGAAAACGAAGAATCGACTAAACCTTTTGCAGTAATCAAGCCAAGTTAGGATGTGAAATTATTTTATAGCAATTATACCTTCTCTCGATGTCATAGAATCGTATCCTTGACCTGTCAAGGATATTAAAACGAAATTAGCATACCCAAAGCATCCAGTGATCGTTATAAATGTATTTTGTTTTGTTTCTCATTAAATAGGGAAAACTCCAGTAGGTACAAAAATCGTCATTAGCTTAAATGCGGAGAATTAAAAGAGCATCCAACGATTCCAATGGAGGAAAAATGACGATACTTCAGGAAAACTGATTTAAGAAGATGAGAATCAACAAAATTCTCCATAAAACCACGAAACCTAAGACATGTTAAAAATAAATTCAACAAAACAAACGACCTAGCAAGCCTATTAATAACTCCTTGCTCGCTAACGCCAGAATCACTGAGTGATGAAATCATTAGGACAGTTTGCCTTCAGATACCAACAAATGAACCCAAAATACATACACACATAAAGAAATAAAAAAAGTCACTAACAAGCATAAAAACAGCAAAGTGCAGCAACAAGAGAAGTTGAATTATGACATACCAACCACGTATACTGGATAACCATAGCTACCAGCTGATAAGACATACGCAATGGCAATCAAAATGGAGTGCATAACAACACAAAGTAAAATATACATAACACAAATAACCTGGCATATGCATAGGAGGCACTGGATAACCAGGGGGAGAAGGACCTGAAAACATTCGGGTGCAAAAAAACAGCGAAAAATATGAAGCAGTCAGTATAAACCACCTAGAAGAAGCTATTACAAAACATATGCCAAGTAAAACTGCGCAAGCAGGTAAAGCTAAAATGTAAGCACTTACCACCGTATCCGGGCGCCGGGTACCCTAGACAAACGCCAGAATAAAGTTAGGTTTGCCAACAAAGACACACGCAAAGAGAAAAAAGAATATTGAGAAAAAGCAAAAGTAGGAAAAGAAAGCAGTTCAAGAGCAAGAAAATCTGCATACCAGGCTGCTGATAACCAGGGGGATAGGCGGGCGGCTGCTGAGGATACGCAGGGTAGGCTTAACAGAAAAGATGACGAGAAGAAAAAAACACACCGTACCCTGTGGCTGACCACTAGGAGGCATATAAGGAGGCGCTGCCGGTGGTGGAGGATAAGACATCTCCGTAAAGTAATCAAGCGATGGCAAAGACTACGGAGTGAAAAGAGCGCCCAAATTCATTAATACAATAGCACAACTCAACAAGTCTTGACTCAAGCCACTTAAACAAGCGTCATGACCAAAGGCTTTTGTGTCCTTGATATATTCAAATTATGCCTAGCAGAAATTTTTTTAAAAGTCGGAAACATCCTAACTTTGCCGCTTTTGAAAAGGGTTAGGCACAGTAATAAAATCTATGCAATATATGCAGTTAAAAAAGCCTTTAAACGGCAAGTTCTAAACCTTAACCTCTACTTTGCCAAAAAAATGATATTATGTATATTGTTCAAAATGCTGCTAGGATAAATGAAATGTTTGCCAATGTTGCTTCATCATGATGAAGCATGAACTACCTTCCCTCCCTATCTGCCAGCAAAACTGGCGACCCATCAAACAGAGCACAACCTAGGCTGTCCCTTCGGGGATAGGCCATCCTCACTCTGATATGGGACGAGGCTCGTAGATCTCCTCTTACCTAATCCTCAAACTCTTTGAACACCCATGTTGATTCGGCTTCGTCATGTCTATTGGGATGGGTAAATTGGGAAAGCAAGTAAAATTTTAATAGGGCGTAGACAAGGAACCGCTCCTAGGGTTGCAAAACATCGACTCCTTGGTCAAGAGATTCGATTCATACGCTCGCCTCCTGTCTGAAAGCAACAATAAAACATCATAAGTATTGCACTAAGAAGTTCCATAATAATCTTATGAACGCCGGGTACATTTGCGTCATTTAATAGTATCTACTTAGCTGTGCAATAAATTGCACAAGATTCTGTGGCCCCGCAGAATGCACTTGTATATAAATCATGTGTAAATTGTAAGCTAAAATATTTGCATATTTTAACATGAAATGGTGTGTATACAGTCGATGAGCGCGACTCGCATTAAGCAAGATGTGATTGTCCGAGAGAAATAGGGTACCGGAACTCCAATCTTTGCCTCTATTTTCAATCTAAAAAAAATATAAAGTATGTAGAAGATATTTAATGCCGGGTTTTGAAATTCAACTTGAGTAATTAAGTAAAACATATTATGCATGTCTAATTTTTTGCCAACGCATTTAAATGGAATCCTTTAGGATTATTTTGAGGATAAGCTTGTTTTTGTTTTGTTATTCTGAATTCTGAGCATTCTTTAACCGTCCATAACTATAACTATTCTGCACTTGCGCACTAGCAAGCGTTTTTAATTACTTAATTTGGCCAGTACTGTTTATACGACTTTCTTTTTCGTGGTTTGATATAATGCTCATACTACTATATTTGTTCGAATCGGCCGCTGATTTGCCCGCGGCACACTTCAAACACTTTGCTGGGCCATGGTTTGCTCGTTTTTTTCTTACGAATTGTTGTAGGGTATCGATATCAGCCACAGAAACAAGAGGAAGGTTGTTCGCCGGAATCCAAAGAGTTGCGATGTTTACCTGCGTTTGATGGTGAAGCTGTACAAATTTTTGGCCAGGCGCACGCACTCGAAGTTCAACAATATTGTGAAACGTCGCCTTTTCATGAGCCGTACTAATCGAGCTCCTCTCTCACTTTCTCGACTGGCAAGACAAATGAAAAAACCCGGTCGCGAGGGGAAAGTCGCTGTCGTCATCGGAACCGTTACAAATGACATCCGTATTCGTGAGGTTCCCAAACTAACGGTGAGTTTCACTCCTTATCCCTTTATCTTTTAAATATGTATTTATTGGGCTTAGACGATTTTTTAAGCACTGGACTCTACTCCTCGGTAGGTTTGCGCTCTTCGGATTACGGCTGGTGCTAGAAACAGGATTTTAAAGGCCGGCGGTAAAGTCATGACTGTTGATCAGTTGGCTCTGATGACTCCGCTTGGTAGGGGCACTGTGCTTCTCCAAGGACCTAGGAAGGCACGTGAAGCCTGCCGCCACTTTGGACCTGCTCCTGGTGTTCCCGGAAGCCACACAAAGCCATACGTTATTTCGAAGTCCCGAGAGCGTACCAACGCGCATCGAGCGTAACTCCTATCAATAAACGTTCGATGGTACGGTTCACTTTTTCCCTGCCCCTGAGATGTCAGTCACATAGGTGTGATCGCGTTAGAGTTGTCTAGGTATACCAACGAATGACCATGAACGCATCGGTATGACGCAGCAATTAGAAGCACCCGGTTTAAATTTCGGTCCTCGATATGGATTTTGCTAAGCGGTGATGTCACTCCTTAGGGTGAGATTTGTATCTTCAATAATTTGAACTGAGGAAGCTGTGTTGGAGAAAAGCATATTGTTGGTAAAGAAATATCTGTGGCATTTGTGCGAATGTCTCGCAATAACAGAATGACTGAGGGAGGATGGGGACATTGATTTGACTACCAGTTGGCGGGGTTTAGTTTAAGCTTGTAAAGCTTTAGTTTGAACCCAAGAATTTCCGAAATGAAGGCTGAGAAGCAGGAGAGGAGGACCAGTTTGAATACGTTGTAGATTAGCGGATTCACCGCCCACCCACAGATGCGGTAGGGGCCGTCAACTTCCTTGAGTAGGCTTTCGGCCAGTTTCAGAACCTGGTTTGTTGTCGATAGTTCCTCCTTCTTATGTGGCTTTCGATTCATGCATAGGCTGAGATTCATCTAATGGTACAGCAAAACCGGGATATACGGTTACTTCTAACTAAATTTGATTAACAGTATAAGAAAGGTAGGCCACGAAAAAGAAATTCATCTGTGGTTTCATGACGCGCAAATACAAGTAAGTTGGTGCAATTCTAAGCGTTTAATAACGAGTAGGGCAAAATTGCACGGAAAGCCTAATCAGAAATGAGGCTGGTTAAGGTCGGGAGGGTTGTCGGAATAGCCTACGTTAAAAGCTGCATTAGAATAGGTGCAAATTTGCTTAGCCGTAATAATCCTGGTGATACTGCTCACCTGTTCGGTGATGAGGATGGAGACGTTACGAAACTTTTTGGTGATTTTAGTTCCCAAGGTAAGAAAACGAAGAAGAAAGAAGCTTAACGCTGCTGTGTAGGCCAGAATGTCCCAAACAGCAAGGCTGGAGAACACGCCTCCGCGTCGACTTGGATTACTGATCAGAAACTAGACGGCAACAAAGAAATAAAAAGGATAATAACGGCTGCAGTTTGCATAAGAGTGACTGTCCCCCATGCTCTTGTGTGAAAGTGCATGAGAACATGAGCGAGGTACGATCATTTTTAGTGAGTGGCTTTCAAAGGGAAGTGAGGCATTGTATTAACCAAGAGGAGGCGCACCCTAGCGCAAAAGAAGAGGCCGAATGCGAAGGCAAGATAGAAGGTAGCAGTGATTATGCACTCGATGGAGCGTTGTGGTCCTCGCTTTTTGAGGTAGGAGCGAAGTGTCAGCCAACACTTCACGTGGGCCACCTTGTTCAATCGAAGGTGAGGGATGCGGCATCTGCGAGCTCGGTGACTTGAAGTTAGAGCAAAGAAGTGCTTCGCATACAGAAGTCGCTGAAGCAAAGTGAAAACCGTATGCGGCACATTAATCCAACCAACACTCCACATGCGCTATCAGCGAAAGACAAATGCGAAACTAATTCATTCGAAGCAATTCTCCCTAATATGATAGTCGGGTTAATCTCAAGTCTTATCCTAAAACCGAGTCGACTTTTAAATTAGGCCTTTTGCCTCGAATGTTGCATGACAGTTGTAATACGCCAACATTATTCACCCCTTGCGTCACATATGCAACGACTCAACCTTCTCACTTAAGCCCACACGCCGCACATGTAACATTTAATCAAAAGAAAATGAGCCAGGTTAGAAAAAAGAAACAATATTTTGAAAATTTAGTGTCGCATTAGAAGGAATTAGTAAGCTGAACTGTGATAAAGATCACATTACTATGCATGAGTGCATACTCATGAAACTCCGGAATCCGAGATTAAAATTTGGAGCTCACACCAAATGCGGAAGAGTTTAAAGAATCGTTCGCATTGCAGTCACAAGAAAAACACGACAGTCAAGCATGAATGCTCACCTGTTGGAATGATCGTTCGGCTACAGAAAGTAGAAAGAATATGACTACGTAGATGTTAAGACGGAGCCAGATTCCGAGACCAATAACGACATTATCCCTAAAAAAGAAAATGGGGAATGAGTTCTGATAGCAGTGCAACAAAGTAGTATCCGTAAATAGAGTTTCGAAAGAGATGCACCATTAGTGTGGTAAACAAGCAGTGACGAAACACGAGGGTCAAGTAAAAACAAACCTACAAGCTGGTAACTTGAAGCCAGGAGGTTTTATCGACGAGGCCGTCGGAGGACGCAAAGAATAAATGCGTTACGAAATCTGCGACCCACTGGTAAAGAAATACGACTAGAGTGCCAGGTGTGTCCAGTGGGTTTCTGGAAGCTTTCGCCTCAACTCTGCCCATCTCAGCCACGGGAAGGGGTCCAACGGCCACCGAAGAGGGAGTAAAGCGTGGGTAGGTCTGGCTCGGTGACTGCTGATACCAAGCGTGAAAAAGCAGTGGTAACACAGCCAGTAGAATGGCCACTATGCAAGATAGTTTGGGGTAGAACATGGACACCGTCTGACGTTCAACAGCCTGTGGAAATAGAAAATTAGCTGTGTGAGGGGCTTTAAAGATGTTACTGGATTAGTCAAGTAGTGTATACCCTCCAATTTTTGAGGTTATTATTAGTAAATTTGAAGTTAATTCGGAAGAATGATGGATTGAATGCCAACTCTAAAGCTTAGATATTGCGATCATTACCATAAGAATTAATAAGGAAGCATATGAAAAGCAATAAAAATTCGTGATAATAGCTGACATAATTGAAGTTTAACGCAATAAAAAGTCACCAAGCTCAGAATTAAAACGGAAAAATTTAAAGCATTTGTAGCATAAACAAATTGTGGTTATTCAGTATTAATGTAACAGATTGATAAGCATGGGAGTATTTTAAATTGAAACGAACAATCCGTTAGAGAAATCACTTTGTCCCAATGGCGCATAAATAAATAATAAGTATTATCAACGTAACTCCCAAGCACCACAATGATGAGAAAGGGAGAAAAATGGGATCCATTAAATACCTGGATAATTCGCCATCCAATATCCAAAAGAGTGAAATTGAGCTTCTTCACCTTCTTTCCCTCCCAAACATAACAGCAGACTGCAAAAAAAGGATATAAGTAACCTTATAAATGCGAGGAACTTTTCAACCTCCCACAGCGACCCACAATCTGATTCTAAATCTGATCATTGATCCTTCTAGATTGAAATCGCGTAGGCATGACATTTTTCCGAATTTGAAGTACGCTTTGCTTTAAGGTGGGGAAGAATCAAATTAGATCCTTGTTCACATGTAATGACGAAAGCACCTTGAACCCTTTGCAGTGAGAAGACATGCTGCAGGAAAACCTAGGCACCACTTTCAATTCTCTAGTTTTACGAGGAAGAGAGGTTAAATCCCCACAAACCGACCACTTTTTTGTCGTAACCCAATATGTTAACAATGCATGCTTATCTATAAGAGAATTAAACAGAAAAGTATGCTTTTATTAATGGTCTTTCTCACTAATTTGGAGAGTTGCCTCAATAAGCAGTCGTAAATGAGTGCCCCTACCACCATACATTATAAAAATGAAGAATAGTAAAATTGGGTTCAGGAGCAAACACGCTTAGAAGCATCAGCTTCAGAGGAGGATTTGGATTAGATACGATTAACTAGTGAATAGCAACTGCGGAGGTATCCAGAGTTCTGCTGGATGTTTATTTATTTATGAGCTTGCACAATTTCTGAGGAAACTGGTTGTTCTCATAGCACGGTGGAAGACTCTCTATGTAAGTCGTTTGGAGGTGAAAACTGATCTGTACCTTTCTAATCATAGTTAAACTAGTACTTTCTTTGTTTTTGAAAGTAACAATAACCAAATACAAAAAATTACATTCATACATGAATTCATCTTTTCAAAAATCAAGTTTGTGTTCCAATAAAATAGTTACAATTTCTAAATTTTTAACACGATTTCCATTATCAAATGTTTTCGATGAAACATCTATCCCAAAGTATTCAGGATATCGAAGGTACAAGAAAAAAAGTTTAAGCCAAAGATACGTGATTTGTGCCGATTATTTTGGTTGAAACTATGGGTAAGAACTACTTAAAAATTTAGCAGTTTAAAATAAGCAGCATCAACTAATAGCATGAGATGTATTCCAAAGGAAAAGGAATTGGTAGGCAAAAAACACACCACTCTCAATGAAAACTGTTATCTGCATAGTGCTGGTTGGGCAAAACAGCATTTCTATCTAAAATGCTCATTACTTAGGAGAATTAAAATTAATCAAAATATGAAAGATGTAAGCGTGAATATAAGTGGCTTTTTAAAACGAATTTGGAATGGTAATCAACACACCAGTTTCCAGTGGGACACAGGAAGAATCCGAGAATCCCTAGGAACAGAAACAAGGGACAAAGCTAAGAAAAAACATACAATGTGCAACAATGTAGAAGGAAAAAAGGATGAGGAAACTTACTCCAAGGTAGTATGTTGGTAAAAAAAATACCTGAAGAGTATGGAGATACCAGAGCGCAAAAGGGCCCACGTTGTCATCATTGCCGGAGTCGCCGCCAACATCTGGGTCCTGGGCTGAATTGGTTTGTAATTTTGCGTCAACGGGACGGACAGAAGTGTTAGTGGCACCGCCGCCGCTGCTGCCACCACCACCAACAGCATCGTCGAGCCCACTGGTTCTCACATGCAGCTGTTGCAGTTTCTGTTGCCGAAGATGGCGGTGGCGGTGCTGATGGTGGCCAGAGGGATGAGCAGTGTCTGGGTCCAAAGGTGGGGGGGATTGTGCGGAGGTGGAAAGACGGGGAGCACCCTCCCGCAGCGCTGACTGCTCATCCTCTGAGCCCGAAGAGGAGTCATATTCGCTTCGCACGTCGCTGTTCATCCGTTCGTACTCCGTCTCCGAGGCTGGGTGAGACTGCGTTTGCAAAAAGAGGAATAGAAACGCATGTACACAGGATGCAGTTATTTAGGGGAATGACGCAAGGCTAAAAATGTCTAGTCACGTGACCATAGGACGGATTTAATGCGAATGAGAGGACTAACTTAAGAAGAACGTTAATGTAACTACTAGGAAAATTTGTTACGCTAGATGGATTTCCAAGCAGGTAATACCAAGAGTTGGATACGTACGAGGAACATAATCGGGTAAAAAGCTGAATACCAAAATTAAGTGGACACATTTACCGTGCTGTAAACATGCTATTCATCTAAATTTACAGTTAAAATATATGCAAACTCAAATATTCTCTAATGAGACTAAAATAAGATGACCAGTTCTTAATTGCCCAATTCCCCTGTGGGACATGCAAGACCCATGCAATGAAGAAACGTCCCAACTCTGAAGTCACTTGAATTTTAAAACAACAAAGAGGTTTCTGGGAACCAGCTGAGATTTAAATTATGAAGAAAATCGAAAGACACAATAGGTTTTTAGGTGATGAGAGCTCCAAGTGAGAAGTGATGTTAAACGGGCTTATTAAAAAACCCTTTATTTGATGCATGGTTACACACAGTACTACAATGGTAAATTTGAAACGAAACTATGGCCAATGATCAAAAGCAATGAATTTCACACATGGCATTATAAAAGCATAAGTGTACAACGAAGGTTGGACAGGCTTTTAACCATATGAACCAAACATAAAGGTAAAATAAGACTTTTACTTCTCTACTTATGGCTTTCAATTTTTTGTGTAACTGACACCTGATATTTACTGTGGACGACGCAATTTACATAAGTTTCGGTCTATTTCAGCAAATATAATAAATGGATTTCAATAAGTATTAGGAATCAAAAATAATTAGCAAACTGTGGTCCCTTTCATCAACAGGTTACATGAACCTACAAGATCTTCATAATTTCCCTTAAAGCAAAAAGGACTACCCCAGTTTAAACAATAGTAGTAGGGCAGAGTTTCAATGAAACACGATTTTATAGCCGCCACAATTGCAAAAAAATATACATGACACCTTATGATGCATTATGCTTGTACACAGATTTCGTAACTCCTACATTGTGTTTCTCAGCTTTGATGTCGCCAATGTAAGTGAGTTGATTCAGCAAAGATAGAGTTGATTGCAAGCTATTCGGTTTTGGAAGCAGCCAACTTCCCTCTTTTTGAAAAGTTAAGTGAAGGCACTATGTCACTCCGTTATAGGAGCAAGGTTTTCACCACTTTCTTTCAAGGTGAAAAGACATGGCCCCAAATATGCAACTAGCTAAATATGTCGAAAAAACAAAACATAACTGAAGTTCTGACAAGGGCACGACAAATCGCTATAACTGGTTAAAAACAAGATACAATTAGGAGATGGAAGTACGCAACTACACTTTGACAATCCGAAAGTACCCGCTTCAAATAAAAGCCATACTCAAGCTTTTGTGCGGAGAAACGCAACAAATGATAAAAACAGCATGTCAACCTTTTAAAAGTGTCGTGTTCTTATTTTTGACGAGAACAAGTGAGGAATGAAGAGTAAAAAACGTTAATCAGACCAGTACTCCTCAATGCTGACCCGGGAAAGTAGCAAGGAGTATTAAAAAACATCCAGCATTCCTAAATAACTTTAAGGATATTCAGCTTAGTTTAAGCACAAAACTAGGATGTATTTTTTATTAGTAGGCCCGCTTTAACGCAATTTTTTAATGAACATTCGGAGCAGGCGATCTCCAAATCATTTTAATAAAGAACTTGGATTGGGTAATCAGTACAAATGCGAGTGTCTAATGATGCATTGAATGTCCATTACACAAATACAGTAAATGGAGACCGTTGCAGCGGAGTGCAACCAATGGGTCGGAAAAAGTCACGATGGAAGCTAAGATTAACAATTAAAACTGCAACCGGATATATCTATGCTGTGGAGAAAGTGCAATAGCCTGAAAACAAAATAAGTGGTCATGTGGAAGGCAGGATTGACCGAACAATCGATTCTTCCATACCAAAAAGAAGCAAACTATATGGGGAAAAAACACCCCACGCGTTGGTTAAAATTAACTGTAATATTAGTTTTGTGCAAATTCTTCGTTTAAAAACTGACAACAGCAGAAAGTGTTAACCTTTAACGAGGTAATGGAAAGGAGGTCGTAAACAGCAGCTTCTCATTTAGAGCCAGAACGAAACACCAAAAGCGTATAAATGATTGTGACCTGCACGAATCTCAGGACCTCATACTGAGGTAAACTAATAAACCGTCAAACCTGATTCAAAATGTTACACGAAGGAGGAACAACAAACATGGCTAACTCATTCGAGTACTATATAGGCATAACCGAATCCGTTCGCTTCAGAAAACGAAAAAGTGAAAGTAGGACAACTTTTCAGACTAAATGAGCAGTTATGGCGTGATTTAACAGAAATGCTCCAAGGGGGGTTAAACCATGGTAGATAGAGAATACGCAGTTGGGTTCAAAATGAAAAGTTAAGCATTCTTCAGTGCACATTACTACATTCATTCAATTCGAAGGAGCCATGGTACAACGGCCTCTGTAAGTTTAAAGTAGTAGAAATTGACGAGAGCATGGAAGGTGTACGAAATTCATAAAAGGGAACTAAAATAGCAGTAACCCAACAGATAAGGTAATTTACAGCTTATCAAATGCCTCGAAGCAAATGTTTATCAGTTACCAACAGGGGTAAAACATTACAACGAAATAATACTTTACAGCATATGTAGATTCGAATTATCGAAAAGTGAGCAAGAAAGGCTTTCATACGGATTACGTAAAAACTGATTTTAAAATGCAAAGCCGTAAATCTACCCTTAGTATTTGAACGCAAGGATTGTATAATTACAGAGTATTCTTCACATCATCACAATCAAAAATGCTGACACGACACAATGCCAACGGTGGAAATAGGAGAATAGGATGGGATTTGAAAGTTTGTTCAAAGATGGATTGACGTGCATAAATCTATGATTCACTACCTCATGTGACTGGAAACCTGTGCAGAAAGAAGGTAACCACATAAGTAGCCATTCCATTCAAGACAAGAAAAGAGTAGCCAACGTGAGTAACTGGTAGGTCAAAATTGCGATCAAGGAATTAGTAGGATATAGGCTGCCATGCGGGAACCGAAATACTAAGCAGGCCAAAATGCAGGTCGCCAAATGGTAGCGCATTAACAAAACGAGTAGGGAAAACAGCAGGAAATATAAGTATACAAACCTTACCTTATTTAGTCCAGGTCCATTTGACTTCTAACAAAAATGTTGAAAAATCAAGTTAACGTACAAAGTACTTAAAATATCACAGATTTAAATTTTGCAGCGCGAAACACAAACCTAAACCGAATTACCTCTTCAAAACAGACCAACCATTTTCTTGTTTAAAATGTTAGTGATTCCTTAATTTAGACAACACCATGGTAAAAAGGATTTCAAATTAGGAGGTCAGATTCAATATCATATGCAAATGTTGTACGATTAAAATCAGACGCAGTGGCCACAACTTATCCACGTTAATGGAGTCCAGTCCATTGCAAAACCTTTTTCCCCTATAGGAACAAGACTTATTACAACAAAATAAAATCATCTGTTGTCAATATTGATGGAAGCAGAACAAGTATTGAATGGTTACCAAGCCAAAGTCTCAGAATTAAAGCCGCTGATAAAATACAATGACCAAACAAACAATACACAATGCCGATGGTCCAGTCAAGAGAGGGAAATGCAATAATCCCTCGGATCTCATAAACCACTCTAATTTTATTTCAATTTAGACACATCCAGCAATAACACTGAGCAAGGTGACCCAGATTGGTTGTATCAAGGTTAGGCTAATGATACCCGAATGCGTCAATAAATTGCGCCCTTGCAAAAGCACGAGATAGAACGCATGGAAAAACACACATATGGTGGAAAACTATAAAGTTATTTCTTAAAGATTTGAATACACTCATACAAGAGCAGTCATCAATAAAAAAGTGACCTTGGTGTCAAGCAAAGAGAATATCAAATAAGCCTGCAGAAATATGGGGGACGAAGCAGCGCAGTACGTGTATCGACAAAATTAAGAGCAGTTAGAAACGCGGATAAATTCATAGAAGAATGACTGGATCCATCTGAAAGACAGAACAGGATACATTAAAAGCCAACCTCTATTTCAGTATTGACTGCCAATTTTTGTGCAACAAAACGGACCCCCCCGGCAGAATCCCAGTTTACGGCGTCAGTTACTGGTATTAGCAGGAATAGTCTGTAGTATACAACATTGAACTAAATTATACACAACGGTTCTGTAACAGCTGCTTTCATAACTAAAGTAGAATTTCTGCAATATATAGGATTGTTCAAATTTTGGTAGCAAATTCAATTGTTCAAAAAACTGAGAAAGTACTTTAAATAACCAGAGGTCCGGGAAAGGTGTGGCAACAAGAACACACATGCCTTTCTATTTGATTATTAAAGTAAAACAAACCCTATATATCCTATGCCGATTTTAAACTTGCTAATCATTGCAAATTTGTCGACATTTTGCAATTTGCAAGTGCCACTTACGACAGCAATCTCGTAAACAAATCTCTTTAAGAGTAAAACTTCAGTAACCTTTGGTTATAAATGAGGACATGCGAATTCACAAAGATGTCATTTATTTCTGACTCCTCTTAGCTAATGCAAGCCCGTCGCTTGAATATACATTTAATACTCAAGGCACGTTGGCTAAGCTTTGTTAACAACACGTTAGCACCTAGGTGCGAGGATTCTGCAAGACCCAACGTCCAAGCTCACGTACGCACACAAAACTCAGGATGATCAAATCATTACTTCAGGGTAAAGAGAAAGAAAGGAAAGATTTTTGGAACTAAAACGCAATAAATTTGTGATTAAACAAAATTTGTAGATCGTGAATAGAAATGTGCTGTGGAGCCTGTAGAGATAAAAAAATTATGGAATTTTAATGAAATGACATAAAACACAAGAGGAGAGCACCTTACATACCACTGAATCCATGGAAAGATTCTTCTTTCGAAGGTTGACCACCTTCGTTCGAACTGCCTGAGCAGCTGCTCGTTTCTGAGCTGCGCTGGAGTTTCTGGGAGGAATAAGAATAAATGATCATTCGATACACCTGGCAGAAGCTAATGCTTTTAATGAGTATGCTAAGAACAGGAGATAAACCGAGCAATAGGAAAGTGTTTCCAGCTATTTTTTCTTTATCATACGAGCAAAAATAGTCAAGACAACTAGTGCTGGTGTAAAGAATTGCCTTAAGAAGACCAATACAAACACTGGTGATTTTGCATGATTAAAACTACCCATTCATTTGTAATGCAATGCAGGCAAGTGAGTGATTACGAACCTGCGGCAGGTGGCAACGACGGTGGTGTTGGAGACGGATGCTTTGGACGCAACTGTGGGAGTGAGTGAGAGGGGATGGTGATGAAGTCCCGACTCGGAAGCAGCGACGACATCGTCAACGAAGGACGGCTCGTAAGCCTCTTCTGGGAGACCAATGGACCCCGTTAAGAGACGCGGAACCTGTTGTGTCCCCCTCTGTTGGTGCCGATGATGACTGGCACGCTCGAAGAAGAGCTTGAGAAACTTGGCGCGCTGGCGTCGACGACTCGTGAACGTGTCATTCGTCTCCAAGTCATCTTCTTCACCCCTCCTCTCCTCCTCCTTTTCCTCTGGCGGCCTGGGCTCTCCTTGATTTTCTTTGAGAGGACTGTCTGCAGTTATAGTGTACAGGACACCAGCATTATGCACTAATGGTGAAACTTTTAGATGTACTGCGAATGCATTGCGTCACTAAGTACTATGATATAGTAAATGACATTTAAAGTACCATGGGGATCAGGTTAACTACAGCAAATATGTCGTTTCTTTCCTATGGGTAGCGGTACGCTAGTATTCAACAATTCCTTATTAAGGATTCTTGCCGATCATTAAAATACACTTGAAAGAAAGATGTTGGAAGTCAACTGATCACAATCTTTATGGCACTAAATAACGATAAGCCAAATAGCCTAGTCAAAGACGAGTAACATTAACGACGCATTCCGGCTGCTTGGATTACCTTCGTTTGACGAAGCCAAAGGTATCTGAAAGTAAAAACAAGGCATTAAAATGGAGGAGAACGAGGAAGTGAAGCAATTCAAAGGACTTAGCACATTCCTCTCAACTCACCACATCGATCCTATCGCCATTTCGCAATTTCACAGAGGAAACAACAAGGTCATCGTTCGAATTAGAATTCCTAACACATAAAATTTGATACGATTAACGAGGTCACATAATCACGATTACATCACAAGAGGTGTAAAATAAAAATCCGCAAAGACAATCATGTGAGAGTTCACCACCAACAGTGGGGAACATGGGAGTTAAAAGTAGTGTTTCAAATAATCTGCCGACATAAACATATTCACAGATTAACAGCTTGCTGATGAAACCTGAATAATTACAAAAACCTCAATTAATTAGTTCATCAACAGCACCTACACAGAAACGAAAAGTGACGGTATGAGCAAATAAATGCTCTGCATTTACAACTGAGAATGAACATGAAAGTTGTTAAAATGTTTGTTTATCACAACCAAATAAGCCGCTGAATTAACGGATCTCAGGTGAATACTGAGTTATGGGTAAATCCTCAATAATAGACTCGAGAGCAATTTCTCTGCAACAAACAAAACCCACAAACAACCACAATAGAGAAACGCTGAAAGTTATCTACAACTGTTAATGTAACGTTCCTTTGTTCACTCCGCAAGATAATTACGCATTGATAGTGCGATCCATGGTGCACATAAACCAAAACCGGTAGTACGAAAATGACAACACGTGCACGTTCATTCCCCAAAATTCCCTCTTCGGCATACGCAGTGCGTCAATTTAACTATTAATCCCATTCTTTGGGAAAAAATATGCATCGTCTACCCACACAACTGGCGAATCCGAGTCCGTAGGCGACATAACATAACTGAGACCGATAAGTTTACCACGATCTGCAAGCTGGCTATGGAATGCCATGAGCGGAGTTAAAAGCCGTATTTAGAATGTTTCTAGTAAGAAAACTACTTAATTTATCATAAATAATCTGGAAAATAATTGCCTGAATGACCCAATATTCACCCTGAATTAGATGACCATGCGCTAATAAAGCAAAATTTTGTGATAAATCGGGAAGAGACAGATTAAATATCATGGCAACACACACTTCGATTTGTTAAACGAACATACACAGCACATTTTTGAAGAAGTTATTCAAGTAAAATGGATGTTCCTGATAAAACGCAAATTACGCGAGCATCAAAAGAATGACACACCATAACAAAAAAATTAATATAGTTGATTAAAACTCCAAAAATTTGGATCTGCAATACACATGAACAATAATAGGAGCCGGAAGGGGAAGAATTTTCACTGGGTCGGAAACGAGATCTTCGTCAAAACAAACATGAAGCCTAATTATGTACAGAGTACAAAGTCATACCTCATATACTGAGGCTAACGCAAATTTCACCTCCCCACGCACATTAATTCCAGCCAGGCTAGTTTACGTGAGGGAATAATGAGGCTTGGGTTTAATGAGTACATTGATCTGGGAAAGTAGAGGCAGGCAGGAAATAAAACTCTCAAAACTTCTATATCGTTGTAGTAGGTATGAACGCCGTGGAACAAGCTGTAAAATCAAATTGTAAGAAAGATAGCTTATTTTGGTACGTGACAATAGAACATTAGGTGCAACAAATTTGGACAGTGTTCTCTTAAATTATGCTACATGCAAGAAAAAAACTATGGAAATCAAGCAATCGAGGAGTGGACGACAAAAAAACATGAGCATGATTGCAATGCGGCGGCATATAAACATTGCGACAACACGGAAAAAAAAGTGGTAAACCACCAATAAAAATCGAGCAGTTGTTTGAAAACGAAGTACAACAGTTCGTTCCAGAGTACTTTTAGCATTGCAGCTTTCACATGAATCCAATGCTGGTCAAGCAAAATATGGTTGGATAAATTATAACAAAAATAGAGAGGTCATAAATTTGTTTGCTGATGTCTCATGATGCGAGAGGTTAAAATATCAAACATACTTACAACTCGTTGAGAACCACCACGTCCTCATGTTCATCTAAAACGAGATTTAATGTAGTGAAATAATTTTTAGACACCAAGTAGACAACGCTATTTTAAGCAGCCTTCAAATCTCTATACACAATTGCTCATAGTGAGAAACTTAGGTGACCAAATGGCAACGCAAGGTTGTCACAAATAAGTGCACTTTTGTACAGAACACTTCCGCTTCCCTAATAACAAGTCATAACTTCCGTCCAATGTCAACTGTGGGACCCCAGAGCTGGGCATGGCTGCACAAGCAGTCAAAATTGGTTTTATATATGCACGCACCACTCGAAAACGCATATATCATACAGTTCTTGTACGTTAGATTGAACTGCATAATCAGGTTTCCTGGTTTTTCTTCTGAGGTACGTTCAAGCTTTTTGAGTATGAGCGCATGTCCACCAACGGATCGGACGGACCGCTTGGTTGCAAATTTTCAACGAAAAGTAAACAATTCTCCTCAGATGAAAAGACCCCAGAAAGGAGTAATTACTATAAAGGAATATGGAAATATTAGAATTTTTCAACTTGTGTTGACAAAAAATAGCGTCACGGAGGTTAGGTATTTTCCTCACTAAAGATGTGCAAATAGGTACATATGAACTCAATTATGCAGCTATCGCCTTTGTTGGTATAAGGAATGGCTTTAAAAATAATCCACACTAGAGCATATTTTAATCTTTCTAATATTGTGCTGTATCAATGTGCGTTTTCATCTGTAGGCCGGAAGTAGCGAATTCCAACTGGAAATGGTGAGCAGCATAAATGTTTTGGTGAAATACTGTTGGGCGACTGACGTTAAAAACCCATCAAGGGATCGCAAAGCGCCATAAAAGAAGACCACGTTCTACCACAGAAAAATAATCAAAGTGGCGATCCAATGTCGAAAAACTGAACAAACCAGTAAATTCGGCTTCCTCGGCTCCGGACTCCTCATCACCTTCTCCTTCGTCTTCTCCAAACGTTGCACCGTAAACCCTAGAGAGACGGGTCTTCCACTTTGAGGGTGGCGACGACTGCTGTCCCACAAGGCCAGATCCGGACGCCAGCTGCTTGAGCTGATAACCAGCAAATACTTCCGGGTCAGTAACGCCCCGCATTTTGGCCTCTTTAAAGTGCTTAATCTTCTGCTCCAGCGGAGAAACTAATACGGGAGTAGTAGACACGGAGAGGCAGAAGTCGGGGCTGAGAGAGGCGCTGCGCTTGCGGAGGCAATACTGCAGCTCGCCCTCGTAAGCTTCCTGATCACTCTCCACATCGGCATCATTGCCAGCGCCTGACGAGGACTTGCGTTCGTGTGGGACCTCTGTTTGCGAACCGCCACCACCACTGCAGAATAGCTTACCGTGGTTGCGCGGAGCCAGTTTAAGGGAGAGGGCGCGACGGCGGTAACCAGTGGGAGTCAGGTCCTCTGGTAGCCCATCGCCACCTTCACTTCCCTCCGTCAGGGAGTCGTGAGACTTTTCTGCTTTTTGCCTGTTGACTGGGCGCGTCACCTCATTTCCCCGAGCCACAGCCGGCTGGTGGCTGAAAAGGACACAGCGCATTGCGGCCGATGAACCTGATATATTCAATGTAGTCTCGTAAATAAATTAATGGCCAAAAGTAATGCGTCGAATGAAGTAACGTAATAACTTCATAAGAAGGATGTATAGAAGAGCGCTTTAAATGTCAAGAATGAGATTATAACATGGATATTAAACTAGATGGTCACGATATCACATTTTTGTCGAAATTGAGGTAAAGCTTCATGACAGCAACATAAAGACGAATGGAATTGAGAATATTACATATTTGCTATAAGACTGCCTAGACTGATATGGCCGTGCAGATTAAATGGTGAGCCTTGAACCCCGACAAGCAAGTCAAAACAAGCGTTTCTGTGTACCAGGAGATTGAGCAGAAAAATCGTTTCATACAAAACCGTTATTTTTTATTTTGTAAAATAGGCCCAGACATAAAATTATGGATGCAAAAATACGCTGGTAGTGTGAAAAGAAATCTAGACCATGCAAAAAAAGAGTCTCCGCCCACAGCAACAGACAACTCGCTGATGTAATGTCACAGAACAATCTCACCAAACAATAAAACATAGCAAAAGGACAGCGAAGTATCCTGCAATTATAAATATTTATACAAGCATACCGTGAGGCTTTGGGTGAATCGTCCAAATGATTGATTTCAACTGGAATGTGGCCAGAGGAGAATAAGGAAATTGCCTTATCTTTTGTCACATGATTAGATGTGGCGGTCTCCGACGAAAGACAGGACTGTGTTGTTGCACCTGCGTGATTAGAAACATTGGATTGCGTTTGGGCAGCGACAGTTGTTATTTCTACTGCTACTGTGGATTGTGGTGGTGGTGGTGATGAAGATTCGGGGACGGCAACGGAATCGGGCAAAGAAACCGATCCTGAAACGCGCCTCGAAGAGGAAGTGCGGGTGCGATGCTGAGGATCATAAGCGGTTATCTGTGCATGCAAAATACCAAGACCGAGGCCCACCGCTAAAGGCATAAAAACGTCAGCAGCAGTCACCTAAACGCGAAAATGGAGAAATGCATAACCAATAATTTGGTACATTGTAAAATACTCGCTTCAGGACCAAACTATACAAAACTTATGGTGTCATATTTGTGGGGTAGTAATACTAAAAGACAGCTTACCTATCTGAAATATATCAAGAAGCCTTTAACGATAATGGCAATGACCAAACACTGTCACATTAAATATGTGGTTATCAACCGCTTAAACTGCACAGACGGGGACTTTACGAACACAGAGAGCAGACCTTGAATAGGGAGGTCCAGAATAAAACACAGTGATAAACAGATAAGAAAGTACCGTGTGAAAAAAGTACAGTGAAGGAAAGTGTAAACGCAGTCCAAATACGCAAGCTCAAACGGGTGCGTCGTGTGCTTATATAAAGGAAACAAATACAACAATGGATTTTATTCGACTTTATCAAATCAAAACTTTCCAGTATCCACAATATTATTAGCAAGTGCCTAGGTAGAGTGATATAAAATATTCAAAAGGTAAGAAATAGTGAAATCTGAAGGAAATAATATGAACTTTACGAGACTTTAAAGTCTGACAAATGACGACGATGGGTAGAGTTGCAAAACGGGTCTCAATTAATGCAAAAATGACGTGAAGATGTTGTGTATGTTACCATTTTGTCAATCATAAGTTAATTCCTGAAAAAAATTACTCGGTCTCCGGACAATAACCACCCCGGAGTCGTGTTTATACAGAACACTTCCGACAAAATATATTCAACGATCCAACACATGCTACGCGGGAATCAGGACAAGAAAAAGGCGTTTCATTCCAGCAGCACTTTTTTCATGCAAATCTCTGATTAAGGGAACAAAGAAATTTCTACTTGAGAGAGCAAACAAAAAAACGCGTAAGAAATACTCGAATACGCATTTATAAAAAAATCGTAGTAGTAAGAATAGTCGAAGTGAAGGTTGTAAATCGACACCGGTGTAGACAAGATAAGACTGACTTAGCCATCCCCGAACTACATTGAACACGAGGGAGAATAAATCAATTCCTAAAGTAACGACAAAAGGTGAGAAAGTTCTTATTGGTGGGTATTTCTCAAGTCCTGTGGGTTAATCGTTGGTGAAGTTATTGCTCGAAATCTACCGAGAAGCGGCCATTAACTTTGGGTCGGGTAAATCTACCAACTCTTGTTAAGTTAAAAGTACTACTTGTTCTAAATAAGAGTAAAGGTTGGAATGTTGAGATGGCTGCCGAGCGTAGGTACCTGGAAAATGCACATAAGTGCATAGGATCATACCCTGTAAATAAACTCATTTCATGCTAGTGAGGTTTTGATACAGCTGACAAACCCTCTATGAATAACAATCGGAAGCGTATATTAACGCCTCTATAAAGTCCCTGAATAGTATATCCAAATGCTACTTTGGCAACCCTTAAGTCATCTGAATGACGTGCTTCAAATAAACTGAAAATAATTGAATACGAGTGGAAATTTATCGATTGCTATTCCGATCCTCCATTACTGGGACTTTGTTTGATTAAGAAAAAAAAATCCTAAATTGAAAGAATCAGGCTCAGAACACACAGAACTAAAGTAAAAAGTTCGCCTATTTCTTAAATAAAGTTGATACTTAAGACAGATGAGATGATGGAGAGGCAAATCACCTTAGTGTTCCTGGGATCAAGGAAAAGAAAGCAGACGACCTGCAGAAGCTGAAGAATGAAATGAAATACTATGCAAGCAGCCATGCGGGGAGAAGTGTGACGACACCAGTAATCCCAATAAATAGAGGCAAAAGCCGTCGTTTTGATACCACGCCAAATCTCAGCACTCCAGTCATGTTTTGACTTGCTTTTGTATGCCGTCCCTTAAGAAAGAAGTAATATTAGGGCGCTGCAAATGTAAAGAGAGAGTTTGTCGAAAACAGCATTTACCATTTAATAAATCCAAATCAACACGGTCTTTGCTGAAGCTACATTCCTTTCTAGATTTCGTTCCCAACTCCTATGATTAAAACATATCATTACATTGAAAATCCGACTAAACAACAATAATAATACCAGGTTCACATTACCTATTAATTAGCATAACTAGGTTTTTCACTAATATACAGAAAAAACACACGAGAGAGAATTGGGAACAAATGCACAAATTAGAACAATAAAGTAAACGGAAAAATTGAAATAAAAAATACATCAACTGAATTATCTCCGTAGTCTGCCAGGGTTAAAAGCAGTAATTAACAGCGCATAATACAAATCCAAGGGAAAAATCGGATTTGTGGGGAATTCTAACAGGAATTTTAACAAAAGTGGATTAGAAAAACATCTCACGCGAAGAATACGTTGCTCGATACTTTTATCCCACAGCGATGCGTCATAGTAAACAAGCTGGACGTTAGGAAAGTAGGATGCCAAACCTCCGATTGAAACCAGGATATTAACTCCTCCAATGGCATAGCCAGACCTGTATGATAGTCATTCAAATCAACTCCGATGGGAAGGCAAGCGTACGAGAACCCAATAGCACCATCCAACCTTGTTAGATTTTTGTCTTGATGCAGTTAAACATGGAACCACAACTTCTTTTAATTTGCACCATACAAAGATGCTGTGCTTAAGTCCCTTTAAGAGAAGGCTCTGTAGTAAAATTATGATCGTTAACTGATTTGGACCCGTTATCATAAGTTCTGGTACCTCCATTAAGAAAATTCACACACGCCAGATTCACACATTTAGAAGTTAATTTGGGTGCCAGATTTTTCCTCCTGTTACAGCTTTACAAGTAACATTTGAAAATATATTTTACGGTCCCGGTCTTAAACTTATAGAACGAGAAGCTAGTGTATGGGTTGACCGACTTTTTCGAGAAGCATGTTAAGAATTTGCAGGTTTCCAGGGTTTGGGGGAGCTTTTTCCCACTTGTAACTATTTTCCACCTGCTGTTCCGTAATTGTAGGTAGTGAGGCTGTAATCTTAGCAAACCTTTAACAAAACGCCAGCAGTACCCTGCCAAACCCGGGAAACTAAGAAGTTCCGTCAGGTTGGTTGGTGTTAAGTAGGTCCTCACTTGCTTTCTGTGGTCTTCATTCACCACCGTCCCATCTAACGGGAGAGCATGCCTTGCAAAGTTGACCGAGATCCGCAGGAACTGCCATTTCTTTGGGTTTATTGTCAGACCCGCTTCCCGTAGGCGGTCTAACACTAATTTCATTTTGGCATTATGCTCCCGAATATCTCAACCAAAGACAAGTAAGTCATCCAGGTGCACTATGCATTGTTTTGGAAACAGTTTAGTCAGAGCGGCTTAAATAAGGGATTAAAAAGTAGCTGCTGCACTGCATATTCCAAAAGGCTATTTGGTGAGACGAAAGCAGCCTTCTCTCCTTCCCCGCCATCTCTTCTTGACAGTATCACTGTTTTAAGTCTAAAGATTCTTTGATGCAGAGTAATAGGAAGGCATTCTTCTTCGTTCGGCTTCCTGTAGTCGACGCACAGCCGTAGACTTTCATCCACCTTCTTTACTAGAGCAATCAGTGTGGCCTAGGCTGATTTCGATGGCTTTATGACCCCACTTCTGATCATCTATTTAACCAGTGAGTTGGCTTTTTTACCAGAGATGGTAGTATCCTTCGGTCTAACCTTGCTGGTGTTTCGTATGTTTTATGATGCTCGTTCTTTCAAGACAAACACCCTGCCATGCGAATATACTCCTGTGCTTAACCAGTAACTCCCGAAGTTCTTCCCACTCCTTGTCGATGACATGAATAAGCTGCGAGTAACAGCAGTCAGGATTGTTGACAGGCATTACTGCAACTCCAAATAAAACATTGCAAATATCATCGACACGTTCTTTCGATGACGAAAAGGCTACCGTGTACTTAGCGTTTTCCTCGTGGGTAGAGAAAGTGCCTTCCGCAAAATTGGGGACAGCTATGGTGTTGGGTGGGAAATCGGCTCAAAGAATTGCGATTCAAACATATTTTGGACATGTGAGGAATTTCACCATCCGGGTTTCCTTCCTTGTGGTAACATGTAATGATGTCTCCTCTTCTACCACCTCTTCCTTTCCTACTGCTGGTCGTAATCCGTTATATGGTACAACAATCTTAGCCTATTTGCAAAAAGGTGGAAAAAACCTGAGATTTACCATTGATCTAGCTGTACCTGAGTCAAAATAAAATTGGATTTATATCCTTCTCATTTGCCTGGAGCTTGCAACCGTTATTGAGAGTCATTTAAAAGCACGGAAGATAGGGAAAAGGAGGGCTCACTTGATTTTGAGAAGTGAGGCTGAGAGTCTTTGCATAAGAATGTTGAGTTTGATCCGCCATTATGGTTATTTTAACGAGAAGCTGCAGCCATCTCCTTGTGTTTATTTGCTGCGAACTTTACCAACCCTCTAGCGGAGTTAGTATATGTGTTGTGGTGCTTCACGACTATGATGTAAGGATGAAATTCATGTCTAAAATGAGCGGCTGAAGAGTTTTTGTATGCTCCCGTAGTCATCTTCTAGCTTATGACTACGGTTGGAGGATTCTCTGACTTCCGTCTGTTCTTCCTAAGATATGATGAGTTGGGCCAAAATATTATAGCAGTTTTCAAAATCGGCATCCAGGATCATCCCACCATTAACAGCAGCCATGAACAGATTATAGGGAAGAGTGGCTAGGACCCATTGTTTCCCTTTACACCAAGAGTAAAACTAGAGGTTGGATCTAGCCGCTTCTCAAGATACACGCCAATTTTGAGAGAGCGATTTCAGCTAACTCTGCCACCAGTGTTACAGATTTCGTGTTTTCCTTCCACCCCCGGGTTTCGAATCCTTGAAACAAGAAAACTGGGTAGAGGGAGGCATCTGTGTTGGAGAATTATGGTAAAAGTTTACGGGTTACCAAGGTTTAAAGAAGGTCGGAGTTCATTCCACCCTTAGGGGCCAAAGGCGTCCGCTCAACCACGTGGCTAGCGTGAAATGACTACTTGCAGGCCAAACATTTTATCCAAACAAACATGGATCGCAGTGTTTGCCAATAATATGCTTAAGATTTATTAGGTATTTATCTAATATTAAGGCATCATCAGGATAATATGACAATTTTTGAACCTGAAACATGACTACATCACCTGGTGAAGTCTGTACCTGAAGTATCTGCATATATCAGGAATTGTTTGGCGCATTATCGGAAGAAATTTTCACAATTCAATGTTCGTTGTTTACTAGGGCAATTTGCGTGAAAATAAGTAAAAATATATCTAAGTATTAGATAATATTTTTGTGTTCACTTTCCCTGTAATACTACTAACGATTCACCTTTGATTTTGCCTTCAAATAGTAGACGGCATCCATTATAGTACGGCTGATTTACCCTTTTGCAACCAACAAAGGTATGTCGAAGCATCCGCATCTTCGCTGTAGTCATAATAGGCTAAAGTAACATGGAAGAACATGTATAAAGTACAGAAGGGCTGAGACTACTAGCATGGTTCAAAGGTAATGCTGTAGACCTGCAGTAACTGCAGTACCCGCATAATTTAATGCATACTCAAACAGGACATATTGTCACCAAGCAGTCATTCTTCCCTTTTAGCGCTTTTTCTGGCACTCCCTAGGTCAATTCCCTGCAACATTGTCATTGCTTTAAAAACCACCTGTGCACCGGCAAAGCCAGTCATTTACTTTTCTTGCATGTGAGAATGCATCTGCTCCCAGTGTCACGAACGCGTCCCGTCGATTCCACTGCATCTGAAGCTCTGTCCTATTCATGAATGGTACTTTAGAAGGGGAAATGCAGCGGCTTCGTACTGCTCAAGAACGGACCATGATTTACAAAAACGGCATTTCGTGTGCTAATCGCTAGCCCTAAGTCAAACGGCCTAAAGGTGGAGTCATTCAATAAGAGACTAGATTTAAATTTGTTTCACGGGGTAAATACCTCGCACCTATTTCTGCTAATCACTTTGTTCCCATTTTTGTGCTGTCCAACCATTTACCTGGAGTTTACTCAGCTAGTACAGACGCAGAGGAAGTATTTTTTGTTCACATGACGAACAATTTTGCATAAGTACCGCAAATAGCTCCATAGTGGACTTTTAAAATGGTTCAAGTCCGGTGTCGCCTTAGTTATTAATAGGATTCTCTCAGTATACTGGATTGGAGTAACTGCCACGTTGAGGTATGGTTTTCAGCCATACAAGTCAGGATAGCTGTCCGTCAGGATTGGGCTCCCCTGCTGTTACCACCAGTGTAGCGTTTTGAGCCTTTGTCAAATCCCAAACTAGCGCGAAAGAATGCAAATTAATAATGTGCAGAAGGGTTGTGATGCTACTAACATGGCTCGAAGGCCATGCTGCGAAACGGAACTGCAACCTACATATGTTTGCACAAGTGGCAGCTCAAGGCTTTCCTGAATTTGGTATTCATATGCAGAAGCACAAGGTGGTGTAAATATTGCCTGCAGGGACTGAGAGGCTCATGTAACATATCAGACTGCGCACTTTTCACTCGATTTAAAAACTTTATTCTAAATGATATTATTGAATTAACATTTTGTGTAGCTGAAGTGAACGTTCTCCTCAATTTCTTGCCGGTTCAAATATTTTACCATCATCTCATAAAACTTTTGAAAAATTGTGACTAATAAATTAAACGAGATGACTTTTTATTCAAGCGGCACTATCGGAAGTATCTCGTAAAATGACCACCTCAGGTTAATATCTTCATCTTCGAGCATTATTTTGTAATTGAAATAAATGCCTGTTAGAACAAAGTTCGAAGTAATGTTACTTCAAATTACTGACATTTCAAAAAACTAGTCTTATGGTCTCCAAAGAGTAGGTATAAAGCGTAATCCATATTTAACCTAGTGAATTCCTAATTCACGGACTGCCGGTGTGCCGTTTTACTTTGAAAGTAAATATTGCATTACATTTACAGTCCGCCTTCAGTCCCACTTGCGTGCAAAGGAAAAAACATCTGCGCGGTTTTAAAAAGGGTTTAAAAGTCTGAGGTTAGGAATTTTGCCTATTCATTTGGTCGTCAAGCCGTGGAAGATATTGGGAGCGTAATCAAAAGTGACGCCACCAGCTTAAGTTGTGGATAATAAAAGTAAACTTAGTTGTGGATCCCCTTGATCTGTCCGGATACCTGGTAAACAAATCGCACTTCTGTTGAAGAGTTCGAAGCAAATGGTGGATTTGTGATTAGTAGTTTTAAACGGCGAGTAGACGATAAAGTTGGGTTTTGGTAATTACACAATGATTTCAAAATATTCAAGTATTTATTCTGAACAAAAGGGGTAGGAAGGATTATTCAATAAAGTGCTATAGAGCTACTATAAATAAACCCAGGTTGACTGCATAACCAAAAGCACAAAATCTGCTCTAAAACGTAGTTGACTATGTGATATCAGCATTGGTGGACAACACGTACGATACAAATCAATTGTTCATCTATCGTCAG